CGCGTGGGTGAGGAATTGCAGCATACCTATTTCCACCGTCCGCAGGGCTGCCCGACTGTCGTCGACCGTCAGGCCCCTTGGTGCTGGCGCTGGGTCTCAGCGAGGGACGACCCGAGTTCTGCGCCGCAGGATTGACAGCATTGCCCGACGCGCTGTTTGCAGCGGGCACGGAGTTGATGGTGGAAGCCATTGATTGACTCAAGGGTCAGTCAGGGCAGGCTGGTGTCGTGGAACTTCGCACGGCGGAAAGCCGCGAGGACGAGGAACGAAGCCACAACACACCGCCTGCACAAACAGGACAGGAACAGGAGAGTGAGGGGGGTGAGCAGCCACCACACGCACAGAGAGCAGCCACAGGTCCAGTCAATGGGGGGGATGAGAGGAACAGAAAGGGGGAAGGGAAGAAAGGGCAGGGCAGTCGAGGGTGATCGAGGGATGAAGAAAGAAAGTCGATGGATGGGTGATGGACTTGGCCTGTTTGGGGAAAGTCACGGGGATGTAAGGGTATGGTCACTGGTATTATATTGTGCCACCTCAAGTGATCAATAGTAGTGATAGAGCAAATAGTGACTTCCCTAGTAGTGTTGCTACTACTATTGGCAATAATCGTTGGGCGTCATAGTTGGTTATTGTGTTGGTTGCTTCTTGGGCGCTCTTGTGCTGTTGGACCCTCTGTAACCGGGCCGCTGTCAGCTATGCCGTGACCCACCAGAGCATCTCCGACGAGTATATGGAGGCATCGCTCATGACTATGAATGGGGATGGAAGTACCTTCCATCTAGGAAATACATCTCATCTTCTATCCTCTCTACTACTATCAAATGATCGAGCCTCCATCTGGGGTCTTGTTGGACCCTGTCGATGTAACCTGAACCCGACTGGACAGCCTGTTTAATCGACTGGCGCAAAATCCAGACCAACGCAGACGCAAGATGCATGCATTATTCGACGATTGATCCCGACAAATCATCCATCACCCACCGATTCGTCATCGACAATTGACTCCCCTCGCCGCGGTCCGATCCATGGGCCTCCCAAGCATGCTAAATCCAAACGGCGGGTAACTTTACGTGCCGCGTATCGGGCACTAGTCAGCTGACACTTTCTCGTTGTTGTTCTCACTCTTGCATCCCCAACCATTATTACTGTTGTTCGTTCCATCGCCCGCGCAGAGCACATGCAGTCGCCGTCTGGCTCAAGGTCTCAGCGACCGTATCCCGGAGACCCTCCTCAGAGCCCCCCTCCCCAGTACCCCAGCGACCCTGCGATGGCCTCCCAGTCTGGCCGCAGCTCATCGGCCTCGGGCCGACCAGGGTCCAGCAAGAATGCAGTACGTGCCTTCTGCGCATTTGATTGTCTTGAGATGAAAGTTGCTGACCCGGTGTGTGCGCGCGCCCACAGCCCGATAAACAAATCTCCCAAATCGAAAAGAGCGTGACACATCTCTTAGTAGCCACGAAACAACTCCTGGAGACTCTGACGCAATGGTCTCGAAAACAAGCGTCGGAGAACGACGTGTCCGATGTATATGTGCGCCTGGGGTATGAATTCAACCTCGCCTGTCGGGCCTTTAATGCTATCAGCGTCGACACCTCGGATCTGGGCCCCGTGCCAGACCTCCTACGGACGATCCTGGAAGACACTCTCAGCCAAGACGCATCGCCGCAGAGCCTCGATCGTTACCTCCCGCGAATTCGCGACATAATTGTCAATCTACTGCAAGGGTTAAAGAAGAAACAGGCACGGCTACGGTCACGACAACAGCGCGAGGAGGGTAGACCCGTGCCGGGACGACACGCCAGTGCCGGAACCTTGGACGGGCCGCCCAACATGGGACAACTGTACGATGAAACAGCCGCCTCCATTATGCCGCCCGCGGCTGCGCAGTCGCCGAGACGGTCGGCTAAGCGATACGGCAGTAATGGATCTTTGGACGACCCGCAGGCTATGTCTCGAGCTTCACCAGCGCCCGTATCAGGCGATGGTGGGGGAGGCAGCTTTTCTGAACGGGAAGCATCGCGGCGGGAGACGCAACAGCTGCTCACACAAAGCTCTCCGATGGAAATTGTTGACTCAGCTCTTACTCCTCGCGGCGCGGTAGCTACTCCCACCACGCCTGCAGGCTTCCCGGCGCCTCCACCACCGCCGAAACAGGACGATGCCCTTGGTGCTTTACAAAGAAGTGGAGAGCTGGAGCGACGTGCGTCTCGTCGCTTCTCTGCATATCAAATTCAGAAACACCTTGGTCCCTCCACCAACGGCGTCCCGGTTCTCCCGACCCAAAATTCCCCTATACCGAACCGTGGCCGGGATGTTCGCGAGTCTTTGAACGCAGTCCGCCTGCGGGGATCATACTCGCATACGAGACAACAGTCTTCCGTTGCTTCGAAGAGTGGAGCGGCGCAGGCGGCCGCGAGTATCCCGGATTCAGTGGCAGAAGAGCAGAGCAAGATTGCTACCGAGCCCCCATCTACCACACAGCAAAAAGAACCAGCCGCTCTGGAACTCTCGGGCGACCAATCTCCTGCAGCAGAGAAGGCTAGCTCTGAGAATACTTCGGTCAAGACGCCACAGCTAAGCTTTCCGCAGCCACCCGCGACGCCGGCAGCCCTTGGAGACGTCGAGTCAGGAAAGCCCAAGGTTCCAGCTGTTGAGGCGGTTCCAGAGCCAGAAACGCCCAAGCCAGACCGTCTCGAGCTATCTACGAGTATTTCTACGCCTCCGCCAGTCTCTCAATTTGTGGCCGAGCAGCCCTCTCCTGGAAAGGAGTTGACTCTCTTCTTGCAGTACAAAAGCAAAATTAAGAAGTATGTCATTCCAGAAGGTGCTGCAGAGCTCACTATTGGGCGGCTGCAGTTGGCTTTCATTGAGAAATTCGCATGGAACACACACAACAACGGGGCAGACTTGCCGGAGATTTACGTCCAAGATCCGATTTCGGGAATTCGACATGAGCTAGAAGACTTGAGCGATGTCAAAGACCGCTCGGTCCTCGTTCTAAACGTTGACACTTTGGACGAGGTCAAGAAACATTTTGATGACGGCTTTGGCAGCGTGCGGCTCCTGTTTGAGAGCGTCAAAGAGGCTCTTGCCGGGCAAGGGACCGTCATTCAACGCGTCTCAGACCGGCAGCTTGAGGCGGCGAAAGAAATGGCTCGCTTGTCGGTCGCACCCCCCGTTTCGGTCTCCGTCCCTCCCACTCTCGGGGACAGTCGGAAAGCTCCAATCGCAGGAAGCGGCAGTCAGGTTGCAGAACTTCAGAGCCTGCGTCGCGATCTTGCTGTCCTGCGGCAGACTTATTCCAATTTCACATCTGACATTACGAGCTCAATGAGTGCCGTGAGGGCCAAGGCAAGCAAGGTCAAGTCTTCGGCCGAGGAGGCCGCGATGCCGACGTTCGAAGGTGATGCTGGTCGAGCCCGTGTCAATACGGGCAAAAAGGAGCTCGCCAAGGAATCGGAGCGGCTTGTCGCTCGTGTGGATGATCTCCAAGATCTGGTGGAGGATCTCCGCAAGGATGTAGTCACAAGAGGCGTGCGGCCCTTGCCCAGGCAATTGGAAGGTGTCAGCCGAGATGTCAGCAATGTCATGAAGGAGATCAAGAAGATGCAAGACTTCCTGAGCCGCGAGAAGCCCATCTGGACCAAGATCTGGGAGAAGGAACTGCAAATGGTCTGTGAGGAACGAGATCAGCTTACCATGCAAGAGGACCTTGCCGCCGACTTGCAGGATGACCTCGAGAAAGCAGCCCAAACATTTGCATTGGTGGAGCAGGCCACCAAAGAGCAGGCGCAGAGCAACGTCAATGGCGGCGCCGGCACCCCCAGCGCCCGTTCCGCCTCCCGAACTCTGGGGATCGATCCGACGATCGACCCCATGAAAGCCAAAGACGGCGTCCTGGGCGAGGTCCGCGCCCTGCAGCCTAATCATGAGAGCCGAGTGGAGGCTATCGAGCGAGCAGAAAAGGCCCGGAAGAAGGAACTCGAGAATCGGCGAATCGGTCTCTTCCAAAAGGAACTTGGAAATTTTGTCCAAGAGGGCAAGCTGAAGAAGAGCGGCGGCGTCGAAGAGGCGGAACGACTGCGCAAGGCCAAGGATGACCGCATTCGCAAGGAGGTCTGGGAGAGGCAGCAGGGTATCAATGCCAAGATGGAGGCTGCCGAAGCTGCCGCCCAGGCTGAACAGAAATCCGAAGGTCAGGATGAGGCAACCAGCTCGGGAGAAGCAGAAACCGCATCTGAAGGTTCTCCCGGTCGCAAGAACGAAGCGTCGCCATCTTCCGACAAAGCTGAGCAGGAGCAGGCTGAACCTGAATCCATCTAATCTCTTCGTCCCTTTTTTGAATAGCACGGGTTTCAAATTGCATGTTGTGTATGAGAAGGACTTTGGCTTTGAATGTTGTTCCACGATTTTCTTTACCACGGACTTACAGTATACCTCTTCGCTGCCCGCTTGCAGTGCATATGGCGTGTTATTTCTTTGTCGATACCCGGCCCCTTGGTGGTCTGCAGCTAATGCCAGTATAATGTGTTTGTTAATGAGATACAATAGCATGGCATGTCAATCAGCGAATTTTCAATTAATTAATTGGAGTGTGTTCGTATATACATAGTAGCGCTGCCTGTTACTTCCGCTCCCCAGCCATCGCATTTCCTGCGCACCACCAACTCAACCGCAATAACCCGGTTCTTCTTGTCTAGACTGACAATCTTTCTTCTACTTTTGATCCAGACCATAAAAAGATCATTCTTATATATTTGATCACACTGTGTAGTCATATCCCATCATACACCTTATTCATCCCACCAGAGCATCCGAAATATATCTCCAGCCACTGCGGGCTGGTCTCATCAAGCTCTTGTACAACACCTTTCCCACGTCGCTTTTTTTTTTTTGCAGCTGTGACATAATAAAAAACTGACTGCCCGCAGGAAAAGGTTCTTACAATCTACAGTCTGAGAGTCTGACGGTGTTGCCAAACCCGTCTAGGCAGTGTCTATATGTTGCTCCTACCAGCCCTCACTTTGCTCCTGGCAACCTGCCAAGCCCAGAGAGAAGTGGATACCACTGTATCCGAATCAATCGGTGATATTACATGGTCAACCGATGCTGAGCAGACCCTGCATCGCAATGCCGAGATAATCTCCCGGCTGGCAGAGACGCCCGCGCAAGGCGTGCGAAAGATGAGCAGTGACGAAGGGGAGAAATTCTTCCTGGATTACTGGCAATTCCTCGATAATGTCCAGGGGCTATCAGAGCGAGAGACCAACGACGAGACTATGGATGATGAGACGCCGGAAGTGTTTCTGGAGCGGTCATTCCCTCTCCAACCCCCGTCTTTGCCGTCGGATCTGGACAATCCATTGCAAGTGCGGGACTTCAAGTGCCCGACGGGTACCTACGGCTGCACGTCTATCGGCCGACCGAATCGCTGCTGCGGTGCCGGAGAGACGTGTGAGTCGGTCCAAGATACGGGGTCGGGAGACACGGGCTGCTGCCCTAGTGGGCAGACATGCTCTGGACAGATAGGATTGTGTCAGTCCGGATATACGACGTGCTCCGAAGCGCTGGGTGGTGGCTGCTGCATTCCTGGCTACGAGTGTGTTCCCGGAGGATGTAAGTACCTTCTAGGTTAGTCAGTATGCCTTTGCTGACTGCTACAACCCAGGCGCCTACATCTCCGTCATTACAGTGACTCTCCAGTCGACCGTGATGGTATCCACCAGAACGTATTCGACCGAGCCGCAGAGTACTCCGAGCTCGACCTCTTCGTCTCACACGAGCAACACCAAGACTGAAAGTCTGGCACCGCCAGCCCGACCTACAAGTCTCTCAACCGCCACTACGGGAGAGGGATTCTGTCCGACTGGGTTCTATGCTTGCTCGGCCGTCTACCATGGCGGGTGCTGCCAGACCGGTCGAGACTGCGATACCACGTCGTGTCCTACGACATCTTCAACGACGCTCACCACTGATGGCAGGACAATTGTACTGCCTGTCACGGCTACAGCAGGGAACCACGGAGGCGGAGGACGGTGCGCGAGGGGTTGGTTTAGCTGTGCGGACACGGTGGGCGGAGGCTGTTGTCCTTCCGGGTTTATGTGCGGGTCGAGCTGCACGGCGACGGCGGCGTCGTCGACCACGGTGTCCAAGGAGCAAGCAACGAATGGGGGCAATGGATTATCTCCTGGGATGCTGGGGATTGGCGTTGGTGGTCTGGGGATGCTGTTGTTGTAGAGGGAGAGTAAATAACATAACAAACCCCACACAAACCCCCGGGATGGTTAGTCAGCACACGGGTAAATGCAATCGGAGTCGATCACCGATATCTGCCGACTTCACTTCTTCCCTCGTTCCTTCTTCTCCCAATTCCCCATCCCTCGTTCTGGGTCTGTCAGGTAAGAATTCTATCCTTTAGTCTGGCTGAAATATTGAAATTGGCCTCAAGACTAACCCCCAACAACCTCCAGGTCATCAAATCCCCCGGTTGCCCACCATGTCGTCCAACCAGCAGCAACCCCTGCCCTTCATCTACCAATTCGCCGCCGGTGCGGTGGCTGGTGTGTCGGAGGTAAGTTATTCTCGCATCCTGGAGCACGCTCCGACTGCGTCGATCAAGTCGGGCCGCGTGGGTGAGATTGTGCCTTGACTAATTCGTTCTCTCCCCGCACGAACAGATTCTTGTCATGTACGTCTTCCACGCCACTCTCCCTTGTTGCAAGAACAATCAATTGGTCTGGACTAACGATGCGCGATATGCAGGTACCCGCTGGATGTGGTCAAGACAAGAGTGTAAGTGTGGTCGGCTGTGCATCTCGAGCGCACGTGTGCTAATCATGCCCTACAGTCAGCTCCAGTCAGGTGTTCCGGTCCCGGGCCAGGACCACTATACCGGCATGCTCGACTGCTTCCGCAAGATTGTGAAGAACGAGGGGTACGTCATTGTGGACCAGCACCATTAAACCGATATCTGACCACCAACCTCACAGATTCTCCCGTCTCTACCGTGGTATCTCGGCGCCCATTCTGATGGAGGCGCCCAAGCGTGCGACCAAGTTCGCCGCTAATGACAGCTGGGGCACCTTCTACCGCGGTCTGTTTGGCGTGGAGAAGCAGACGCAGGGTCTGGCTACGCTGACCGGCGCCACGGCTGGAGCAACAGAGGCGTTCGTGGTGGTTCCGTTCGAGCTGGTGAAGATTCGTCTGCAGGACAAGGCATCGGCGGGCAAGTACAACGGCATGCTTGATGTGGTCAAGAAGATCGTGCAGACCGAGGGCCCTCTGGCCATGTACAACGGCCTCGAGTCGACGCTGTGGCGCCACATCTTGTGGAACGCCGGCTATTTCGGCTGTATCTTCCAGGTTCGCGCACAACTGCCCGCGCCCGAGCCCGGCAACAAGAGCCAGCAGACCCGCAACGACCTGGTCGCCGGTACCATTGGTGGTATTGCCGGTACGATGCTCAACACCCCGATGGATGTCGTCAAGTCCCGCATCCAGAACACAACCAAGGTCCCCGGCCAGGTGCCCAAGTATAACTGGGCCTGGCCCGCTCTCGGCGTCGTTATGAAGGAGGAGGGCTTCGGCGCCCTGTACAAGGGCTTCATCCCCAAGGTCCTGCGTCTTGGCCCTGGTGGCGGTATCCTGCTCGTCGTCTTCACGGGCGTCATGGACTTCTTCCGCAAGATCCGTGCCGAGTAAGTCGACACAGAGACAAGTGCATAGCAAATGCCAAAAAGTCGGAAGAAAACTACCCGCCGCGACCCTCATCCTTGACCTTTGTGCCGATACCCACTCTTTTCGTCTTTCCATCTGGCCGAGTCTGTTGTACGCTAGCCTGTATCAATATTTATTGTCTCCGACTTTTGTAGACCATTTTGGGTCAATCGTGTCAGAACAAGAAGAATAGAGTATGGCTTCTAGACAGATATAGAAAGAAAAACTATTTGTTTGTTATTTATCTACTTTCTCTGATATGTGCCCCGGGCTCCGTCCATCTAAAGAGGGGTATTTGAAAACCGCCAGATCCGTAATAACCCATAACCCTCTCCACGATTAGATTTTCGATGCAGATGAAAAACCGAGTGAAAGAAGGCCAGGCTTAATGAATCTTCTACAAAAGTCATGTTGATGATGCGGCAGAACGGTGACAATGGGGGAAAAAAAGGAAACAGAGTAGACATAATGCCATGTATGATAAACCGCTCAGTAAAGTCTATGCAGCTGCACAATGGTGAACTATAATGCTGCTCTGTTGCAATCCTCGGCTGCCAAGGAAGCTGTCAGCAGTGAGTTATCCTGTCTCTTGTGGGGTATTGAGCGCATCAGGATGCGAGAGCAAAGACATGGGAAAGTACGCGTTCACTGCGCTGTATCTGGTTGGCTAGCCTTGTACTTGTCCCCGCAGAGGCGCGGACTACATTTCGGCGTATCGGCGTTAAGCCTCACTTGTAAACACATCTAAACGCTTCCTATCGCCGATGAAACCAATTTCCCTCCACATATTGAGGACATGTATTTCTCTAGAGCAATTTAGCTAAAAGAATTGACTAATATTGCTTAATCGCGCGATTTTGGCGCTGGTTGTGAGGTGTTGAAACTACACAGCAAGATCTTGCTTCATTTTGCGCGAAAGCTTTAGAACCAACGCGCTGTTTACACACTGAAAACAATGGCAGCAAATAACTAGTAAAAAAAAGAAAATTTGTTTATGTACCAAGAAAATTTGTTTATGTACCATTGTACACCCTTATGTTTCTGCTCGTCGTGTTATCTTATGCATTCCAGAGGTTCTCGTCGTATGTCGGCGACTACAGTATCGGTGGCCAGTGTTGGTACATTATTGAGCGAAAAGAATATCTAGAACAATGGAAAAAAGCGCTATTTTGCAAAACCATGTGAGAATTGCATAAGTTATTCCATTCCGGCTCTGATATTCTCGAAGTCTGGTGATATCTGGCAGAGCAGGTCTTAACGCCGAAAGCCGAAAGCGTCTATAGTGGAGGTCGTATCACAATGATATTCCCATCGGAAGTGCTGAGGGGTATTTAGGAGACGCTTGTTTTCGCAATTGGAAACGTTTATTGCAACATATTTTTTGCACAGCCATAAAAAGGCAAGACATACCTAGCCGTCTTTTTCAGCTACGCTTCGGACAAGTTCGTATCCAACCAACCACTTCAATAACCGCTACCATGCAGCCGACTACTCGTCTTCATTCATCGGCATCTCTGGATCAGTTTAAGCCAGTCCTTGTTACCCCTGTTATCGGCAACGAGTTCGCCAAAGACTCGTGCAACATTGTGGATGATATCCTGCACGCCCCGAATGCAGATGAGCGCATCCGCGACCTGGCAATCATGAGTATGGATGACCCCATTGCATCCTGATTTCCACATATACTAAGCCTTTGAAGTCGCCGAACGAGGTGTGGTCTTCTTCCGCGCCCAGGACAACCTCACCAACGACCTCCAGAAAGAGCTCATCCTCCGCATGGGCCAGCTCACCGGCCGTCCTTCCGATCACGGGCTACACATCCACCCAGTGACAAACGACGCACGCGAATTCGGAGATCCAGACCCTGCAATCAGCACCATTGACTCCGAGGGCCGTAAGAAACTCTACAAGAACTCAAACTACACTAAGATGGCAGCTGTGTGGCACAGCGATATTGCATTTGAGCCCGCCCCTGCGGATTTCTCGTCTTTGCGCCTGACCAAACTCCCTGAGACCGGTGGCGATACTCTTTGGGCTTCTGGATATGAGATCTATGACCGCATCAGCAAGCCCTATCAGAAGTTCCTGGAGACACTTAGTGCTGTCTATGACGGTGAGGGGTTCCGACGTATGGCCCAGTCAGGCAAGTTTTCGATGTATACCAAGGAGAGAGGCTCGCCGAAGAATGTCGGTTCAGACCTTTATGCTGTGCATCCGGTGAGACTTTTTCTTCTCTTATTTCGGGCACCACTTTGGAGTTCTAATCCCTACGTAGGTCGTGAGGACGAATCCGATTACAGGCTGGAAGTCGATTTTTTCAGTTGGTAAGTAGTTTTTTGTTTTTCATCGAGACATTTAATTTATTGTTGGCATAGGCTCATTTCCTTCTATCATTAACGGCTTGAACCGCCGAGAGAGTGCAAATATGCTACAGTGGTTCCACGATCTGATCACCTATGGCCATGATCTCCAGGTCCGTCTCAAGTGGAATCAGCCCAACGATATTGGTAAGTGCTATATTCTTATTCGCCAGCCAATATAAAGTACTGAAAAACCGTGCAGCAATTTGGGACAACAGAAGTGTTTTTCACACTGCAACGGGTGACCACGATGGCTTTGGTGCGCGCAGTGGCAACCGGGCTGTCGGGGTTGGAGAGGTACCTTATTTTGATCCCGAAAGCAAGTCCCGTCGCGAAGACTTGGGAATTATGGATACCCTTGCTCCGTGCCATCAGTGAGCCGCAAGAATGTGGCGGATATATCCAGTCTATAGCTTGAACGCAGATTGTTTTCAGTCATCTTTCGGCCAGAATGATCCGCCATGCAATTAACAAGGGTAAAATACTTATAATTTGCTAGTTAATGTAATTAATTAGATTCGCCAGTTAAATCCCTCCAGAATAGGGACGCTGAATGTATCGCCTGTCCAGAAGTCCTCGGTAATGATCCCCTGGAATGGATACAGCACGCTGGGACTGCCTGCTGTTAGCCCGTCATTCAGTTGCATAGGAAAGGCCTGGAACCCTGGAAAAAGACCCTGTGTATGTATATCAAATAGCTCTGTAGTCGTACCATAGAGATTATCTGGGACAAATTGCTGGGCTTGAGACTCAAGGGAACCATGAGGTGAAGTGTGATGCATAGGCTGTTCACCCGTTGAACGGCCCTGAGTTGGAAGACCCTGTTCACTTGCACTTCTGGTATTTGCAGACTCTTCGACAAACTCCATCGCCCGATTTATGATAGTCTCAAGACCATCGCGATGTTTCTTTAGCTTTGGGTTGCGCTCTGCCATCATAAAAATTGCAGATGAACAAGCACGTAAGTCATTCGACACCGTGGTTGTCCAAAGACATGGTGACCGGAAGAGACAAAAGCTATGAGCTCAGTAAGAATGAGACTTTTGTACAAGAGAATACCCTAGGTACTCACCACATGGTAAGCCCTGCCATGAACACGGAGTTGACAAGGAGAAAGGAAAAGCCCGAAGAGTCTCTCTGTTGGAGTCTCTTGAAGAACTGACACATTTGACCCGAGGCTGACAGACAAGTTTCAATGAGCTTATCTTGTGGTTCCAGAATACTCAGAAATGGTTGTAAGAGTATCCGGAGGGAGTTATTCCAGTGCATATGCACAAATTCCTTCTCCTCGAGGTCGAGAGAAGGCAAAGTTTGTTTGTAATCCTGCAATGAGGCCATCAGAGGAGCAACTTCTGGCAACACTTGCGAGATGGGTTTGTCGACGCGGTATATACGGGTATGAATTTGGGAGACAATGCGATGCAGCTGGATCGAAGCAATAAACCTGCCAATAGTAGGTTTCTGTGGCTGGGTATGGATGCTCGCATCGTTGCTGAGTATTTGCCTGATCATGTCATCATTATTGATTGAATCATCCAGGTTATGCGGAGGCATGGTGTCGATTTCTTCTTCTGCGATACTGAATGGTCGACCAAGTGCCCAAGCAGTGTATCTTTCAGTCAAATATACACTCCAAAACAGACGGCGTCTCATCTCTGCCTCATGTGGCTTCAGATCGCGATAGCGCGCTTCACGATGGAATCCAAAATCGACACAAATCCTCATCGCTAATCCAATCATGTACCACACACTGGAATTGGAGGTTGACCGCAGATTGTATAGAACCAAAAGCATCATTGCTTCAATACTTGCAATTGAGAGCGACTCTCTATAGCTGGGATCGAATTGTAGGGCCGTGACCAGGAAGGCTTTTGGGGGAGTTGAATTGTACATCTCAGTCATTTGAGAGATAGTTGCCCCAATTGCATAAACCATGAAAAGCTTAAACTTCTCAAACTGACCTTGAGGTGTTGAGCCAGGCGGTTGATATCTCTGCGCATGCAAATCCAGGATCTCCGTGCGGTCCAGGAAAGGAAGGCGTAGATGCATGTTATTGAAGTATGCGTCGAGGATTTGTGAGCCCACGGCATCATCAGGAGGTGCAACGTTGTCTCTCTCGGTGCTCTCCCACCATGATTCTGATTTCTGATTGCTGGAGTTGACGGGTAACAGTTTTTCTCCGACCGTACTGTGGACTATTCGGCCTAGATTCTCTGCAATGGAGAGGCCCGATGATGGGCCAAGATAGGCTGTCTCCCCGTCTGTCTCATGACCAAAGGTCAAGAAGCGAACTACTCCATCTAGTTGACCCCTTTGCGCAGGTGGATGGTGAGACGCCGTGGCTTCCCTAGCGCCCGAAGACTGAGTGCTCGTTGATTCTGGTGCTCGATTCAGAACGGCGGCAAGTTGAGCCTCCAGGGTTTCAATCCTGTGAGCCAAGGCACCTTTGGACATGCCATGGTGCCATGACGGAGCAGTCTCGGCTCGTGAGCAAGGTTGATTTGCGGATCCACAGTTCGTGCATGTAGGAACCCCGACGCAGCGCTGTTTGCGCCGATGGCAGCGCCTGCAGGATTTCGGGATGCGTTTGCGTATTCGGGATTCGGGGTCCATGAAGACAGATGGGTTCTTGGATTAAAATTCCCCCGCATCGAAAAGATCGCCAGGGCCGAGGCTGACTACGAAGTGGGACGACGTGAACTAAGTTAGTTTACCCAGGTTAGTGGAGTAATCCATGTGCTCGAGCACGCCAAGCCCCGTCTTCCCCCCACGCAGACAATGCTTCCAGAATCTGAAACAGATTGATCACCTGTTCTCAGGACCAAGGTCTTGATGAATATCCTCGAGGATAAGTTGCTACAGATGCAGAAGCACGTGGTTCACATTGGATCAACAGACAGCCGGCGTAATCTGGAAGTAAAGGGTGAAGTGAGAATTTACATACGGACCTATACGTTACGGATTTCCTCTGGCAGGGGGGCTTGCCTATCCAGGCGGCCGCCCTTTCCGTAATAATGCTCACCCCCCGGCTCACTGAGTAAATGTCAGCACGCTGTTATGCTCAGTGACCATGCTCAGTCCAGTCACAGGAGCACTCAGTGAGCGCTTCCTAGTCTATACCAAAAACGGAATACCACCCCATAGGGCCGTTTATTCTGTGATGGTTAGTCTGTTGATAGACCTAGTCCTACCCTCTATTTTCTTGAGTACTTTATGCTATCAACAAAATCAATTCATTCGAGATATTGCATAAAGAGTGGAAAAACTCCGTCTACTTTAGGTTAGTGAACTTTTAGACAACCCTTTATTCTCTGATATAAAAGAGGCCCGAGTTCTAAAGCGCAGGTATAAGTCGAGAGTATGTTCGCGACCCGAATATCTCATCGTCGCCTGCTTTGAATTGCTCCTTTGCTAGCTTATATGCCTTTGTTAGTCTATTTTAATATAGGCAGGCAAGACTCTTTGGCTAAGCGAGACGAGATCGCAGAGGAAAGGCGCCGCTAATAGCGGGAGAAGAATGGCTACGTGCCTAAAACCTATCGAGAGGACGACCTACTCCTAGACAAAGACAAAAGACTTATGACGACTAATAGTTTACATCAAAAATACGTGGATCTTTAGATAAAGTGAGTCAATGTGAGGGCAGCTGTACCATACCGTTATGCTGCGACTGTATGCCTGATCCTTAAGGCTATTACTGCCTCACAACTGCGCATTGATCGCACACATGATGTTGCGGAGGAGCGGGGTAAATGCTTGTATATAAAAGGCCTCGCTGGCACCTGAGTTTCAGGGGCCAGCGATCAGCCTTGGAATCATACTGTGTCGCACCCAAGTCATACAGCGAGCCTCTATTGCCCGAATCCGTAAAACCTCCCTATCAGGTGTATCGTGAGACTACCCTGACAGTCGCAAAGTCCGTCACAATGCCTAGACCAGCGTTGACAAAGTAGAAGACAGGTCTATTTATGCATGTGCCGTAGAAGATGTGCACGTCCCAGGTTTTGTTAATAGGGTTACAGCTGAATATGTTGGCCAGCACGCCTGCGATATTGTACCCCGCTGCAATAAAAATAAGTACCCAGGCAGCAATGTGGAGATTGCTACTCGGGAAAATGCGGATGTAGAAAAACAAAACAGACACCTTGAGAAACCCAGTGCCAGCATTATAGAAGATTGCAGCTGAGAGGTTAAGCTAGGTCATCGTCAGGGTTTTCGTCAAAAACATCAGTATGATGATCATATCATCGCACCTGGAGAAGTGTTGGCGAGTAATTGCTTATGAGGACATCCCACATGTGACGCCCCATCCCAATTTAACCACTATCACCATCAGAAAGCTCCCTAAAAGTAGTACAGATGCTTACTCCTTAGTGTAACAGCACTCAACGCACACGAGATGACCTAGATCGGTCAGTTAGGAATCCAAGGAGATAGGGAAGATTCGTACAAATGCAGCAATCATGAAAACTGCCATATCGATTAGAATACGGCATCCATCCTGGGAAGGAAGTACTCACTATCATCCCGACTTTAAGCGAAACCCACGCGTGATGAACATGCGAGTCCACACGCGGATCGCTATAGAAACAAAGGCAATTGATAGGAATATGCAATTGACGACAATAAACTTCATACCGCAGCTAGTCGGGTTCACGAAGTTGGAGACCACCCCCTCTGGCGGAGGCCTCGCCGGGGTGAGGTCTGAGCTGGACATGATATTAGTAGGGGATGGAGTTATCGATTGCGTCCGTACCAGCGGCCCGACGGCCAGCGCCCACGAGGGAAGCGCATTTATGCCATCCCGCAAAGTCTCCGACGTCGTTCTGAGGAGTGGTAGCTCAAAGAGACAGGGAGGCGGTTTCGGGCGTCGGATCCATTTAAACCATGGTTATAGCAGAAATACTTTGAAACCGTGGAAAGTTTGCCTGCTTAGTTATAGACTTCCGAGCTCCTCAAGTTAACTAGACCTGTGGCACCTAGAGCATCTATCGGAAACTATACCTCACAGAATGAAGGCTATTATAGATGCAGAAGGATGGTACACGAATTATTAAGGTACATAATTCAATGAGGTTGAATTACTGACAGACAAGTCCTGGCGCGGCAGAAAATAGGGGGGGATGGAAACTGATCGAACGCCACTGTATGATCCGCCAGTCCTTAGCCGACCGGGGGGCAATCCTTTCCATATTGAATATATTTTCGAAATCCTGGGACGTTTTACAGTCAAGAGAAACTTGGTTCCGCCCCGGACTGAGAAGGGCGGTTCTCATTGGGACCGGGGTAACGGGTAGATGGTCTGATAAAATCGGCGCAATCAGACTGCGTCTGTGCTGGGGGTTTTCGGCGCAAGCCTCCGACGCCGGTTTTATATGAACGGGCCCCAGAGTTGCAAAATTTCGAGATTTTGACCACGCCCTCGAAGGGACTTACCGAGATTAACACAAGTAACGGCATTGAATATGGTGCCAACAGCTTTCAATATTCCCACGTGGTAAGATGAGCCATGCTCTTATCTATTGAGCACGTAACCGTCATTAACCGTCACTCCAGGCTTGAAGACCACGCCCACCTCCTCCAGCCCCCAGTGAACAACTACTGCGTCTACCACCCCTCCGCCCCTGCAACTCAGGGATATACTGTCATGATCCTGGGCGGGCCCAATAACCGAACTGACTACCATATCAACTCAACACCGGAATTCTTCTACCAATGTAAAGGTTCTATCGTCTTGAAGACTGTTGATACCTCAACCACGCCTCCCACTTTCAGTGATATTCCGATCCACGAGGGATCACTATTCCTTCTTCCTGCTAATACCCCACACTGCCCCGTGCGGTTTGAGAATACCATTGGAATTGTGATGGAGCAGCCGCGTCTTCCCGGGGCTGAAGATGAAATGCGGTGGTATTGCCGAAATTGCAGCGAGTTGGTCTGGAGCAAGAGTTTTATTTGCACCGATCTAGGGACCCAGATAAAAGGGGTCATCGAGGAGTTTCAACAAGACGAGAGGAAAAGGACTTGTGGGAGGTGCGGTACGCGCGCTGAGATTACTTATGCTCTGGGGGAAGTCGTGCAGCCACCGTGCTTACCACAGAAGTCATAGAATTCTCTGATCAAGGACGCCGTCGTTCCTGAATATGGCTAGTTAAATCTCATTGAATGTATGTACACAGGGTTCGAAGAGTCTGAGAATATTTGACGTCCCACTTTTTCATCTATTCTTTAACGCTGTGACGAGCGCTGAGCACAAAATACATTTTCAATATTGTACTCTGCTTGAAGATAGAACAACTGTTCACAGAAAACTTTTATTAAGAAACTTGGTATTTACGGATTGTTGGCCTTCTGGTTATCTATATATTTAGACCTTTAATGGAAGATAACCTACATAATATAAAAATAAAATGAAGCGTGGAAGGAGTCAAAGATAAGCAGTTTTCCCCTAAAAATAGAACGACGAAACTATTGCTCGCAGGTTGTGGCCATATACGATACTGTCGTTGGAACTTTACGCGCAATAAGGTCAAAATATTAAAAACATAACAGGCACTGCAATTTATGGAAAGATATCTTCGCCGAAACCATCTCCATATTGACTTAGACACCGCAATTCACCTATCATAATCAAGACCACCTTTCAGACAGCTATATCGCGGCAGCATGGTTCTCCAGGTATGAAACGGTCTGTCAGCCAGACATGATTAGCACCGACACAGCAATGACTTGGAGGGGAGCCATACCTCAACACGTGCATCGTAACCGAACATCCAAGGCTGGAATTTTGGATCACTCCATTTGTTAGGGTTTCCAGCAGTATCTGCAGCTTTAGACTGCTGCTCCGGCTGCTTCGGTGGTTCGCCCATCTTTTTATCCCGCTCCTGCTGTGCAGGTCCGTCAGGAAGGTGCCACACGCCACCATTATTTCGCGCACCATCCAAAATCAAGTAGCAACGATCAAGGCGAATGTCCTGAAACTGCCTCATCATGTCGGGAATCTGCTCCTGTTCAGAAACATGGTCCAGGCATTCAGCCAGTGTAACCGCGTCCTCTACAGCCATAGCGGCACCCTGAGCCATATATGGGACCATGGCGTGGCTAGAATCCCCAATCAGCACTAGCTTGCCAGACTTAGACACCCAAGTCTCGAGCTTCTCAATCTCCGCATTCTGCCATTTCAGACACTGCGGGACAAGTGCGATGAGTTTGCAGATAACCGGATCCCATGTTTTGTATCTCTCATTCATGTCATCTAGGCTCGCTCGCTCGTTAGGTTGTCCCACAGGCACCGAACCAGGATGACACATGACGAAGTTGTACAAGGCTCCGTTGCGAATGGGATACGCCATGATATGGCCCTCGGGTCCGATCCAGCAATTGGCGGCGGGTCTTTCGATAAGCGCTTTAAGTTCCGGGTCATCCATCATGAGTTCCCCAGGAATTAATGTTCGGTATGCGCAGTTCGGGTCAGGGATGATCTCCACGTCTCGATCCGTGATCACAGCCTTTCGGACCTGGGATTTGATTCCTAGCAGAAGTTATTAGCCCGAATGCAATAAGCCTAAGGTGATGCGAATGCGTGGATAGCGTACCGTCTGCGCCAATGAGCAAATCCGCCCTATACACAGTACCGTCGTTCAGGGTGACTGAAGGAGCCGCTTCATTGACCTCGGAGACGGAGGCATTGACCTTAACTTCAGTGCCTACCTCATAGGCGCGATCCAGAAGCACCTTGTGTAGGTCCCCTCGGTGAATTAGGAAGTAAGGGTAGCCGTATGCTTCCTCCATCTGGGGATACAGCGGGGTCTTAGTGATGTTAGCTCCGTTTTGCCATCTTTTCAGTATAATAGAGTGCGGCCAGGTGGCGAGCTTCGCTATCTGTGTAATGAATGTTAGATATATCTTCTGGGTCTGATCAATGGAGTGTTAGATGTACCAGCTCATAGACACCAAGTTGCTTGAGAAGTCGAACAGAATTCGGTGGGACCTGAATACCTGCTCCAATGTCAGAGAGCTAACCAGAATTTATCAGCTCTTAATCTTGAACAGGGGACCCGCATAGGAAATTGGGGAGACTAACCTGCGGAGCAGCCTCAAGGACGGTCACCTGGTGCCCCTTTTCTCGAAGGGCAATAGCGGCCGCAAGGCCGGCAATGCCCGCGCCAACAATGACAATAGCAAGTTTCTTTCCAGCCATACTGATCTGTTATTGCTAAGGTCTATGAGAAGTTCTTTTGGGGCCGTCGAGCGGTTGGTAAAGGGTATATAAAGTCCCACCCCGGCCGTCTTCTCACCTCGATAGACCCGCCCGATAATGTACCGCTCCATAATGGCCCATAGCCTAGGGTCACCAGGCCAGACATTTGCGGCAAAGGACGGAAGCCCGAGCGGCTCAGTACGAGTGCCTTATTGTAGATGGTGTCTGGCTTGCGTGGGAAAGTGTGTCGGAGGGAAGGTCCGTAGTCGAATTATCCGCCGGATCCTCTCACGGAGCGAGCTTCCGAGGAAGCATTGCTCGTGGGCGCCGTTCCTCAATTCTGAATTCAAGTGACAGTGGGCTTGTCAATCGAGAGGAAATTGGGAAATATCGGCAGTTCTGATGAGACAGGAAATCTCACCGGGTCGAAACAGAACCACTGGAAGGAAAATTGAGTTGATTGATTGACGTAATCGTCATGAGAGCAACCTTAGGCGCTCACACGAGTAACACATAAAAACAACATGCGAAGCTGTTTGAGGACAACTATGTCATATCAGACGGAAGATTCGCTAGCGAGTACACAACATGAGATGAGCTGGCGATTACACAGCTTCCAAAGGAACAGAAAGGAAAACGATTTTCAAAAGCAAAGCATGCAAACAGAACCGGTCGGGAAGGGGACTTCTTTAGTATCGTATTGTTTATTAAAGAATTCCTAAGTTAATAATCTTTGATGAACTTTTCGTTTCTCTAAGGGTTTCTCCCATTTTGATTAGGATTTAACACTACAACGGTGATATCTCGTAGCAAGTACTCGCGTTATATTAGAATCTTAGTCACTCATAAAACAAGCCAAGAATACTGAAAATATGAAAGGATAGAGGTCAAAAACATCTAATCGTGTGTCTAATGGTCTCAAGCAATCAATACAATATCCACCTTTACCGAATAGACGCAATGTCTTCATATCTCCATACTAGATAGCGCAAAAGGCAAGTGCGCTCGATATATCTGATGCTGATATTCACTCCTGGACGCTTTTCAACTTCATAACTAGGGGCTCATCAAAAATAACCCCAAAAATCTCCCTAACCTTCAACTCACCAAATTTCTTCTCCACCAGCTCAAACCGCCTCACAATCGCTGCAATAGTTATGTAAATCTCAGCCGTAGCAAGATTAATCCCGATGCACCCTCGTGAACCTTTCGAAAACGGAGCCCAGCAGTTACCTAACTGCTTGACGGCGTCTAGGTCGTCTAGAAGCCAGCGCTCCGGCTTGTACATATACGGATCGGGGAAGACCGTCTCATTATAGTTCATTAGGTAGGGGCTTGATGAAATGAAGGTGCCGGACGGGATTAAGTGTTTACCGTAAGTAAGGCCGGATTCGGGAGTTACGCGGGGGAGGCGGGACCTGACGGGACTGCTGAAGCGGAGGCCTTCCTGTAAATAATTAGCAGATATTCTATAATCACTCGTTATTGGAGCAAAGGGGTTTGGACTGGGACTGGTGACGCACCTTGACACAGGCGACGAGGTACGGTAGGGACTCGAGGTTGGATAGCTCTGCAGTGTCACTAGGATTTGGGATGGCTCTCTTTAGCTCCGCATGGAGACGGCCGTATACCATAGGACTGGAGAAGATCTCGTTGAACGTCAAAGTGAGCGTTGTCGAGGTTGTGTCTGTCCCGGCAAAGATATCCGCTAGGCCATCGGCGACCAGAAATTCTTTGCTTAGGGGGTAATTCTGCGTAATGGAGGCGGCGTGTTCGGCTTGCAGGAGGGGCTGGAATCCCGAGTCGTGGTTAGTTTTCCCCGTACTATCGTACCTTTCGAGTGCTTTTTGGACGCGCTATGGAAGAGCTATTAGCATATTTAATAGCGTGGTGGTGGATGTTAGACTCACCAGTCTCATGCGCGGGATAGCCTGAAACACCTTAAAAGGTAATAGTGACAATAGAGCAATAGAGGGTTGACGAAGAGAAGGTATCATCATAAACTGGATAGCAATCAGCAAATTTCCTGTTACATCAGAGGAGGAGATCACATACCAAGAAATTGCTAACAGCAAAAGAATCGAACGCATCTAGGATATCATCATGGAATCTAGGAGACAGAACTGCCTGCATTGACTCCCCGTAGGTGAAATTCGTGATAAAGTCGAGTGAAAGACAGCGAGACATCTTTGAGAGGTCAAAGCTGTTGTTAGCCTTGCCATGTTGGCGCAACACGTCTGAGAGCATATCGACTGATTTCCAGATTTCTGGCTCGAACTGTAGAACACTCTTTCTGGAAAATGGCTTGCTGACCAAACGCCGCAGGGTAGAGTGTTCTTTGGGCTCTGAGCTCTGGAATATCCCTGATGGCCCAGTCTTGAATGGGTCGTAGAAGTAAGCAGCCTGTCTCCAACCGTTAGTGAATTTATGTGCACACGAGAGCATTGTATCATACCTTCATATACTTAGGAGCCTGGCAATAAAGGACACTATTGTGAATCTCAATATCGTTAATGCTGACCTCGTTAGGGCCGATGCGGACGATTGGGCCTTTATCTTTAGAATATGAGCGGAATGTGATGTAAGGAGGTAAAAATACCGAGTCTCTTGTGCAGCTTCGAAATAGCCTGCGGTGAGTTTCCAGCCATATCCTGAAACCATAGCCAGATGCTTGAGAGAGCAGCAAGACGCGGCCCTGGGATGTTGCGTAGTGGCGAAAGTAGCAATTGGTAGAGGACGGATACACAGCCTAGGCACAATACCAGTCCTGCTAGGGTGGAAAAATTATTCAGTAAAGTCATGATTGATTTGCTCTGGAGGAGAAATAGGAACCTTCAGCGACTGCTTCAGCGCAAGACATGACTCCTCGCTATTTATTGATTGGCCCAAGAGCTATTGTAACCCCTCTCAACACTACAGGACTTTTTTAAGTTTTTTTTTTCGGAGGCGCTGTCCGCAATCGGGGAACCCACCGCTTCTCCAGGAAACGATGACTCCACAGACTGGGGCCCCACCGTTCCAAGAAACACTGGCCTGAAATAGCTGGTGCAGACTAAGGCATGCTGGGTGTGAAACGGGGAAAACGACTCTTCATTAGCCTTATTCTTATTCTCAGTCAGATGGAGTAAACATTGGTGCCGCTCGACGGCTACCGCTCAGTAAATGGTCGATTGGATATGATTCCTTGAGAAGGTATGTATTTGGTGCTATAGCTTTTACTAGCTAAATATGCATGTCGCAGTAAATTTACCAGTCTAATGGTAGTATTCAGGAGCTTGCTTAAGCGACTTGAACACTTCATAATCATGGCCGAAGACAATCTTAGCGCCCAGTACTACTTCCAATCTTTCGATGTACAGAGTTGACTGGAACCAAGCATTCCGGTCCCGTCCCAGAAGACCTTTCATGGAGTTAACTGTTAATTTCGCGTATTAAAATCAAGTTAGATAGTCACTACTTACCTTGAGGAATCCTCTTAGTGTAGTTCTCCTTCACATGGAACTGGTCACCAGTAAAGACAAAGCACCCGTCATTCTCAAGGTCTACTTGTAGACAGCACAGGCCGGCGGTGTGGCTGTAGATATCATGTTAGCTGGAAACGGAGTTCCAGAGCGGCATATATGATTTTTCTCTTACCCTGGGCAATGATGCATCGTCAGTCCTGGAAATAGCTGGGTAGCCGAGTCGTTGAATGTTTTCCAATTCAAGCGGTGGTCAAGGTATGAGGGCATATATGGACCAGCATCAGCCTACATATATGGTTAGTCGGCTCGCCCGAGCAGAGAATGAGCTTATAGTGGAGATCAGATGAACCTTTGTGAAAAGGCACCGCAAGGCATTATTGAGTTCCAAGTCATGCACATAGATAGGAACATCGGTGCCGAGGAAGTGCATCAAGCCACCAGAATGGTCGGCATCTGGGCTCACCACATTGGTTTATTAATCCTATTGCAAAAATGATTGACGGAGTGGATTGCTTACGAAGATGACCGATGATAACAGCTCTAATATCCTTGATGGAATGACCGGTCATCGCGATCTGCTCATCCAGCCGGTTTTTGGAGGTATATTGTTTGCGTGGAGACACATCGTACATCTGTCCAGAGACGGATCAGTTCCTATCCATCAAAATTAACCAATAACAAGAGTCCTGACCGGGCCCCAGTGTTTCTCCATATCATCGTGACAGCCTGTTTCAAACAGAATCAGACCGGCCGTGGCATGCTCAATAAGGACACCGTAGACGATCATTTCAATCCGCTTGTGGGTTGGATTTGGGTTGCTCGCCGAGCCAGCTGGATATACTAGTTAGAACCACTGGAGAGTTTGAACTATGCTGTGACTCACCGTTCTCGTGGCCCCCCGCAAGTAGGAAGTTGGCGTCGATGTGCAATGTTCCCATATCAATGAGCTACCAGGTCAGATAACCTCCGTAGTTGGCTGCAGTGATGGGGAAAGCCCTACCCACATCTTTGTGCCCACTGGGCATGGCGAGAAAGTTGGTCGAGGCATGATGTTGGTGGCGATGTTATTAGCGTTTGATGTCCTGGTGTGGCGACGAGTGCGTTGAGATATACAGCTAACGAGGAAGAAGACAAGGCTGGGTAGCAAGACGAAGAAAGCTGGGCACTAGAATTTGCCCAGACTTGAGGGAATCACCCCGCCATAGCTGTTAATGTCGGGGCAATATCCCGATGAGGCCCTCAGAGTATCTACAAAAAGTCTGTCCGCACGGACCGCCAGCCTAACCCATCCCGCTCAGAGCCGCAATTTCGGGCCCTCCCACCGAAACCATACAGAGGATGAAGTATATGTTGAAAGAGACTTAGTTCTGCTCTGAGCTCCTACTCTGTAATTCCTTAGTATCAAATTAAAACCGACGTGCAAAATGACTTGGTCTATGTTGATCCGCTTTGCCGACGATGCGAACAAAGTTCGGTTTGGAGAGCCGCAGATCACTGAGGCTAAAGAGCTCTCTAGCTTGCTAGCTGTGAGCGAGCTCTATGCCACTGAATACGTCGGGGACAGTCCGTTTTCTCTGTCCCTAGGCACGCAAAGGTTTCGTGTGAAGGAACTCCTTGGGGTTCTTGCGCCGCGCGACGTTCCTATCATCCGTTGCATTGGCCTCAACTATATGAAACACAGTAAGAGAAGTTTTACCCTACTACCAGTTAAGTGGTCTAATAATACTCCGGCGGAAAGTTAACGAAGGCGGCCGTGCACCTCCTCCCTATCCATCCGTATTCATCAAGCCGTCGGCCTCCATTGCAAGCTTCCAGGAAGATATTCCTATCCCTAAACTTGCACAGGATGACCAATTGGATTATGAAGGCGAACTGGTACTACATTTCTTCTACGTGTCCCTCCATTACACGGACTGATATACTAACAACCCCACCAGTCAATCGTGATTGGCAGGACCGGTAAAGACGTTCCTGAGCGGGACGCCCTGGATTATGTCGCTGGATACGTCTCATCAAATGACGTCTCTGCCAGAAAATGGCAGCGTGACCCTGCTTTTGCTGGAGGCGTTCCGCAGTGGTGTTTCAGCAAGGGCTTTGACAAGTTCGCGGCCCTGGGTCCAATGATTGTGTCGCCAAAGGTAAATTTCCGTCTTCACTGAAACCACTATTCTTATGGTCAATTGGAAATCAATTAGTGACTAACTATCGATTCTAGGTTGTTGGAGCTGCCGACAATCTCCGACTCCAGACATTCGTCAATGGCGAGCAGCGACAGGACTCCAACACCAACGATCTCCTGTTCGGTGTAAAGAAGATCATTAGCTTTTTAAGCCAGGGTACCACCCTGGAAGCAGGCACCGTGATCATGACGGGAACTCCGGCTGGTGTAGCAATGGGCATGAAGGTCCCCAAGTATCTGAAGGACGGGGACGTGGTGGAGGTTGAGATCGAACACTTGGGACGGACTAGGAACGTGATGAGCTTCGAGTGAGCTTTATAGACTGGTAATCCTTAAATAGAGTGCCACGATTGAGATAAGAATCATCGTTATATGGGGGCAATTATCGAAGCAGGGAATTCCGCTCTTAAAGGTGTTTACTTTGATATTTTAAAGCGTAATGTATCAGGATCAACAGGGCAATCTTAACTGCTTTGCTTCATCTACTATGACCTTCGGTATCTAGGGTCGGTTCCTATCGGAGACATGGTCCGGACTCTTTGATGATAGCGCTATATAAGTAAGTTGACCTGCTTCGGTTTTATTGTACACAGAAGAATATTCAATTTTTTCTCACAGACCATATTCAGCGCCAAAATGACCACGAGTGTCCACCGCGGTTCTTGCTTGTGTAATGGTATTATATTTGAGATTAAAGGAGCGCCCAAGTCAGTCTTCGCCTGTTACTGCAAGGACTGCCAGAAGAACGCTGGAGGGCCATACCAAATCGTAAGTTGAGCCTTATTTGCCCTGGACGATCCAGAGTTATCAAAAGCATTGCCTTAAAAAAGAGTCTAGTGCGCGAAGCTTGAATCCTCTCAGATCAAGTTGCTAGCGGTTGAATGTGTAGCCCAGGTCGGCAACTGGGTCATCGAGGAAACAAAGAGCGGGCATAACAAGGTTAAAGCGTTTTGTAGGCGTTGCGGGTGTACGCTCTGGACTATTCCTATGCATCATGAAGGTAGGATAATGGTGGTAAGGACTGCCTTACGTGAGAAAGGGTGAGCTACCTGTTATTGTTGGCTAAGGACCTCAGAATGGTGCCTGTGCACGGTAGTTCTAATGGTTTTGACGCGACAATTCTTACAGGCTCGAGACTTTCAAGCCCGCCGCCGAAATGTTCGTGCAATTTAGACCTTCTTACTTGGAGAGTATTGGAGATACGAAAACTTTCGATACTATGCCGGGGTACTAAGCATGGCGTGTTTCTACCGAATTCATGTCTATCTGATGCACGCTAGGGTTCGGAGTGAAAAGAGGAGGACGCTTAGCTTATTCCGTTTATACTGTATCTTACGAGGAGCGAACCATTTGCAAGCCGTTAGCAGCCTTAGTAGGCACGACCATGGAGTGCATTAGTCTGATGGTGATGGGCAGTGCCGCTCAGATGCTCCGAACTAGAATCGGGACCTGGATGTGAGAGGACCAAAAGTGGGCTACGCCTGCCTCTTGCTGACCGGCGATTCCTAACGAGTGTAGGCCCGAGCAATCAATGGTTCTCGGAACCTCTCTCCGAAGGCAGTACAGAACAACGGAGACCTGTACAGAAAAAGGATATGAGAAACGGTTATAACTAGCTAGGATGTATGAGACCTTCCGAAACCGCATCAAGTCCTGAGAAAAACACGATGTCTACGTCAACTTCAGTCCCAGAAGATTTCCTTGCGGCAGTTGCAGCAAAGCACTCGGCGCCGTTATGGACGGTGCTCAGCAAGATGGTGCCGCCGCATCCTAACCCCAAAGCCTCAGCCGAGGAATGGAAATTCGACGAACTAAAGCCCCTGCTGATGGAAGCCGGCCGTATCGTCGGCGCAGAGGAGGCCGATAGACGCGTTTTGATGCTAGTCAATCCTAGCATGGGTACGTACACCTGCTGTCTTGTTTGTAGGGCATAGTTCCACGGACAAAGCCTGACCTGTTCTGCGCAGAGGCTCCATATACTACAGATACAATCTACGCTGGTCTACAGCTTATTCTTCCCGGGGAGACTGCGCCAGCGCACAGACATGTAGCATTTGCCCTGCGCTTCATAATCGAAGGTGAAGGCGGCTTCACTGCGGTGGAAGGCCGCAAAATCTCCATGTCTCGCGGAGACCTGATCCTCACTCCATCATGGCACTGGCACGACCATGGTAATGAAGGAAACAAGCCTATTATCTGGCTTGACGGGCTCGATTTACCTCTCTTCAGGAACGTCCCGGTCAACTTTGCGGAGAATTATACCGAACCTCGGTACCCTAGCCAGTAAGGAAATAATGCCGCTATCCCAGTGCAGACTAATATTTTCATGATCTAACTGCCATCTTCTCTCTACAGACCTGTTTCAATTAGCTCCCAATCCTTCCCTTGGCATGCCGTCCAGAAAGCTCTGGATTTCGGAACAGGTCCCTACGCTCTCTACCACTATCACCGGATTGAGGGGCGACACCTTTCAGCATCTATCAGCGCCCAAGCCGAGCGAGTGGCCGCAGGGCACACCACAAATGCGACTCGTGATACGTGCTCATTTGTCTATCACATCCACTCAGGCTGTGGCACAACGCGTATTCGAGCCGCGGATGGAGGAGAAAAGGTGATTCAATGGAAGGAAAAGGATACTTTTGCCGTGCCCGCTTGGTCAGAGGTACAGCATACCGCGGTGGATACGAGCTATCTCTTCGCCATTAATGATAGGCCAATGGTGGAGAGTCTTGGTCTACACAGGCAGTCATCATAAGCAGATAGGCACGGTGATTTATCATCATCATCTTGTGAGGTTTATATGCAAATAGTACACCACGAACAAGTTCCTGGTAGATTTCATCGAAATACATAGGTTTGTACAAATTCAAGCCCAGCCTGGCTGGAAATTGATCAGCCCCTCAGCCCCCAGCTCCTGACCCCGCGACGTGACAGTATCATAATCAAAGGCGTTCCAGAAACTAAATGAACTTTGCAGTAGAGAGCCCATGGTCTCTGTAGAAAACCCCCCCAATTCTTCCATCTGGTTCGTGTTTACGTTGCTCGTGGTATCCTGCATTCCAGAATCGGGCGGCACATTCACGGGTCCCCAGGCCTCCACTCCTATCCCGTTTCCCACGCCCACATGATCAAGGCCTGTATCCCTATTCCGTGCTGGAACGAGGGTACTCAGCATCATCTCTTGGTCCTCGCTGTCACCGTTACTGTTGGGAGGGCCTTTCTCGTGAGGTCTGACAGGTTCCTATAATTTGAAACATGATTAGCCACATTTCGAATGCCTAGTTAACTATCGGACTTTGTTTTCATCTACAGGGGCTTTACCTGCTCATATGCAACTCGGTGTAATTGTTGGAGAAAATTCTCGCTTTGCTGTAACTTGTCTCCCCCAAAAGGAACCAGAGAATGGATTGTCTCGAGCCCCTTGCGGATTGTTTCATGGATCACGGCCACATCTAGGATTATTGCCGCTCGGTGCTCAGTGGGAAGCCCTACAGCACCGAGAAGAACACATAGAGAATCGAAATTGACTGATCGGATGCTTAATTAGACTGTTTTGAAAAGGGATGCACGAATGGACGGCTTACAGTGAAAATCCCACCACCATGCACCGGTCAGATTGGCGGGGCGGTTAACACTGATCGTGTCAATCTGCTGCTGCGCTGATCTGACACATATCTGAGCACTTAGATAGGCCAGCACGCTCTCGAACTTGGACTGAGGCCGTATAACAGTACTGTTGGCGGCCGGTCCGTGCATAAGGTCGGGAAAGAGCGGTGGCCAGTGATAAGACGGATATGTGGCGCTCTCCATGGGCTGACACGGGCCAAGTAAGAGGAGGATAGTTTGGCGGTGAAGCAAAATGCGCAGTCCGAGGAACCTATTTTTAAGGACAATTTTGCATCGTTGTACCCACCAGGGTTGTGGTGAGTCTTGCTGCTCTGTGCTGTCCAAAGAGAATCGAAAGTAGTCAGGGAGAGATGCATGCCAAGATACTAGTCGTTCGTCAGCCTCTACCAAATCTATTAGCGTCTGCAATACGTTGCGCTGTGTTTCGGGTTCGACAGGTGTCTCGGATTGTCGACGAGGTGTTTGCAGCTCTTCTGTGATCTTGTCCATCACTAGGTAGAGACGGACGGTGTAGTGAATGAAGGCGTTCACCGAAGGGGTTCTATCTGGTTGTGTCTTGCCGTCGCATATGTAAATGTCGTCAACCAACCGGGGAAGTGGGGGGTTTGAGAATCTGGGGTGTAAAAGAGTTGGCTGACGACCATAGATCATGCTGGCCACCCTGACATCTCGAAACATTAGCACACATCACCAAGGAGTACGGTCTATGCGACAAGCGACATACCTGTCGAGGGAGAAACACCCCCACCAAAGGCGCCTGCCAAGCTCACGATCAAGAGGGGCTTGCGAGCAATCCCGCGAATCCAAGTGCAAGTTTAGGCATTGTGCAATCCTTGTGGCATGGCCGATAGTAAGCCAGCATTGTTTCCCCCTCATGGTACCTTGTTGATACTGTGCCATCAGCAAGAGCGTCTGCAGCATGCTGATTGAGCAGGTATTATATGTATGCGCGACAATAAAGGCGCGGGCACACCTATAAAAGGAAGTGCCGGAACCCATAGTGCTCACTAGATCGCCGCCGGGGGTTATGTTGCGGCAGAATTGGCAGCCCAGTGCAAATATCAAATTCATCGTCGCCATAGCAACTGGTTTAATGGGGCTGTCGGATGTGTACATCTTGTCGAACCGAGCCAGCGTATCCGCTTCGATTAAGAAAGGCCAGATAGGGTGGACATTAGTAAAGTACGCCTCTAGCAACTGTTTCGCAACATGTCGATGCGGTAGGCCTTGGAAAGATGGCAGGGCCAAGTATGACCGCAACGTGGCGAGATCGTCCTCGTCATCCCATGAGCCGGTAGATGAGCTGGCATTCACTTCAAGAAAGCCCTGTCTAGGGGGTAAAGCGTGGCCTACTGTGGATACAGACATCCTTAGAGGCATAGTGGAGGCCTTAACGTGCATGGCAAACCGAAGAGAATAGGAATCACTGTAGAATCCGTCCGTATCTTTCCCTTGTTGTGGCGACATGGAGTATTCCACCATTCCATCTGTTGCCGGCAGTTCCTCTGCCGTTTCCCTGGCTCCGGTCTCATTTTCGCTGGTGGGAAATGCCGATATTGGGGCGATGGGCTCGGGGGCTACAGGATTGTAGTCCTTGTTACCTTCGCCGATCTCTGTAGCAGCATCATCGTCCTGTACCAGCGCGAGAAATGGCTGTGGACCATTCGATCGACTGTGCGAGCTGTTTAGGGGCGAGGGGATTGAGCCCTGTGGATCCCTTGCTATCGCCTCTGGCTGGTTGTTTACTTGAGCTTCCAGCTCCTGGACTCTCGCTTCCAAGTTATCCACATGACTGTACAAAGTCAGGACCTATGTATCAAAAGGATTCTGAGCTACAGGGACGTACAACTGGGAGCAGATGGCCCTCTTGTACAGAGGCGGATAGACACAGTCCTGGTTGCGACCTTCACAGAACGAACAGCGCGGCCGTCTCGAGTCGCATCGGGCTTTCCGGGCCTTGCAGGTGGAACACGCCTGGTGCACCTGATTATTCAACCGATCGGCCATTGTCTTTCTTTTCGCTGGGACTGAGCGTCGAGGCGCCGGATTTGGCGGTGGTGATTTGGCGGAGTCGGACATGTCGACGGTGACCTTCACCTAATGGATGGTGGGTTGTTTGAAGAGAAGCACCAGCGCGGAAATTAAATTACGACTGAATGCACAATATCTTAATTTTTTTTCTTCTTCTTCCTGGATGCGGGGTTGTTTCCCCAGACCCAAGAGTCTGGAGACTTGGAACTTCTCCACAGACCTTTTACTGGATAGGATGCCACAAGGCGAACCACATACGGACTAGTAGTAAACTTGGGTCGTCGGACGGACCCTCCGAAAGCATTAGTGACCAATCAACAGCTGAAAATTAATTTAGTTATCGAGTAATCAGCAGTCATCATGATGACAAGCAGACTTTTCCACAGCGACCGAGCGAGGCCCCTTCCACCGTTATCAGTGCCTGAGTTTAGAGATGTTCGCTGATATCGCTGTCAGTTAGCGTAATAGTCTTGATTTGTAGAAATTCGTCAAATGCTAGGAGAGAAATATCGTCAGAGAACAGCTAGGAACCTTACAATTGGAATTATGCATCAACTCACCCCAAGGGACACCAAACCGCCCCCATCCGCTTGACCTGGTTCCTCCATGAGGAAGCTGGACTTCATCGTGCACAGTCATCGAATTGATGTGGACCGAACCACTATCGATTCTGCGCGCAATCCTTATTCCTCTCGCCACATTCTTGGTGAACACGCTGGCGGACAATCCGTATTCGTGTCCGTTCGCCAAAGCTACCCCCTCATCTTCGGACTCGAAGGCTAAGACGGCGAGTGTTGGGCCAAAGCTCTCTTCCGAGTAGAGCCGCATGGATGGCTTCACGCCAGTAAGAATTGTGGGATGTAGACTAGACCCGTTTCTTTCTAGCTTTCCAAACGCCAGTCTAGCCCCTTTGTTGATTGCGTCTTCAACAAGTGCTTCGGTTTTTATGGCTTGCTGATCAGACACGGCCCAACTGCGGGGAATCTGTGGCGCCTCGGCTGACAGTCTAGAAATCAACGTCTCGGCCACGGATTTATGAACCAGGACCGTGTCGGTTCCCATGCAGATTTGCCCATGCTGCGATGCGAGTAGTTAGTTCACATAGCATTCGGTAATCTACAGGACGAGCAATCAGTGACGTCTTACATGCCCAAATGCGCCCATCACAGCGGCCTTTGCCGCCTCCGTAAGGTCAGCATCTTCAAACACTATCAGCGGTGCCTTGCCGCCTAGCTCAAGAATGCAAGGTTTCGCATAGTCCGCAGCCTTAGCAGCAATTATCTTGCCCACAGCCGTGCTCCCTGTGAAATTCACTTTGCGCACCGCCGGGTGGCTAATAAGAGTCTCGACGATCTGCGCCGCGTCTTCTTTACGGTGCTGGATAATATTCAACACCCCGGGGGGAAGCCAGCTTCTTTCAGTAATCGGCCTATAAAGTGATGCACGCCCGGACTGAGCTCTGATGCTTTCAGAATTGCTGTATTTCCACATGAGATTGGCGTTATCACGGAGCGAAGGGCAAGAAATAGGGACGCGTTCCACGGCGCGATACCGAGTTGGACTCCGTACGGCTGCTTGACCACAAATGCCATCCTGTTGGATTCACGGCAGTGCGGTAACATTCCGTTCGTCATATTTGTGATCTGGGCAGCGAGCTCTTCGAATAAAGCGATGCCATTGTTGATGTTGATTTCCTCGACCATGAAGTCCGGAGCGGGGGTTTCTAACTGCCACACAAGTCAGTTCACGTCCCTGTTGGGTCATGTAAACATCACTAAACATCGCACACTTACCTTGATAAGCTCTGAAATCTCTTGTCGTCGATTGTGCAGGATGCGAGCAGCAGACTGTAGCAGCTTTCGTCTCTCCCATGGCGATGTCTTGGACCACGTCCCGAAAGCTCGCTGTGCGCTCTCAACAGCCGCAACGGCTAATTCTGGAGTCGCTCCATTCGCTGTGTGGACAGTCTTGCCTGATTGTCCATTAATAACAGGGAACTCTATTGCGCTGCTAACATCTTCGTTGTCTATCCAGAGAGGTTGTACGGGTGCCATATTTCTGAATATCGATGGTAGATGAGCACGGAATTGGCCAGCATTGAACTACAAGCTAGTCGGTGCCGTTTTATCTTTTTATAAGAAATTACCCCATGCGCCGTACTAATTCGTTTCGGCAGGATAGATTGCACGGCTTTCTGTACCGCACACCTTCCTACCGCGGCCGGACACCCCGTCGGAGATACGGACCGACAGCCTATGCAGAGGCAGGCATGGGAGAACGATGCTGGTTCGGCTGGATTTCTGTAGCTGATCCAATCTCATCATATCTTTACTATCCTCTCTACTTCTCGCTTCAGGCCGGTGATATTGTTTTGGGCTTTCAAAAGCGATCCAATTGTGCTCACGATATCTTTTCCCCGCCAGAGAAAATCATCAAGATGGCTGGGACTGTGGATATGCTTGTCTGCCGCGAATTAGGTGGCCCGTACGAAATTCGAAGGGTCAGATTAGGGACACTTCGCGACGACGAATTACTTGTCCGGATTATCGCAACAGGCGTTTGCCATACCGACTTTTCCTGTTGCGATGCACGTATATTTCTTCCGAAAACTTGCATATACCTAGCGAGAACTAACTGACGCTAGGGAACGACTCCAGTCCCCCTACCCCTGGTTGGTGGGCACGAAGGCGCTGGTGTTGTAGAGCGGATAGGCTCCCAAGTCGCGCATATCTCCCCCGGTGATCATGTGTTACTCAGCTTCAGCACCTGCGGGGATTGTGCTACTTGCCAAAGAAACATGCCAGCTTACTGCGCAAATATCTGGAAATTGAACTTTCTTGGGACTCGAACGGACGGCACAAAGGCGTACACAGATGCCATAGACGGGACAGAAATATCCTCGCACTTCTTCGGCCAGTCGTCGTTTGCGAAGAAGGCCATTGTCAGAGCCAGATCTGCAATTCTGGTTGCTCCAGATCTTCCGCTACAGACCTTGTGTGTTCTTGGATGCACGCTGCAGACTGGTGCTGGAACGGTCCTGAATCAACTCCAACCACGGCGAGGAAGCTCTATTGCGGTATTTGGAGCTGGTGCTGTCGGAATCGCGTCGATACTAGCCGCACGGTTGACGCCCGATATCAAAATTATTGCAGTCGATGTTTTGGCTAGTAAGCTGCAAATCGCGAAGACGCTTGGGGCACTTTACACCGTTAATTCAACGAACAAGGACCCTATTGCAGCAATCCTTGCACTGACAGGGGGCTTTGGTGTTGAGAGGGCACTGGACACAACAGGGAATCCTGAAGTTATTAAAACAATGCTGTCAGTCACCGCGCCGGATGGAATTGCTGCGTCCGTCGGGGCGCCAAAGATTGGAACAAAGATCGACATAGAGCCGGCTATCTGGATTACTCGTGGAGTAAGCTACATAGGCGTTCATCAGGGGTCTTCTCGACCTCAGGAGGTAGGCTCTATCCAAGTTTTTTGATCGTTCTATGGCGCTAATTCCAAGAATAGTTCATCCCCCGACTGATTCAGCTATGGGCAGAAGGTCATCTGCCTGTGGAGAAGATGATAACAAAGTACAACTACACCGAGATTGAGCGCGCGAAATCCGAGCTGCAAGGTGGATCATGTGTGAAGGCAGTTTTGCTCTGGGACGAGGAGTAAATATCATAATCCCAGAAATTTCATTTTTGTGTTGAATTTCATCGTAAGCATCAAACGTCGAGTAAACAGACCGATTCTCTAACCTAAAGTTAGCTTCAGCCGAACCTCTCAAGAATCTAATGCTGAACTGTAAACACGGACCAGAAAACCAAAGATCGTACGCCCTCGACCTTCTCACGTTACCGTTGACCCGCACCCCGGGCATCCCGCTACGAGAGACGGGGACGGCCTCCGGCATCCCCTCCGGCGTCTTCGGCCTCAGGGTCCGCAGTGTCCTTCACCAGCCGGCGGTGGTAGGTTAGAAGTCGGCTGCGGTGGAAAGTGGTGCGACTATATCTAGTGATGTTGCAGTGACATGGAATGATGAAATTGTGAAGCCTTGAACTGTTAAACCTTTCGCATCAAATTATTTACCTACATCATGTCTGGCCAACGGTCAATCGCCTTCGCCGGCCTCGGACGTATCGATGTCCATCACCATTGTTTCCCCAGAACTGTCCCGGAGTTGAAGTCCGAGTTTGAGGACAATTCCTACAATCTCAACTATTCCCCCTTTCCCTCCACGCCACAAGAACATATCAAGTATATGGACGAAGTTGGCATTCAGACTGCTGTGATTGTGAGTCTTGGAAAACTAACCTAGTATTAGATTTGGCTCCTAACATGATTCTGTATTTGTCCTCAAGACTCCGTCTATCAAGTCCGAGTGGCACAACGGCTACACGGCCCCCAAGTTCCTCGAACTGTGCCGTAGGTCCTTCCAGGCCCAGCTTGAATATATTTCTTTCAACCCCCTTCGATTTGGTATAGAACCTGGAACTGTAAAGGACAGGGCACTACTAACGTTATAACAAGGCTGTTTCGCTGTTCTCCCGCTGCCGCATATCCAGGAGAGCATAACCTTTATCCGCGAAGCATCCTCCGCTCCGACACCCCCGGATGGTTTCGCCGTGACCACCGCTATGGGTATATGATTACAACCTCCGTATCAGCCTCCTCCTAGCTAACGGTTCATCTAGGCCAGCGCTATCTTGGTGATCCCGCTTTTGAGCCTGTGTGGGCTGAGGTCAACAAGCTGCGAGCGGTCGTCTTCATCCATCCAGCGGACACGGTCATGCCTGAGTACCTAAACTTCGGCCCGTGTAAGTCAACAACGCAGTACTCAATAATTTAGCATGCAACTGATCTAGTTGTGTACAGTCGTCCAGGAATTCCCCTTCGACACCGCCCGCGCCATCACAAGCATCATCCACTCCAGTGTCCTCGTCCGCCAACCGGATATCCGCTTCCTCTTTTCCCACAATGGCGGAGCGTTCCCGTACCTTGCTGACAGGATCGGCCGTCAGCATCTTGACAATGTCATCACCAAGACAAACAAGGGTCTCACAATGCGCGATCTCCTGGCGACGAAGAATATTTACTTCGACACCAGCATCTCCTCCCCGATGCAGTACCCTATTATCAAAGATATCGGTATCCCGTCGAAGCGTCTGCTCTACGCAACTGACTATCCGTACACAAAGCGCGATGACAATATCACTTATTTGGACGGCTACAATGCGCCCAAGGATTCCGGTCTTTATGACGATGCGGAGATGGAAGGCATTCTTCGTGAGAATTCCCTAGAGCTGTTCCCCCGCCTTGCGAAGTTGTATGCTGCGCTTCGTTGATGTTACTACAAGCTACGAGATTTTTGTGTCTACAATTGTGCAAATTAAGACCTAAGAGGAAAGAAAATATATCTGTTTCGAGGATAACACTATAACTAATAACTCCAGTTTCTATCTGATCCTAAACCCAGTAAATGTGTTTTAAATTCTCGACTTAACATGTGCTGATCCTAGTCTCCTACTGAGATTTAACTTATCCTACAGTAACACTGGTTATGAGACACTCAATTTTTCATTTGCAGTGCATATACTAAAATTACTGACGTCTGGCAAAGTCTACTCCTGAATCAAACTCCCAAGTAGAGCAGTATAGCTAGAATCTGTATACTTGTGTTTGTAATGAATAAGTAAAGATCCTAACCCATAGTTCCTGTTATATAAAATAGGTAACAGCTTCCAACACATACTCCCATCTCGATGGTTTCTGAGCCTTCCAGCCCAGAGACCTAATGCGACCCGCAAGCCCCGGCGAATTTACGCCCCAGATAGCCGGTCCGGGATGAGGGGTTGACTGCACATCTAGCGTTTCCTACACAGAGAGGTCATCCACGGTATCGCTGTCGAAATGCCCCTTTTCAAAGCCGTCCTCAGCAACAGACTTCGTCAGGTTCTTCCAAACATCATGGCCAATTCAACAAGTAGTACCCCTCCGCATTCCAGTCTGCCTTTCCGCTCCCCTTCAGGGCTTCTTCAACGAAGAGAACATAGTACAGTTAACTGTTAGTTAATTGTGTCAAGAATTGGATACATCGTCTACCCCTCTATTTTCCCCTCATTATTTTCTGTTTTGCACTAGTCTTTATTAGTTATCTCGCCCCCTAAATTGTTGGGCATTCCCAGATTTATCTTAATCAGAGATTAATTTATTCGTGTATTGCAATTCCATAATGGGTAATCGTGCCGTCGATTTTTGACAAATTGTACTATTTCAGTATATGAGAGTGGGGCTTCCGCCGGGCAAACACGCCGAGCCGCACGGCTTACCCAACACTTGTCAACACTTGTCTCGCGGCCACACCCTCCGTCGGAGACTTATACCGATACCTACTTATCCTTTGATAGATATTAACGACTAAGTTTCGTGCTTTGAATCGTAAGAGTGTACTTACATGCTTTAAGTTTTCTCAATTAGCGATACAGAACCTTAGTGATTAAAGACGCCGTGAATCGTAGTCGGGCAAAGAATGAATGTTCTATGAACCAGGGGCAGAAACCGAAGGTTGAGAGGGGAAATTGTACTAACTTAATAGGCATATTAAAAACCAACTGCACTGTCTGTGTCGTGGAGCGATCACCGGAGCAGAGCAGAGAATACTGTGATACCCGGAGTAAATTGGTCCAATTTGCGGTGCAAACCCAAGGTCAAATGCAAAAAGCAGAGAAATGTAGGGCAGTCAAATAACCCATGAGAGGGAGCTGTAAATTACTGCTCCACAATGGTCGACACGTAGAAAGTTCGGGTATATCTTACTAGCAGAAATCCAAATATCCAATGCGAGATTAGGATAGAGGTCTAGCTCTGGCCCTGCAGATGCAGATCGGACCCTTCCTCCGCCATCCACCCCATGGGGTAGCAGCCCGGAGATCTCCAAGATATATAATCCAATTGCCGGTTGTTCTTTCATCTCTCTTTCTCTATCACGCGACTTAGATACCTGCGACGTTTATCTATACTTCTCTACCGCGAACATATTCAGCCATGAAAAGTAAGACCGCTCACTCGGCAATGGACGATAAAGATACTTACGTCGATCTCCAAGAGCATGTTATGCTTGAGGAGCTCGAGGACGGCCGTTCGTCTGGCGGGCTATTGAAATATAGCAAAAAAGGAATCTTACTTGATCCTCAACCAAGCGATTACCCGCACGATCCTCTGAACTTCTCGCATTTGGAGAAAGGTCGTGTTTTGATTGGGTTGGCATATTGGGCTTTTCTGGGAACTGCCAACCTGATTATCATCGTAAGATAAATGCATTGGCATTAACGAATATCCTACCTCCGGAGGCTGACTGGGAGACACCTGACAGACTCCTGCTTTCTTTGAAATTGCCGCAAATTACAATACCTCCCTCGAGTCTGTAGCTTACACAGTTAATGGCCCCCTCATTGCATATGGAGCTGGGGTAGGTTCCCTCTACAACGGTACAAACTCAGAGCCAGAATAATGCTAAACGAGTATACAGTGCCTTTTGTGGGTCCCCATTGGGAACCTCATAGGAGTACGGCTCTCATTTCTGATATCCGCTTTTGGAGCCGCAACATTGTCAATCTGGGCCGCTCTTGCACCTACTTTCCCCCAATTTGTTGCCGCCCGGGTTCTCGCTTCTCTCTTCTTCGCATCACCAGAGGCATATGGACCCCAGATTGTCACCGATACCTTCTTCCTACACCAGCGCGCTGCGAGCACGAGTGTCTTCACTGCATTCCAATTCTGTGGCTTTACGTTTGCCGGCTTTATTGGAGGATACGCAGCTATGAATCATGGGTGGCGTGCGCCATCATGGGCCATGGTCATCATGTCATACATTGCTTTTATGGTTGTTGCCTTCATTTTTCCAGAGACTACGTTTACTCGATCCAAGGCGTGTGAACGAGATGCAAAGCGCCGATATATCCACACTTTCAGCTTGAGTCCCGGAAGTGGTGGTGGACCACCAAAATCCTCCAGCTTGTGGAGGTCGTTTGCAGCGCCGTGGAAATACGTCTTTCACCCTACGGTTATGCTCGCCACCATATTTTTCTCGCTATTCCTGGCAACCAATGACTACCTATTAACTAGCAACTCCATCGTTTATCCAACGGTATACGGATCCACTCTAGAAGAGGTGGCTCTTACTTCGTTTGCGCCTACTACTGGCTGTCTTCTAGGAATTCTTATTGGGGGTTGGGCGAATGACAAGGTAAGTTTCCCCTGATCTTACAGCTTCAATCACATCATCAGCTAATTCATGGCAGTACGTCGCATGGCAAATGACCAGAAATACGGAGGGCGTATTTATTCCCGAGATGCGACTTTCTATGGCCATCATAACAGTCATTTTAGGCCCCGCAGGTCTCGTCCTTTTCGGAACTGCCGCCCAGTATCGTCTCCATTGGATTGTACCGCTCTTAGGAGAGCTCATGGTCAATCTAGCCTTAGTCATAGCTGGGAACATTACATATACATACATGGCCGATGTATATCAAGAACGAACTGACCAGGTGCTCGTCATGCTGAATGCTCTGAAGAACTTGTCAGCATTCGGCTTGGTCTATGCTGTTACGCCCTGGAACACTCATAGTGGCTATAGTGTTGCTTTTGGTTGCCTGGCGGTCATCTTGTTTGCTGCTCACTTGCCACTTGTTCTATTGTATTATCGGGGTGCGAAGATGCAGACTTGGGAGACCAAGAAATTTCCTGTCAAGTAGATAGATATTGTATTGCAGCCGCAATTCCGGAGATTACATTAAGGCCAGCATTGATATTAAGGCTTACTCGTACTCTGTAGCACGAGACGTTACTTCGAAAGTTGCAGTCTGCTTTTGCCTCATCCGCTTTTGAACTGATGTAATTTCTGGACAACGGAATCCCACAACTTGGGGAATTGATAAGGGGAGAACACTTTTTGTTAGGGCGAGAACAACTTATGTAATAAAAGTAATTACATAAGTAGAATAATCATGTGATCTGTATTTGGATTACAACAGCAATCATCATTCTATAGTCTATTCTTCGATAAGTCCTGGCTACCCCCCCCCCCCACCCTTTTTGTTTTGAAGCCCTGTAGTTATCTACTTCATAATGGAGCCCCCTACAGAACAGATCTTCGATTCTAAAGAGCTATTATTAGACTCTGTACGCCAGCACGCGCACTCCCAAGGCTATTCTATTGTTATTATAGGATCAAGAGCAAATGCAAACGTCTCTCTTGGCTGCGATCGTGGTAGAATTTATCATGATCGTATTAATGCGCAAGTAGGAGCAAATCGACGAATTACAACTACACGACGGACTAATTGTCCATTTCGACTATATGGCAAGCGGAATATTAATAGTGGGAAGTAGGAATTACAGGTACATTGTATAAGTCATAATCATGAAGCTAATCATAGTATGATAGCGCATCCGTCAACTCGTAGACTTAGCGAGCAGCAACTAAATAATATCCAGAATTTGTCTGAGGTTAGAGCAAAGCCCCGTGATATCTATTCTTTAATTAAACGGGAGCACCCAAATTCCCTAATTACGACTAGGGATATCTATAATGCGCGAAGCGCACTACGCAGACAGAAGATAGGTAATAGAACTCCTATTGAATTCTTACTAAAATCTTACAAGAGAACGCATAGAAATATACTTTAAATGAAGATATAGAGGGACGTATCCTCTTCTTCCTATTTACGCACCCTAAATCAATTCGATACGGTAATAAATATAATAGGGTTTTTGTGCTAGATTGCACTTATAAAACGAATCGATATCAAATGCCTTTATTGCATATTATTAGCATAAGCCCTTCGAACTCGACGTTTAGTATCGCATTCTGCTTTATGCGTAATGAACCAGAAGAGAGCTATATTTGGACTTTGAATGCGTTTTTCTCCCTTTTAGACCCTATACCTTCTGAACCTATTATTTGTACTGATCTAGACCTAGCTCTATTAGGCGCATTAAATATTGTCTGCCCTACGTACCCACATTTACTTTGTATATGGCATATTCATAAAAATGTGGTACAAAAAACAAAGGAGCACTTTTCTACAAATAAAGAGCATAAAAAATTTCTACAATTGTGGAATCTGCTAATTTATTCTACTACAGAGGATACGTATAATTCTAGGCTTCTAGAATTTGAGAAGCAATTTGAATCCCCTCCCCTTCGCTATATAAAGGAAACTTAGCTAATTCATAAAGAGATATCCACCCATTCTGGCGCATAGATCTTGATGGGGGTTCAGATTATCTTCCAATTTTGGAGCCTACAATTCCATTGCCTAAGCCTAAAAAACGGAAGAGGGAGGAAGCGCAGGCAGTTGAAATCATTAGTGAAGAGCCTATGAAGAAGAGAAAGAAGGCGCCCCCAAAGTGCTCTACATGTGGTGAAGTTGGGCATCCTCGAAGATCATGTAAATAATAAAATGAAAATTGAAATCTAAATACAGGTCACATGATTATTCTACTTATGTAATTACTTTTATTACATAAGTTGTTCTCTCCCTAACAAAAAGTGTTCTCCCCTTAGAGCCCCTCCCCTTATTAATCCCCGAGCAGACTATTGCGATTATGTCATGCTCCGTGAGCAGATCAGGGCGCTCAGCGCCGTGCTCAGTTTTACTCAGGGAGCAAGCAGTGAGCACTAAAACAGAAAAAGCAAGCCAAGACTTGCCAGACATTATCCGGTACATATGGAGAATGTTTAGAGAGGGGTCCCGAGGATAGCATCTTGTGTGCGTGTCATACTTTCAGATCGGTTTATGCTTCGAGTCTCAAATGACCAAGCAATAGACCTTGCATGTGAGTCCTTGCATGTACGGAACATATATATATTGAAAATTGGAGGCTTGTTTTCAAGGAACGTAGATGCATTTGTCTTGGGACTAACTAGCAAGTGTGTCCGCTGAGTAGCACCTGTCGGCGACCTCCGATGCTCGTCAAGCGTGCGAAAGCCACCGTCAGACGGAAAGGTTGTATACCCCATTAGTAAGGGAACAATTAAACTGTATAAGGTTAGATAGACACGGAAATTATTGTGGACGTTGCCTATAAGAACAGGTTGGATACCGGGATTTCGGCGTCCGGTTATTCAACCCCGGCCTCAATGACAGCCTCGTCCCTTCATAACTTGATTTTACTTAAAGTTGGTTGTGGAAGGTCTTACGATAGTTCTATTTCATGTTCCTCATTTTTAAATCTCTAATTGATTATGGACGAAAAAGGAAGTGGCAACTCACGGCTCAGCGGCGATCAAACCGTTCAAGCAAGCAAGAACCTCTCCATACCTAAGGCTACTGCAAACGATACTATTTCCATTCCTAATGGCGGAACAAAGGCGTGGATCCAAACTGTGGGAACATTTTTCATCTTCTTCAATACCTGGTCAGCATTTTTTCCATAACAAAACATAAAGACAGCAATGAACACATATCTTCAGGGGAATCCTCAACACATTTGGCGCATATCAAACCTACTACGAGACGGGAGACCTATTCAGGGCGTCATCTTCCACTATCTCATGGATAGGCTCGGTGCAATCCTCTTTGCTGTTAATCTTAGGGTTAATCACAGGTCCTCTCTACGACGCAGGTTACTTCCGTGTTTTGTTGTCCACGGGCTCCTTCCTAGTAATATTTGGACAAATGATGACCAGTCTGTGTCACGAATATTATCAAGTCATTCTTGCACAGGGCTTCTGCATTGGCATTGGAGTCGGACTTATCTTCATTCCTGGTGTTGCTATTCTGTCCACCTATTTTGATACAAGGTTGGCCCTTGCAAATGGGATCGCGGCCACAGGGGGCGGGTTAGGTATGTGAATTTCCAAGCTAAAATTTCATTTATAACAGTCAACTTGTGTCTAGGTGGAGTTCTGTATCCGATAATCTTCCACCGACTCATTGACCGAATTGGATTCGGCTGGACTGTACGAGCAATGGGTCTGATTGTCTTCATTACACTTCTGATTCCACTATTGGTATTTAAAATCCGAGCTCAGCCTTCCAGCAAACGGAAAATGATGGATCTTTCCGCGTTTAAAGAACCCGCATATACATTCTTCGTTCTGGGTGGAATCCTGACATTCATATCGCTTAACATTCCCTTCTTCTATATCCAGTACTTTGCGGTTACCAAGAAGGTTGCTGCCGACGAAGTGGGATTTTACCTGCTGTCGATTATTACAACAGGATCAGTCCTTGGCCGAATAGTCCCCAACATCTTCGCAAACAAAGTCGGTCCGTTCAACATCGTTTTTGTATGCACCATGATATGTGGTGCCTTGATGTTTGCACTGATTGACCTGTCCAATATGGCGGGAGTTGTGGTGGTTGCGTTGCTGTATGGGTTCTTCTCCGGGGCATTTGTCTCGCTGCCACCAACATGCTTTGTTCGCCTTTCTCCCAATAGGGCTTTGATTGGAACCAGAATGGGAATGGGGTATGCGGCCATGACAGTGGGTAATCTCATTGGAACCCCGGTGGCGGGGACAATTCTACAGGATCACGGATTCAACGCCATGTGGGTTTTTGGAGGAATTATGTCGGTTGCTGGCGGTTTGGCCATGATGATGAGTCGGAATATACTTGGTGAATGGAAGCTTTTGGCAAGTATATAGTCAAAAGGTTTTAATAAACCCACATTGAAATTAGCGGGAGGATAATCGATGCCTACCTACTGTTCCATTCACTTCTTTCTATTGCTGGGAACTTGGAAAGCTGAGCTGGATAAAGGATAGGCCGTAGTAGATTCTTAAATCAATTCAAATCACAGAAGACAAGGAAACCATGGATATTGTAGTAGATTCTAGACCAAGCTTTAAGCAGCCACTGTTGTCGATTGTTTGGTCTCCACATGGTCTGTCATAACACTCGTTTTTTCAGGCTCAGTCTCAGTCTGGGTCTGGGTCTGGGTCTGGGTCTGAGTTTCTTCAGGGTAAAAGTCAATCTTTCCCCCGGGTTTGATAACCCCGGTTCGATCAAGAATAGTACGAGAGCGTACAAAAGGGTCGAGCTCCCAATAATTCTCACGCAACTTCTTGATCACCTCATCTCGGCGATCCTTCAACCCTTCAGCCTCAGGTGTTAAGATCGATTCCGTGGTGAGGCTGAAGAGCTCATCGCCAAGTGTCTTCCTTCGCGCAAGTATTTCATCTCGTGTGTCGGTATCCTTCAGTTTGTCATTTTCCTGTGGTGCAGGTTCGACGTATTCATACTCCCAATCCTTTTCACCGCCAAGCTCCTTGATAATGTGCTCCTTGGGGACAAGTTGCTCGAGCTCCTTTGCACCGCTGATGAAGTGCACTTTGGATGCAACGACTGGGTCGAGAATTCCGTGAATAATTTTCCAGAAGCCTGGATTTGATCAGCCATAGTTATTATTTTGCAGACAAGCTGGACAAACTGGAGAAGATCCACGGTGCGTTGTAGAAAATCATCGCACCAAGGGACTCGGGATAATTCTCCTGGAAGCAGTCAACGATAAACTTGACAGGAGGAAAGTCCTAAATATGTTCAGGTCAGCTGATGGGAGGTATAATTATCAGTATGCGATGCTAACTTACCCAATTCGAAAGACTGAATGAAGTGAGATCGAAAACAATGGACTGGTTACCGCAGGAATTAGCTTTATTTTCTCCGGAAAGGTACTGTATCCACTTACCATTGTGTCTACTGGAGGAACCATGAGTAACCGAGCCGTCTCACAGCACTGGATGATGTAGTCGTTCAACCCTTTTTGGGTTTGCTCATTCGGGTTATGCAATCGCACTCGAATAATACAAATGGGACGGTTCCATTTGTCCGCACCATAGTAGTGGCCCTTTCCAGTCTGGAGCTGTAGCACAAAGCCCTCGCCATCCTTTTTCTCTGCCAAGTTCTCTGTTTGTCGTGATTTCGCCAGGTTATGCTCTTCGCCCTTGAGCAACACCTCAGTGTCTACCTTGAATTCGTTAACCCGCCAATTCAAGGCCCGGACAAATTTGATCCACGCTTTGGGAACATTCCACTTTTCTGCGCGTAAGAATCGGAGGCACAACGCGTCGGGATGATCTTGTTTGAGGATTGTCAGGTAGGCAGCTCGGAGCTCGTCGCCCGGCAGCTGGGACAGAAGCGACCCCACAGCTTTAATTTCGGTTGCATTCGCATCCAGGCTTTTCAGCGTCTTCAGCAGGTTTTCGGGGATTGCAGAAATCTCCTCTTCCGTAGGTTCGGTGCGCCGACTCAAGGAGAAAAACCGTCGAGGTCCTGTCATATTCCCGTTTGCTTCACTGCTTATCGCAGGGATGCTTGGGTCCCATGATTGCATCAAGATCCTCCAAAACTGTCCTAGCTTTTCCTTTTGTGATGCGTTGAGGTTCCCGAGCCAGCCAGCTGGGATGTCTGTGGTAGCCGCTGCCATGGTATTCACGGTCAAAAGGTAAATCAATGGAGCAACAAACAAGAATGAAGTGCCAAGGTGGGGTCTCCCGATCTTTTTAACTATTATTAAAGCTTTGAATAAGCAAACATGGGTTTGTCCATGTGATAATGTGTTCTTTTCAGCTTGCCGACCTAGGTTCCTCGGGGAAAACGCAATGCCGCAGCCTTAAGTGGGGCTACAGCAGGATCAGGGGGTCAAACCGCAGACATAGGCTTTGGGTAAAGCGATACTGCCAGGGTACTGACGTAGAACCCACAGAACCGCTGTTATTTACCCCGCAGTGTGTTTCAAAAAGGTTAAAGGAAAGGATCTTCTACCTCCTCTAGAACGCTAGACAATATACCCCACCATTACAAGGTTCATTATTGTCGTTTTGAGCTCGTGAAGCGAAAGCGGCTTGACTAAGTGGTTGTTGATCTCTGCAGTCCGCGCTAAGTGCTGCTGCATCGAGACTAAGCGATCCCCGTGACAATCAAGGTATGGGAGGAGCTGAGCGCTTGTCCCCTCCCACATTGGCGGATCTTGTTAGTAGACTCGAGGCCGTCCATGGCAAGCATCGAGATACCTACACAGCTAGGAACAATAAAGAGATCAATGGTATATGAAGAACGAGACAATCAGATACCAAGGAGATGAGACTAATGTCATTATAATCCTCAATAAGAACACGGATGCTCTTGGATTCGTTAGATAGTGGAACGTCATCAGAGTCGGGTATGGAAGATGGGCTTGCTGTGCTGAGCGATGTTTCAGGCGATATTATGCTGGATGTGTTAGAGCATACTTGTTGAGCCGCTTCGCGGACAGAGTGCTTAGGGTACCCGGATGAGAAGGAAGCCAATACAGAATCACGAGATTGAATTTGAAGTGGGGCTTTATACTGGCGAATTCCCTGCAATATCCTGTATCGAGAGGATACGTAAAGATTGAGAAGAACAGTATGACCATAACCTTCAGATAAATTCAGAGCTAGCCCATGGCAGATCCTATCAAACCACCCGTGGCCCAATGCAAAATTACATTGGCCACCAGGCCGATTTTTCGATGCTTGCAGACGGACTCCGCTGGGGAGATCAAGTAGGCCAGTCGTCGCATCTGAAGGCCATCATCGCTAGCCGGCCAGTTCCAAGGAGGAACGTCGACCTGCAAAACATCGAGAGTGCGAAGCAATCTGTGCGGGACCTTGTCTTGGGCGAGTATTATGTATGTGGCTCGATTGCTATGGGCGATGGACTGGACTCGCACCTGCGGGGTCAAAGGTGTGCAGGGCCTCAGAGTGGCAGACGAGCCAATCTTTCCCAACAGTATCAGTGGGGAATATCGTGAGCAGCGTGTACGCAGTGGCCGAGAAACCGGTCGATATACTCAAAAAGGACTGGACTAGTCACAGATAACGTTATGGTCATCGGCCTGGGTGAAAGCTAGACTCCCATATCTACTTCATGATATCATCTACATCTCTCTTTTACGGGTACGTAATATACTGCCTCTAGCCACTGTGATATTATGCCAATTAATGGATCAATCCCCGACCCATGAAGCTGATAATAAGCCTCCTATATCAGTCATGAATGTAGCCGTAGTCTAATTTTGACTTGCCGCATTCTTATCTATCTATAGCCTTCTACCTTAGTCTGGCCAAATAAGCAGCTCAAGCGCACGTTTCAAATATAATGGAAATCCAAGAGAACCTTCGGAAAGCGCGGAACTATACACTCCTTTCAAGACCGCTCGAAGGCTGCGTTGGAAGACATCAAGATCACACCAAAGACTTTCATGTGGATGCGATAAATTACCATTCGATATCTTAGCAAATAGCTTAACATGAGATTTTTTGGTATCTCTCGTACGATTTAATATTCATCTAACCTATTCATGAGGTCTACAAATTTATGATGTGTTCATGTTCAGCAGCTGTAGCGGGCGAGTACATCTCTGTAGTCCATCCACATGCACGGATTTTTTTTTTTAGTAATATGATAAGTAAATATTTATTTTAGATTCAAGTTAGCTTACACTATTTACAATGTCATTCTCGTATCAGATCAATGATTAAATAGAATTAACTGGTGATTGTAGAAATATCGAGTTGAAATTTATCGCATTTACCATGGTATTTTGAGTTGTGTAGCTCGCTGATGAAATACGTTAGGGCTGGGGATGTGTGGGTCAATAACATCAAGTTGAAGCAAATATCGCGGTTTAGTTGATGAAATGATAATTATACAGTAGGGGATAACTCGAATAGGAACGGCCTAAACCGACGAATGCGGTTTAGGGCCCGATTTGGGGGCTTGTAATCTAGAATTAGGCTGTCATATTCTTGGCTCACCATTCCTCCCTTTCTCCTCCGGCCATCCCATCGGTGACTCGCAAGTCACCTCTTGATTCCAATCCACCATCATGCGGTTAACATGGCTTCTCATCTTCTTCTTCGTCTCCGTCCTGGCGCCCCGGGCGTCAGCGGTCGACTACATCGAGTCCGATGCGCTTAGCGTCTGTATGGAGAGCAGCAACTTCACAGCAACCTACTTCAACGTCATGTTCTATCCCGGAAATCGCAGCTTGGAGTTGAATTTCGAGGGGTTCTCCGCTGTCAGCGATTTTATCCTAGCTGAAGTCACCCTTACTGCCTATGGCTACAAGGCAATACAGCAGACCATCGACCTCTGCAGCTTCTTGAGCCAGCATGTGGACTTGTGTCCGATGCGTGCTGGCGTAATCAAGCCGCCCGTCATTCATATCCCCGTTCCGGAGTCAACAATCCAAGGCATTCCTAGTATCGCATACACCGTTCCTGATCTCGATGCGTCCGTTCAGGCCGTCCTTTACAACAGGGAGACCAAGGAGAAGATTGCGTGTGTACAGGCTAGCCTCTCTAACGGCAAAACTGTCTACCAGGAAGCAGTCGCTTGGGTTACTGCCATTATCTGCTGTCTAGGCTTAATAGCATCTGCCATCACCTCTGGGCTAGGACATTCTAACACCGCGGCTCACGTTGCGGCTAATGTCCTCTCACTTTTTGGGTTTATGCAGGGGCAGGCAATGATAGGCATGACTTCGGTTCATATGCCCCCAATCGTGGAATCATGGACTCAGAACTTCCAATGGAGTATAGGAATCATCCATGTGGACTTTCTCGACACAATCTGCACCTGGTATCAACGATCAACAGGTGGAACCCCTACGGCTCTGTTATCAGAGCTTTCGACTACCTCGGTCGAGATTCTTAGGCGCCGTAAGCGTGACCTCCTTGATCCGGTGATAGAACCCGCGGTGAAGTTCCTTAAGAGAGCTACTACCTATTTGACCAAGAGGGAATCATCGGGTACCCAAAAACTCGTGGTCGTACGAGGTATTAGCCGTGTTGGATTCAGAGCGAACATCGAGGAAACTAATGTCTTCCTAACTGGTCTCATCTTCTTTTTCGTCTTCGTCCTACTTGTCATGATTATCGTCATATCCTTTACAGGGATCTGCGAGCTACTCGTCAGGTATGGTAAAATAAAAAGCGACAATTTCCAAGAATTCCGGAAAAGCTGGAAGGTGGTCCTTCGTGGTATCCTATTCCGACTATCGCTAATTGGCTTCCCCCAAATGTGCCTTCTTTGCATGTGGGAGTTTATCCAGCGGGATTCGCCCGCTGAGGTTGTCCTAGCGGCGGTGATGTTTCTATCCTTATTCGTCTCGCTTAGCTGGGCTTCCCAGAAGGTGATTCGGTTGGCTAAACGCTCGATTATGCTTCACAAGAACCCGGCCTACATCCTATACTCGGACCCAACTTACGTGAATAAGTGGGGCTTCCTCTACGTGCAATACCGTGCGACAGCATACTACTTCATTGTGCTAGTTCTCGTTTATATTCTCGCTAAGGGAATGTTCATCGGTCTTAGTCAACCTGACCCTATTGTACAATCTGTGGCTCTAGTCATACTTGAAGCAGCGATGCTAGTCAGTGTCTCTATTCTCCGTCCGTGGATGGACAAGAAGACCAACATTTTCAACATTACGATTGCTGCGGTTAACTTCCTTAACGCGAGCTTCCTTCTAGTCTTCTCAGATGTATTCAATCCTCCAGGCATGGCGACTGGTATCATGGGTGTCATCTTCTTTGTCTACAACGCTGTTTTTGCCCTAGTCCTCATAATCCTTGTTCTGATTGCCGCGGGTTATGCTATCTTCTCGAAGTACCCTGACACGCGTTATCAGCCGATGCGGGATGACCGCGGCTCCTTCATCAAGACACACACCAACCTCAACTTGAATACCGAGTTAGATGCCCTAGGTGTGACCGCCCGCAACGAGCCTAAGGGAGGCCACGAGCAGCACAGCCAATTTGAGAATGATCGCGCTTCTATCTCTAGTGGAGACTGCAACAGCGTCCACCCCAACTATGCTCCTCAGCCTTCAGCGTCGCCTATCGACCCGTCTACGTCGCTCTTCCCCAGCAGCCGCGGCGCTTCTCCCAACTACGACCATTTTCGGGGCATTCCGACCTCATCCGGGGCCTGCGATGGCCCCGTGGGCGCATCAGCGTTGACGACAACCTACAGATCTCAAAACAACTCCAGCCCTTGGCAACGAGGAGCCGGCTACGACCACTAGAAACGACAGCGTACGAAGGAAATTCTGTCTTCGACTCCGGTATACCGAGAGTGTCTGTATCCTACATTTTCAATGTTACCTTGTGTTACCTTGTTGGTTCTAAACTTCTGTGTGGCAGTTTGACACTCCTCGTTCTCTTGCCGCTCTAGATTTTTACTCCTTCTGGTTAGTAGGACCAAAGTACACAAAGATGATATTTGGACCAAGACAAATTCTTGGTGTATAGTTCTACTTTGTTAGGAAATTAAGGTTGGTGGATAAGACGTAGGACTATACTCGCCATTCGTGGCACGAAACGCGCTCCCAGTACTCCTTACAGAAGACTTGAAGTTGGAATGGACGGTTCCTGTATCTTTCGCTGTCAATGGTATGTTACCCTAGATTCCAGCTCAGGCTGTCACTATTCTTGGTCTTAATACTTCAGACCAATTGAGTTTCAGGAAAAATTTTCCAGGGGTCACTGGAATGAGGGATGGAATGAAGGGACCGACCCTTTCTGGCACGTTGATCATTCGGCGCACAAAGACTCCCAAATCGGCCAAAGGTCACTGAACCCAAAGGGAGAGAATTCTTTGGCTGACAGTCAGGATCGGAATCCTCCCTTCTTCTAGCCTGACAAAAGTTAATTCTGGGGTGAATGTTCGCGTCAGAGGCGCGCCGGAGGTCTGGGTCGAACACAACCTTGGGAATTTAATATAAAAGCCCGGTCGTAATAGCACTCGAAAACATCTTTTGGCTTTAATTCCCCTCATCTATGGATATTGCTCTTCGAAGTCGACGTCAACCTGCATCCACAATGGAAATCGATGCTGCGTTGGATACAACAAACCGCCCCGATGAGTGGAAGATAGAACAGGGGATGGCTGGCCACAAGCTGCCTATCCTTGATCAAACTGGAAGTGACACTATTCACTTGTATCCTCCGCGACCCGCGAAGTTGACGCAGGATGAGGAGGCTATTCGCTCGGTCGGCAATCGCACCAAGCTGTTTGCTCGAGAGCGGCAAGGATGGAAAGGGTATTGTTTCCCATAACATAATATCCAAACTTGAGGAAGTCCAGAGCTTACGGTTTGTGTGTAATAGATATGTGGAGTGGGAAGATTATCCTGAAAAGAAGGAAAAAGCACACAAAATTCTCACATCTCAGACCTTCGCGCCTTGCCCCGATTTCAATTTCGGTCCAATCCCGGGAACTAACCCCGTGCTTCCTGGCGACGACTTCAAAGCATGGCATGCTGCGCTTGGCGGGGAGCTTGCATCTATCGCAGATGACTCCTGGCGCACAGTTCTTCGCGAGAAGCATCCAGATATGCTACACCTTCTGCAATTCCCTTACAACGGAGAGGCCCCCAAACGACTAGTCACCTCTAAAGTGATCACGCCTAATCCGCTTCATTTTGTGCGGAATCACGGAGGCATCCCTCTCATCGAAAAGGACAAATGGGACTTGACCTTGGATGGGCTGGTACAGCATCCACAGCGATTCACTTTGAACGATCTGATGGATGAGAGCAAGTTTCCGCGGATGGAGAAGACTATCACTATGCAATGCTCTGGGACCCGCCGTATTGAGCAGATTACAATGTACGGTGGGCAGGGTGATGAGGTTCCGCAAGCACCGTGGGCTGAGGGCGCTATCGGCACAGCGCGTTATGTGGGTATCAGCTTGAAGAAGGTCATCAAGGACTGCGGCGGGCTCATCAGCCCAGCCAAGCATCTCGAGTTCTACGGTGCCGATACCTATGTCAAAGATCTTGAGGTCTGCAATTACGTGGTCAGCGTCCCATGGTCCAAAGTCAAAGCTAATGAGGTCATGCTCGCCTGGGAGATGAATGGCGAGCCCCTACCCAAGATCCATGGATATCCTTTACGAGTCCTCGTTTTCGGATATATTGGTGCTCGGAGCGTTAAGTGGCTCTACCGCATCAAGGCTATCAAGAATCCGTCCATTGCGCCAGTCCAGAGCAGAGAATATCTCTACTTCAACCAGCAAGTGGGCAAATACAACCAGCGCCCGACAGACGGTATTCAAATCCAAGAGATGCCGGTGAGCTCCGCTATCATGTCTCCGTGGACCAAGCAGGCCATTGTCCATATGGGCAAGATCAGATGCAAGGGCTGGGCTTACTCCGGTGGAGGCCGATGGCCCGAAAGAGTTGAGTTATCTGCAGATGGCGGCTTCACATGGTATGATGTGCCGCCTGAAAATTTGTCCAAAAAGGGCAAGTGGACGTGGCGTACCTGGGAGTATGATCTCCCTTGTGAGGTTGAGGGGTGGATTGAGATTGTTTGTCGGTGCTGGGACAACTCTATCAATACGCAACCGCTAAATATTCGCGCTGCATGGAACTGGGGCCTTCACGTTACATCCTCCGCCCATCGAATCAAGGTTTACAGCGTCAATAAGAAAAGGGAAATTACAAGAAAGCGCCTTGACAAGTTCGAGCAACTTGGTATTCCTTTGGCTCCGCTTACTCACTATGATCCGGTGTCTGGTCAAACCCCAGAGGAGTACGAAGAGTACTGGAACACGCATGAACCGCGCGATGTTGATGAATGATTTACAAGGGTTGGAGGGGCTTGTTTACTTGTTTCCTTATCTTCTCCTAATTTTGTTTTGTTGGAATGATTTATTCGAATTTATTTCAATCTCGAAAATGACTTTAGTGCTTGCTGATGACTAGTTATTTGTACTCATGGGAGAGGAGGAAAAGTCAAAAACTAAACAAAACTTGTTGGCGATTTCATTGAAGATATAAGGGCACCTCAAAGGTCTAAAATCAAGTACTTTGGAAAAGCCCAGGTATGCGATGGTCAGACTCGTTCAAATCGTTTTTTGGGATAATTTCTTCAGTCTTCTGAGGTACCACTGTATTGTTCCGAGCAATCCGGTAAATATTTCAAACCCAGAAACATCGTGCTACTCCAGTTGGAAGTATTACGAAGAAGATTTCGGAGCACACACCATAGAGGCGTTTGAGTGCTCATTGGTTGCAGCAAGTGTGTTCTTGCAAAAGGTGGGGTTGAACCCCAGCATGACCAGAGCTGTTTGACCCGCAAGAACATCTCACCATGGCACCTGCATCGCCAAGGCTCAGTGCTCAGGGCATGGCCACTGCTGCACTCAAAGCAGAGGAGGAAACACAGATACCGGTGTTGTTTCCACATGCCTTGCACGACTCTCCCTGGGATACGATTGCAAATGTATTTGCCTAGTCAACAAACTGTGTTCAAGGAAACTCGGCAGCGGACTAACCAAAATTGAGAAATGATTGCATCTTTGTCGAGCCTGCAATGCTGATCCTATTGTGAAACGTGAAGCGAACACTGATATCCGACAATGGAGGGATTCCAGTACCAGAGGCATTAGTCACCAGCTCCCATGCCATTGATGAAGCATAGTCAGGTTTTCCAGTAAAGGTTGTTTGCACTGAGCCCGGCGAGTCCAAGATAGGACATGAACGCCCAGTAGGCACCGAACTGAATATTGAGTTTACTTTTGCTACCACGCGAGATGGTTTGTTTTAAGGCCTTGAGAAAATGACCTGCTAGTGTCATACTCTCTCCAGCGCGAATTTCATCAGAGGAACTGTTTACAAGTTTGAATTCATGCACATTGGCAAGAACAAAGGCTCATGTAGCGCCCGTTTCGACAGCAGAGAAGACGGGGGGAAGATGCTCGTGGAATTGTGAAGCAAGGCCACATTGAGCTTGTCCCAAATGGTCTATGTATTCTCAAAGCTCAGCTGGCTCGCCGGGAAGGCATCATTGATAATTGGCGCGAGGGACTGGTACAGTTTGCTTGTCAACGAAAGTAATGTTTCGTAAGAGAGTAGAAGTAGTTGTTACTTCTCGCTTCGGGTCTGGATTCAAGGTAATTTTCTTACACTCGTATTCAGGATAGGTCCTTCAAATAAACCATGATCCGGAAATAGATATGTATGCGATGGTGAGATCATTCCGAAGGTTAAATGATTGAGATCGATGGAAAGGCGGTCGGATGCGGAAGAGCTTCTTCACCCACATCATCCTCAGTACCCGATCCACATCTCGGAAGCATTAACAATCTTACGACGATAATTGACTGCTCATTGGGTATAACTATACTTTTTTGACGCTGGAAACCTCTATTTCAGTTAAACTAGCTACAATGGGTCTCTATGAAGCGTCTGTCATGATGTAATTGACTATGAAGAACACAAACATGCTCTGTGGATGTATCCCAACCTCACACCTCAACATAAATAATAAAAAAATCGCTCGCAGTCAATCACGATACGTTCGACTTCCACACAATCAACAATACACTCTTGCTTCCAACATGTCCGATCAACGATACTACACTCTCGCCGAAGGTGAGTCCCGGCCATCATATTCAGGATAACTAAGCTTACTCCAAGAAGGATGTCCCTTCGCAAGTAGCAGCACTGCTGTTTTAATGCAAAATGGGGAGGGTGCTGGGCTGGGACTCTTACAGGATACCCAGCTTATCGAAACTCTGGCGCATTTCTCCCACGAAAGAATCCCAGAGCGGTATGACCAATGGCATACGATGGTCGTAGAAGAGACTGAGCTGACTGTATTCATTATGTAGTGTTGTTCATGCCAAGGCCGTTGGGTAAGTCAAAACAGAATGCCGGATTGACAAATGGACGAACTCATTCCTCTCTCTATATTAGCGGCTACGGAGAGTTTGAAGCAACTTCTGACTGCTCAGATATCACCTCAGCGAGCTTTCTTAACAAAGCTGGCAAGAAGACTCCGCTTTTGATGCGTGTTTCTACTGTCGGTCCAGAGTCAGGCTCTGCTGATACATCTCGAGATGTTCACGGCTGGGCCATGAAGCTATACACCGACGAAGGTAACCTAGACTGGGTTTTTAACAACACGGTGGGTGAAATCCAAGAAAGAAAACAGAAGTCATTATTTTCTCATTTTAATTTAGCCTGTTTTCTTCATTAGGGATCCCATCAAATTCCCTTCCATGAATCGCTCTCATAAGAGGCATCCAAAGAGCCATCTTCCTGACCCAAACATGGTACGCATGAGAAACTGAAAGTATATTTTGAACTCCTAATAACTGAATTAGTTCTGGGAGTACGTGCTCAATTAAAGGGTTCAAAAAATTCATGGATAACTAATAGACCAAATTCTAGTTTTCATGTGGGTAATCCAGAAGGAATCCACGAGCTTCTGCACCTTTTCAGTGATCGTGGAACCCCGCAATCCGTGAGATTCCTGAACTCCTACAGTGGACACACGTACAAATTCACAAAACAGGTGAGAGGTCTAGTAGACCTTCGAGTTTCTCAGTTACTTACTTTATTAGGACGGCTCCTTCAAATATATCAAGATTCACATTAAAACGCAACAAGGGATCAAAAATTTCACCCGAGAGGAGGCCACTAAAATTGCAGGCGAGAATCCGGACTACATGATTCAGGATATGTTCGAGGCAATTGACAGAGGAGACTACCCTAAGTGGAACGTTTACGTCCAGGTCATGGATCCATCTGAGGCGGTCAACTATAGATGGAACATCTTTGACATGACGAAAGTCTGGCCGCATAAAGACTTCCCACTTAGACAGATCGGCCAGATAACGCTGAATCGCAATGTGAGTATAGCTTTGGTGGATACAATAGTATGTTCGCCGATACTAAGGGTGATTAGCCTGGCAACTATTTTGCCGACATTGAGCAAGCGGCCTTCTCGCCATCAACCATGGTCCCAGGGTTTGCAGGCTCTGCTGATCCAGGTATGCTAGCTTTCTTTCACATATTTTCTCGCCAACAGCAGGCTCATTTGTATTTTAGTCCTTCAAGCACGACTATTTGCCTACCCTGAGGCGGCTCGATATCGTTTGGGTGTGAATTACCAGCAGCTACCCACGAATGCCGCGAAGGCACCTGTGTACTGTCCATTCCAAAGAGATGGCAAGATGAGATTCGATTCCAATTATGGTGGAGATCCAAATTATGTCAACTCCTCTTTGCAACCAACCAAATTCTACCCCGAGGTGAAAGGAATAAGCCCACAATCAATCAGCCTTCACACAGAGCATGAGAAGTGGGTTGGGGAAGTCTTAAATTACACAAGCCACATCACGGACGATGATTTTGTGCAGCCTGCGGCTTTATGGGAAGTCATTGGTCGGGATCCTGGACACCAGGATCGAACCATAGGTAATCTCGCTGCTTCTCTCAAAGGGGTTGAGTCTGCAAAGTTGCGGAATGATGTGTATGGTCAGTATTATCTAAATTTCGATCTCTTCGGGAGCACTGAGCTGACCTACTTTTCCAGCGCTGTTTTCACGTGTCGACCAGAACCTTGGAAGGAGACTGCAAAACGCTACAGAGGCAGCAATCAAGAGTTAAATTATGGTGGCCCATTTCAAAATTGAGAAAACGAATAATCATGCGATTAAAAGCCCTTTGAATCACGGACAGAGAGACATTCGCGATGATTATTCCTTTTCACGAAGATGGTGAAATGCCACAAACTTCAAATTGGGGTTTACTAGTTTGATAGGAACCACTATTGTTTTACCTTCACGCGGTGTCATATCAAAAGGTCTGATATCGCCAAACGAATGGCACTGATTATTAACCTTAAGCAGTGTGCACTCTGTCCATCTTTTATTTCCTATATTCTCGTCGATTCCGACCTATGCATAATTTTTGACTTCATTTTGTTTGAGCTGCCAGGCAGCCTCCTGTATAATGCTAAATACTAGTTTTAATAATTTTAAAAGCGCACGCGCCGGTTCTCCACAAAATTGCAATATTTTCATTCTGGTTCCATGAGCCTATCATGTGCATTGATTTAGATTTATTCGTTACGGCCTGATAAATAAGTGAGCCATATGCACGACACATTAATATGATAGCAAATGCTAAAAGTAATGGCATTTCCGAAATCAACGAGACAACACTTTCCAGGATCTCTCTGAATGAGGATTGTTTCTTAAGCCACGTTTAGTATTTTTCGATTCTCGGTAGACGTAGTCGATGTAAACTATAGAAGTATCTTGGCAGGTTGGACACTTACTTTCTTGTGAAACCATCCAAGTACGTGTATTAACGCATGGCTTGTGGAATATGTGGCCGCATGGTAGCTGGCGAAACATGGAGGTGGAAGATATATCGTCAACGCAGAGATCACAGACACTGAGCAAGAACTAGACTTTCAACAAAAAATCTGTCTACGTCTCGATCTATAATTATACCAACTGCCATACCGGAGACTTGAGAATTACGTCTCATGTAGTACGGCATGGCTGTTGCCTCAATTTCTTTACACTAAGAGAGGGCCGCACGTCGCTCTTAGATAAGCAGAACGATAAATTCGTTGTAGTATTGAGGCGAGAGACGATGTAGATAATGGAGCACATGGTGCGTAGGATAGATCCGTGTCTAGTTCCACAGCTTCCCAAGGAAGCTCAACTACAAATCAAATTAGATCGAAGTGCAGGCACCGTATTCAGGCTAAGGAAATTTGCAACTCTACCTAGGAATTGATCTACAAGGTGAACGAATACAAGACCACAGCAACAATTGGTACTTTGACTGCTTTAGCACCGCAAGCCTTGTAATAATCACATTAATCTTCCGTACGTTTCCCTTCAGTTTCCAACTCGTTATCATTCTTGTAGTACTCTCTGAGCGCTTCTTCATCCCTCTTCAGGTAGTCCTCATACGTCTTGTGATTCGGCTGGGTGCCTTGCTCACTACTCTGTGAGTCTTTTCTACTGGAAGGTTGAGAATCATCATTCTGGTGGTGGTGGCGCTCAAAAATCCTTTCAAAGAAAGGATCTTCGTGTTTCTTATGAGTGTCAGAGTCTAAGCCGTTATTAGCGGCAGCAATATTGGGAAGCTTCGGAGAATAAAAGACCTTCGGACATCTGGATTTGCAGGTAGACAACCACTAAGAGATCATCTGAGGACCGTGTACATGAAAGAAGGGGTTTGTGTTATTTTAAATTACTGTAACACATAATGCGCTTAAGTAACTTTCTTCCGACGTGCCGCGTGGTTCCGTGAAGAAAGTTTGGTTAACATCTCACTTAACTATAACCATGGAAAGCACACAGCGCGGCAATAGAATAAAGTGGTCCCGTGACCTTCATGTAGAACGCGAAAGGTCAGACCTCTTAGTTAATATAGTAATGTTATCACCGTGCCAACCGTAAACGGGAGTATACCGGTCGAGAGCCTGGTCAACGTCTTACTTCACTCTAGCCATGAAAATAAATTATCGAGGTGATAGAACAAACTAGCTCAGCGACCTGGGTTTACATTTTGCGAAGGCTTGCGCACAGGTTCTTGGTATCTAAAATCTGCGTGGATTACCCATGGGCGGATCGTGCTCACAGCGAAAAGCCACGTCTCATCTACATTCCACACAAATTAAGGTCACCTGGCCGAAGAGACAAGGCGGCTAAGTGACATATTTTGAGATGCCGCATACCGATCCGAGCCGAGGAATGGACAGATCAGATTTACATAACTTACACTGCACTATGTTATGTTCAACCGTAGTTTGTCAGTCTCATCAAACACCGGCGTGCTTGAAGTTTCTTTCATACGCTGGATGAACGTCATGGCTGAAGAGCGTTTAGAATCGGTTTTCAGCAAACAGCTGAGTATGCTTCCAATATCAAATTTGTATATTGACAGGTCTTTTCCATATTGTCGAGTCATGAAGTGCAATACTACTTCAAACTGGACTGCTTAATAGCCGAAACTGCAAAATTACCAAGTCAACTCGGCATTTCTACCGCAGTGCAGCTTAGCACAAAAGTCAATTTCATCATCCAAAGAAGCCGAATTAATGGTCTGCCTCTTGCTCGGCCATACCTGCTTGCCCCCTGACTCCTCTTGTCGATGATTAACCAAATTACGTTTCACTAGTTCCTGGAAATACAGCACGCCCTACTCAACAGGGTGAGAATCTGTTTTTCACCATTAGAATTTGGCTCCTGGGGAGCTTACTTTTTCGTTGAATGGCTGTAGATTTCCATTGACATAAACACCCGCATTGAGGTTCACTTGTGCTCCATTGCAGAGATTCTTATCCTCATTTTCGACCTGTTTAAAAAATTCGTGTAGCTCTTTGAATACCTCATCCGATGCGTTCTTGTGCCGGAAGACTTCGTATTGCATAGATGTGGTCGTCGCAGACGTCGGAACTACGCGCATGAGATAAAAGTAATGCGATCTAGATAATGATCAGCATGTCGACAAAACCACACTTGTATAGGGACAAGCATACGTCATTGTCACCGAGGCATTTGGGAAGAAGAATGTGGGCGCAACTTTCATATCTGAATCATATCCAGGCTTGTCTTCCACATAATGCTGGATTTGCCCTCCCACTGTGTTGACGTCGTAGGTTGTAAGATCAGATATAGCTGCAATGCCAGGATGTGCGACCCCGCAATGATAGCACTGTTGGACGTTAGATGAGTCGTGAGAACAAGGTCGGCTGTCGGCTATACCTCATTATAGTTGTCTACCAATGTTTTCCAGTTGTATGCGCCAGGCATACTCCAAGTATGATCAAATTCGTACTCGTCTATATTGAAATCTTTCAGTCGCTCCTGCGTATCCGCACCCAAAAAATCTTCATTCCATGGCGTGGCTGGAGACTCGCGAGCGTCAAAGTTGACCCAAACAAAACCTCTTTGGTCAACGTGAATATGGATCGTGAACAAATCATTTTGCTCCTTTTCAAACCCAGGGACCTGGTCAAATCGGGGCGCCTTAGCTAGCTTTCCGTTCAACCCGTAGGACCATCCTTCATAATGTGTAATTAGCCACTGATCCATAATTAAGTCCGGATGTCGTGGGAAATACCATGATATTTACATGCCAGGATGTTCGCCGTTCCAGATTCGGTGGTAACCACTGGGAAAGCACGGTGCCGGCAAACGTTGTGAAATCCTCGTAGAATCCCCTGTCGATCGAGGCAGAGGAAGAATGGGAAACCAGCCTCCTCGTACCGAATAAAGTCACCAGGCTTCGTAAAGCGCGACCTATGGGTGACTAGCAACCACTTTTTCGAGAATATAGCTCTACGCTCGAGCTCATAGAGTGGCTCTGAATGATACCATGAGGCCGGAAGACCTCTCGGGATGGCCTTCTCCTGTTCTTTGTCTTCGATCGTTGAGCTGCCAATTGAAAGAATTCGGAACATCATGAAAATTTCCACTCGGCTTAAGGAAGCTTTATCAGAATGAAACAATCCCAGCGCATTCACAGCTACTCTTAATATAGGCCTTTCCCATTCCTTGGGTTTCCAAACCCAATCCGATTGGCTCGTGTTCTTTAAACGTTCGGGGATTAGGGCCGCGGGCAACCTTTCCTAAATCGGCAGATGATCACAAACGCGGAATTACCTTAGGAACTATAGACCCTTTGTGAAAATTGCTATTTCATCACAGAAAAATCACCCGGGCAACATCCTGCTCCTTTGAAGGTTTTTATATTTTATTCGCCATGGAATCTGGTCTGGAGACTGAAGTGAAGACACCATGCATTGCCGACCGGGAAGGGCAGATAGACTCCCGAGAGATTGGCAATGTAGAGGACATCAAGGTCAGTTTTATATTCAAGCGGCCAGTAACCGTTTACCTTTGATCTAAGACTTTTCAGCATAAATTTGGCGCATTCTCGATGCTCTCCTTGAGCGTGTCGCTAATGGCTACCTGGGAAGCGTTGTGCAGGTAGTCTAATACCCCCAACACCAACTGGCAGTTAATAAGAAGTTGACAAACAACACATTTGATAGCACTATGATCTCGGGTCTAGTTAGTGGGGGCCCTCCGGCACTTATATACGGTTTCATCAGTTAGTCCTTGCTTCCAACTGCAACGTCAAGGCGTAACTGAAGTCAAGCCAGTTTCCTTCGTTGGATCCCTGTCAACTGCTGCTTCGCTTGCAGAAATGGCATCCATGTAGGTTTACTGATGAGTGACTCGTTATTTTTCCTAGGACTATGTTTTGATATCGCTCCTTGTTCCACAATAGGTTTCCGACACCAGGAGGTCAGTACCACTTCATTAGCAAACTTACTCCTGTACACATCCGAAAAAGCTTGAGCTGGGTGGCCGGTTGGATAAGTATGTGATCCGATTTTTACCTAACATACGACAGGACTATTTTTTTTTTTTTTTTTTTTTTTCTTTTCTAGCGACTTTCGGATGGATAGCTGTCGCCGCAAGTGCACCTTTCCTGTCCGGTACGATGATACAGGGCCTATTGGTCCTGAATTACGACAATTATGTGTTTCAAAGATGGCATGGAACACTACTTTACTGGGCAATACTAGTTGTATCAGCAATAATTAACATCAGAGGAAGTCGCTTGCTTCCCTTGATTGAGAACCTTACGTTGGCATTTCACGTTGGAGCATTCATTGTCGTTCTCGTAACGATATGCGTTGTCTCACCCACCAAACACGACCCGAGCTTTGTCTTCGCCGAGACCATCAACAATTCTGGTTGGAATAGCAATGGACTTTCCTGGTGTATTGGTCTTCTGTCTAGTTGCTACGTTCTCGTCGGTAAGGGTCTTCCTTTTCCCAGAAGGAATCAAAATTTGACGTACTGTTCCTTCTAGGCTATGACGGAGCGATACATTTAAGCGAAGAAATGAAGAACCCAAGAGTTGATGTCCCCACAGCAATGATTGGAACTATATTAATCAACGGGACGATGGGATTCGGTTTTTTGGTCGCAGTACTTTTTTTCATGGGGGACCTCGAGTCCGCCTTAAAAACTGCGACTGGCTATCCCATTATCCAGATTTTCTATAATATCACCGGTAACATTCATTCTGCCACAGCGCTGTGTAGCACTATTGTGATTATGGCTAGCTTGGCATCCATTCCTCTTCTGACGTCTGCCAGCCGGATGGTATGGGTACTGGCGAGAGACAATGGTAAGGACGTGGACCCTTCTAAGTGCAGGATGATTTCTAATCTTATATCCTTCGCTGCAGCATTTCCGGCAGCGTCTCTCTTAAGCCAATTGGATGAAGCAAGGCAAATTCCTACAAACGCTATTCTCCTCACGTCAGTGTTGTTAGCCCTCCTTGGGCTCATCAATGTCGGTTCAACAGCTGCGTTTAACGCTGTAGTCTCGCTGGCAGTTTTTGGTCTAGAACTTTCATACCTCCTACCAATTTCTCTCCTTATTTACCATCGGATCACATCAGCTCGTCCAATGACTCATGGACCGTGGTCTATGGGCCGCTTTGGGTTGCCAGTCAATATCGTTTCGATATGCTTTCTGATTTTCACATGTATTTTCTTGGTCTTTCCCCCGTATCAACCGGTCACGGCAGAGAACATGAATTACGCATCGTTGGTATTTGGTGCAGTTTGCATTTTCAGTGGATTGCATTGGCTGTTCAAGGGGCGAAGGGTCTACGAAGGTCCTGTGCTCCCGGACCACTTGTCTCAAGTACAATTTTGAAATGACAAAGAACTCAATTCCGTTATCTATGTAACTAGTACTGGGCGGTTCCTTCATACCGCACATGCGCCGGCCTAAACAGACTGAGTAGAATCTCCTATAGCAGCATCCGACTTAAACCGCATGGCGGGACCTCGATCGGGGTCCTCTCCGCCGGGAAAAGATCAAGAATTCGAAGTTCTCTAGTGAGGGAAAGCCTGGTGTGGCATGATTGTTACCTATATTATCAAAATTGGTTAATTTGAAGAATGTGGTAATGATTCCGAGCTAGCTTTGTGATATTCTACAAGTCTAGCAGCAACATTTACCGATTTGTACACAGCGAAATGAAAATCATCACTATTATTACACCAATGTTATCAGATCATCCTGATCAAAGCTTTCGTCGTAGAGCTAGCCGAAAACTGACTCTAGCCGCTCTTCAGCCATGACATCCATCCAGTGGATGAATGAGGCCTCCTTATTTTCGTCGGCCGGCATGAGCAAATCCGCTCTTAACCACACAGCTTCCAGAATTTGAATGGCTCGGAGAATCGGATCAAGGCCAATGAGATCATGTAAGGATTTGAGCTTGTGTCGTACAAGTGATCGCCAATGCAAAAGCATAAGGTCTCCACAGTGTAGTGACATGATTTCATCGATAATCTCTGGGCACTCTGGATGCTCAGTGCTATTGTATTCGTGATTGAGTTTCCGGACATCCTGCAAAGCACTTCCAGCAATGAGCAGAGGCAGTGTGAACAGCACTTTTATTCCGGACGACTCAGGGACAGAGGAGATAACATTTAAAATGCTAACCGCCAATGCGATGGTAACTTCCATAGGAGTATCCTTGTGCGGTTGTAGTGGCATAGCTAGACTGGGCGCAGTGACGTCCTGTTTCTTCCGTAGAAGATCGGGGAATGTAATATATAACTGGAGAAGGATCGTGAGCCGATATATCTGCGCCAGGCATTCCAAGTGGCGAATAGTTGTTAGGCTATCGCCGGGATCTTCAATACGGTTCCGAGTTGGAGAGGTATATCGTAAAACTTTGAGTTCCAATTCAGCAGCGTCATTGATCTGTTTGGGATGAATCTCATTTTGTAATGTAGGGGACGTAATAGAAGCACAGAGAGAATGTATGGCCCGGTTTTGACGACAAAGAGCACCAGCCTGTGCAGCATAGATAAAGAGAGTAGTCGAAACGCCTGTCCATGGATTTGGATAAACAGCTGAATTTCCATGCTCTTGGCGACAAAAAGCTGTAATATATTCCAGTGTGTTTGGGCTTTCTGCGGTGAGGAAGGATGCCATGGCTTCCCAATAAGCCATAATACCGAGTAGGAAAGAGCCGGAACGAGTGAGATGAGGATTGTCAGGTCTAGCGCACCATTCTCTGAACAACATGCGAGCGCTGCGGAGGTGAGCTAGACCGAGAGAGGCAGGATTCTGCCATGCAGATGTCATACCCAACAGAACACTGCCCAATATGGCCTCGAAACTTGCTTCTCCTGGGAAATCACTGCGTTCTTTTAGGTATGAAATAGCATCATTTCGATGCTTTAATGCCATAGTCGTCATTTCCTTCCTTCTATGACAGATATGAGAGGCTGACATCATCATCACGGAGTGATAAACTAGAGGGGAAGCGGCCATAAGGTCCCCGACAAAAGATCGGAAAGGATTCCGATGGGAGTCAAAACAGGAATTGATAGGACAGACATCAGAGAAGTAGTGGTTTGAAAGGATTATGGCCTTGTCATCCAGCGTCGTAAACATAGGCGACAGAAATGTCGAACCGAAGAGGCTGCTGTCGGGTAATCCAGTTGTTGTATCATAGTCCATGTTCCAGATGTCCCCGAGTGCTAGATCCTCCGTATAATCGAAGAATAACGACTCGTTTATCTTGTCTGAATTCCCTCCCGCTGTGAATTCGAGGGGCAAGGACGGGTCTGACGAACCTTTACCGTATTCAAGAGGGTCTCCAGTTGCTTTTTCGTCCCCAGTGCAAGATATGGAAAGGCTCGGGATACTCTCAACGACTTCTGTCTCTGCTGGATTTAACTGCATATCAGGAGCCACAGGAGGCCTGGTTTGACTGGTATCCGCGACGCTTTTTCGTGGTTGGGCCTGGCCATCTGTTTTGGCATGTGTACTCTGCGATGGAAGGTTCTGTATGTTCAAATAGCGCCACCGTTTAGGCTGAAAGTAACCCGGACAGCTGAAACCCCTTTTCAAACAAGGATCACAGGAAGGCAACTTTTCGTCGCATTTGATATGCTGACTATCCGTCAGCAAGCATTTCAAAGACTGAGACGCAAAGGTCATTCGATACCCGCTCCTTGCAGCGTTGACATCCAGCTTTCACGGCCCTGGTAAGTTTCATACCGACTGGATCCCAGATGAATTGTGAGCAGCTTACTTCGGGATTTTTCCCGTCTTTTAGGAGCGGGAGGCAGTTTGTTAGTCTTAAACGTAGACATTTTATGATTGACTCGAAGATTTGGGTAGGTGCAAATCCTTCCTGCTATTTGTAATTTCTGGAGTTGAAGATAGTGTTTTGGGGTGGGCGACTCGCTTCGCTACCCCAGGGCGGGGAAGCTAGTAAGGGCGGAATATGAGCGCTTAAGCCGATTGGTAACCACTGAATTTTGGTCGTACAAACTGTTGACTATCACCGCGCCCTGCGAGGACAAGAGGGTACATATCCCGACCGACAATGGTGTTCAGTACCTTGACATATTTACTGGTGTATTACTATAGTGGTTTAACGATCGGCATATATTCAGCATGGTGTTGCGTACGTAATACATTGTGAGCGCGTGGGGTGGGAGCATAGTATGAAGATGAAGTCCCCTAGTGAACCTAGGCGCCGAAGACACGAAAAGAAAGAAGCACATCGCCCCTTTTGCTTGCGCCCACCGGATTTAAAATATATATATATATATTTCCCTTAGTCTACCGAATTACCACGATGTTCAAGTCTCGAGATGAACTAGGAAAAGGGAATAGGCGGCCTACTAGGTATGGAATAAGCTGAAAGTGCTGCTGCCTCAGTCCACAAGCCACCAACTCCTATCACATACCATAGGCATATTGCCAAAATTCCGACTTTTTTGTAGCTCCGATCTGCTAAGGATGCAAAATCTCGTCTGGTTTCCAATATCTGGTATCCGCTGTATTCTTACCATATAAATGTACATATGAGGAGATCTCCCAGCCGGGCGAGCAAGCTTTCATATGCTATACCGTAAGGTCCTTGGACTAAAGATATAGTCACAGCTATTGGGAAGCACGGGACTGACTTGGGATCGCGTTTGGTAGCCTACTCGGGAAATTCGTTAGACTTGAACTTGGACTTGCACGTATCCAACAGCTAATCTACAAAGCTCTAGGTTACAAATTAGCTTGCAGAGATCCAGAACCAGTCTTAAGGAATGTCACAACGTCTTGACCAGCTTGTTGACCACGCTCAATTGCTCCATCCACAAATCCTCTCCACCCATCTGCCCAATCTGCGCTGGCAAAAATAACCCGCCCATGCGGTTTCTGGAGCTCTTGCAGGTATCGCGAGGCGGAATTAGGGCCCCAGCAGGCCCAAACACCTTTTGCATAAGGGTCATTCATCCAGTCATGAGTTGCATACGCCTCGACGTCAGCTTTATGGTGAATATCCGTTCGAAACCGATTAATAATATGCTTGTGATCCTTCTTGTTTGTCAAATGGAAATTGTATCCGAATCCAATACACCAAGTTCCCGATGGTCCAGCAGGTTGTGTGCCATTATGATCGGAGAATGCAAAAACATAGGATGAATCACTGGACCCACTTGCTGTGGCAAACCATCCTGGTTCAGTTGTACGCAGCTTGAAATGGATCTTGGCGCCTTTGTTTATATGGCCCTCCTTGATTGCTGATTGACGAAGAGAAGACAGCGGGGGGTTAAATTTGACGTCTCCGAGACAGTTCCTGCAATATTTATTAGTTTGTTCGTCTGCCACGAGAATGATGTACAGGACGACCTACAGTGGGATGGTCGAGATAGCCATTTTTGCCTGAAGGCTTTCACCACGAGTAGTCACGACCTTGACCCCAGATGTATCCTGACTGATCGTTTTGACAGCGGTGCCAAAAAGAAGCTCTCCAGCGTAATCGCTCAAAATTGCCTGTGCAAAAGATGTCATTCCTCCTTTCCCGACCTTATATATTCCTGCCAATTCGAACACTCCGGCGATACTGTGTCCACCCAAAGCGTACCACCGAAGTGCCTCGGTAAAGCCTATGTCTTTACCCGGTGCACTGCCGAAGGTACTGAGATTCGATTCGAATATATCCTTTTCACGCTGCGAAAATCCCTCAAGTTGATCCAATCGATCCTGCACCGTCCAATGATCATATTTTCTCCACAGAGCTGGTTCCCTTAATGGTTCGTGGGGATATGGCATAAGAGCACGGCTATCAAGTGCCTCGACTGCAAAGAACGATTGTGCGACGCGATCCAATGTTGCAGCAGTCTCATGTATGGGCAATTCTTCAGGTGGACCTACAGCGGGTTTGAAGGTTTGCTTTTCTGGCGCGAGAGTGCCAGCAGATGTCTTCAAGTTGGTGTGTAATCCGTAACGGCGCAGCTCGCTATACAAATGGGGCTGAGCCCAATGGACCCAGGTACCCCCCATCTCAAGCTCCTCACCAAGGACCTTGGCTGTCCATGTGCGGCCTCCAATTCGATCTCTTGCTTCGAGAAGGAGGATTTTAAGGCTGAGTTTTTGGCTGAGGTCTCTGGCTGCAATAAGACCGGCAAATCCAGCCCCAATAACGATGACATCGTAATTTTGCTGGATAGTTGAAGAACTCTTTTGAACGGCATCTGTTGTTAGGCCTTCTAGTGTTCCTTGTAGAGTCCACAGAAACCCTTCTCTAGAGGATCGTGACATATCGGACGTTTGAAGACGAGTTAGGTGGTAGGCATCTCTGTTTTTGAGGGACAAGGCAACTGGCCTTCCTATAATGAACTTTAAATAGTCGAAAGGTTCGATGTGGCGCAAAGGCACATTGTGTCAGACAAAGCGGATTCGATTCCGAGTTCCGCAAGCGGTGCGGAAGGTCCCAAGATAGCGCACTTTCTTTCCTAATTCGATATTGTCTTATGCATATCCTCATTAACACGATTTTGATTATTAGTAGGGGGTATCTTACCACTGCAGAGATATAGCAAATGCATGGATTCAGCTTACCTCTCCTGATCTTCAAAACTAGTCATAGCCCTTTACTTTTGACCACAATACAACTCTGTATATGCTGTGTCGCCTGTAGCTAGGTAAGGTATAGACAGTAATATAGAACCATACTTGGTACATAAAATACATGGTCTACATGTGTGTAATAGAAGGACAGGAGGCTTTTGTGGTTCTGGTGGCGAGAATTTATCCTAGTAAGGGGAGGGGGTCGGGCATATTTCAAGTGTACTTAAAAAGTCATAGTGCTCACATCACAGTATACAATCAAGTGAATGCTAAACTAGTCACAGCTTGCTCATGGATCTACCTCCACATTTCCATGCGATGCCGTAGCTCTTCGAAGAAAACGTAATTGTACTGCCCCGGGGGAAATAGAACGTATCACCAACTCCAATCGTTCTGCTTTTGCCTGTCTTGTCTCGTAAAGTCATTTCACCTGTAAGCCTTAGTGTCCTTAATATCTTTTAAGCAGTTAAACTCTAGCATACCCTCAATCACAATTCCAACTTCGTCGTAATCGTACGTCGGGGGCGTTGCTTCCGGTCCTTTCTCAATGCGAAACCAAGCGCCGGCGATGGGATTATTTGCCTTTTCATTCACCGTTCCAAGATAATCCGCTGCATGAGCAATCAACGCTGGCTCAGATTGAGAATTTCTATCAATTGGCTGACTTACCGAAGTAGACATTGGGTATCCCCCCATAATTGGGGATTTTGAAGATCTCAGTCTTATCCTTGATTTGGATCACCATTTTGAAAGCTAGTTGAAAGATACAATTGCCAAAATAAGAAGGAACTAAAAATGACCCCAGTTCGTAAACGAACGTCTCTGTCATTGTACTTATTCGGCTTCGCAGAGTGGGACCCTCACCCGGGGGAAGTTCTCAAAGTCGACCAATCGCGTTCACCCATCGCACTAATCGCACTAATTGCCTAATCAGGAAATAACACACGAATAAGCAAACTGACCTCTATCTTTGATGTTCGGTCATTTCCAGAAGTACCACATTGTATACAAGCCTCTGCTTACTAGGGCGAAGGGCATAGTTAGTTAACTAAATGATTATTAGTCGTTTGTCACAGAGTTTGGGGATTCAGGCCAGTTTCACTCGCCAGCGCATTGGTCTCCCCGACTGGGGCTACGGCCGCCAGGGGTAGGAGGAGAACGGGAAGAGGGGGAGGGGAGGGTGGTGGGTGCGAATAACCATGGATGAAATTGTTAATTTAAGTCCGCTAAGTACCCTAACAGTGACTTTCGCAGAAATTGAGAATTTTTAATGTTTCCCACCTTTCATCGGGAATGTACTCCTCTTCAGATCGGACCAACTCGGTTGCATATTACAATGGCCGAGTCTACACGGTCAACCCAACCCAACCATGGGCCGAAGCCTTCATTGTTTCGGCAACGGGAACGATCGAGGCAATCGGCCCTGAACAGGATATCCTCGCAATTGCCGCAACGAGAAATCTAATCAGATATGATCTCAGGAAACAATTCGTGATGCCGGGGATTCATGATGCCCATATTCACTTGCTAATTGCCAGCATGCAGGCACTGAACGAGTCATCGGTTGGATTTGATTCTAATGCTTGCAATATTGGCGACCGACTCGAACAGGGCGTCTGTGCCTGTGCCTATCATAATGTCGCGGGAGACTGGGTTGTGGGCAATTTTTACCAGGCCAGCTTTTTCCCCGAAGGAATCCCGGATCGCAAATATCTCGATACCAAGTATCCCACAACACCCGTGCTGATACGTGAAATATCATGCCACCGGATATTGCTCGACACAGCCGGCTTGGAAAGGGCCGGTATTGATCCAGTTCATGCGGTTGATCCCCGGGGGGGTTTTATATCCGCCGAGCTGATGGCAAACTGACGGGGGAAGTCGCGGAGAACGCCATGAGCCAGGTCTTCTCCAAATTGCCGATTCCACCACTGTCGCACGCAAAGAGAGCTTTGCAATTCGGGATGCGGATGTGTCACCGTTATGGGATTACGTCCTGCCAGGAGGCCTCGGCTAATTCGTTATATCTCCACGCTCTCATGGAGCTAGAAGAGGAGAATCGACTCGATCTGGATGTGTACACACACATTGTCTGTGCCCCAGAAACCTTTGCCATGGAGTCAAGTGAGAGTTTAGCCGCTCTATTGGACCTGGCCGATGGGTTTCGCAGTAAACATGTGCACACCAACTTTGTCAAATTCTGGCTGGATGGAGCACCATTGCCACCGGAGTTTACACAGTGCGATCTGGACGTGAATGGCCGCCCCGAAAAGAAGAAAATGGTCGTTGATTTGGACTTTCTCCACAGCGCAGTCCGGAAATACGACGCACGTGGCATGACCTGTAAACTCCATGTTGCAGGCGAGGGCTCAACTCGGGGGGCGCTGGAAGTTTTAGAAAAGATTCGAGCAGGTAACCCCAACGGCCCATGGCACGAGTTAGCACATTGCAGTGCTGTTCATCCAGGTGGGTCTTACAATGTCTTCTATCCTGCGTTGAATGGTTTGAAAAGGCCCATTTCAGCGATGCTCTCACTCGACATTTTCAATTTACATTATATTTCTTGGTAGATGATATTCCTCGTTTCGCCAAAAACCGCATAACTGCTGAAATGTCTCCAGCCATTTTCCATGAACCGGTCGTCGACGAGATTCCCCATCTCCTAAAATGGCCTTTCGACCAGATCCTGGAAAGTGGTGCCCACATGACAATCGGGTCTGACTGGCTTCTGCCGGCCAATCCGAGTCTCTTCGATGCGCTCGCTGCGATTGTTGAGAAACTGGAATTTCTCCCTGGTGGGAAAAAGAGCGCAGCGATATTGAAAGGAAAGACTAAAAAGGAGCGAGGGGGTGAGATCCTGTGTCGGGTCATCACCCTCAGTGGCGCAGAGGCTGTAGGCGCACAATACCGGGTTGGGAGCCTCGAAGTTGGAAAGACCGCGAATTTCATTGCCGTCGATCGCGACCTCAGCAAGGGAGAATTTGCCGGCGCCACGGTTCTAAAGACTTGGTTTGAAGGGCGGATGGTGTACGAATCTTAACTCCTTGGGAAGAGGGTTGATTGGTTTTTGGAGCCCGTAGCAAGTTGTGATCGTGACTTGTACGTAAATATGAAGGATAATATATGCGTTCGTGGTCTGTATTCTTCATCTGTAAAGAGCAGCAAATATACAGTACCACAAAAGGACCGAAAGTCCTCCCCCATTCCCTTTTTCCTCCATCTGAATAGGAGTTTGCCAACAAATTGGTGGACATACGTGATTGTGACTCAATAGTCTCAGAGGACTATTCGGTTGACCAGCACTCTTTCGTCCAGAGGAGGATTCTTCGGTACATCTTTGCAGGTGTTTTTCAAATGCTCCAGGTGTGCCATGATTCTTGAAACTTCTAGAGTTCGTTGGCCTGCGGAACCGCCATCAACTACAACAAAAGATGTAATGACCAAATTGTAGTTGATCCTTTGTTTATTTTCAGCACAGAAAACACCTGCAAAAACAAGGTTGGTTGAGCAATGGCCGCATAGTGTGAGAATAATGTCGCGGATCTGTTCCGCATTGTCAGTCAGCAAATAATTATTCTGGCTTGAGCCAGCACACCGCGCCCAGTGCTACATCAAATATCAAAATGTGTTAACCACGGGAGGTGAAGGAGGGAAGGGGGTTGGGGGTGACTTTCTAAAAATATACCCTAACACATTATTGGATCATCTTCTCGTGCAGCATACTCATCGGGTTTTTTGCTTTCTATAGCAATGTCTTCACGTTAGAAAAACCTGGATGTCCATTTCATCCTTGGGGGCATCGTTCATCATTATCATAAAAGAGGGTCAAAAGTGCCCGCCCCCAATGTCAGGTATTTGGAGTCTGCGTACCCCACAAGATCTAGTTGTAAACAACCAACCATCTTCTTCGACTCTCCATATCTGCATCAATAGTATGCGTCACTTGGCACTGACATTGGTGAAAATCGAAGGCCAAAGATCCCTAATGATTATTAAGGATAGGGTATCATCGTTAGAGAGCGGGTATTACTGTAATCAACAAACGATCAAGAGGTCGATAATATATACCTAGTAGTATTACGACTTCCTAGTGCTTTGTCTTTTATTCGCAAACCCGACCATATACCCCAATCCTATACTTCTGCAAGTCTCGGCTACCCGATCCGCTGCGTGGCTCGACGAATCATTGGACACCGTGGGCATCCGTGGGCGGTGAGGCAGAGCAACAAGCTATCATTGCGGGGCCTGAGGCAGCTGCTCCAGCTTCTTTTTTCTTCCCTTCTCAGTTTCACTCTCACGCACGTCGACATTACTACTGCCATTGCCTTACCTTTACTTCACCTTCTACCCTCAATTCTTCTACTCCCCCTCATCTCCCTCCCCGACGATGTCAAGCCAACCACTCCTTCAGACAGCTCCCGGTATGTTCCCCTCTTTTCCCTCCTCATCCCACGAACCTCCGCTCCACCACGGCATCACCGCAATGCAATTGAACCCAACTCTCAATCCAACCCAACTCACCAAGTACCAACTAACTAACCGCGTAACAAGGCAAGCGGATTGCCCTCCCAACCCGCGTCGAGCCGAAAGTCTTCTTCGCCAACGAGCGCACCTTTCTCTCATGGCTCAACTTCACCGTCATCCTGGGCGGGCTCGCCGTCGGGCTCCTCAATTTCGGTGATCGCATCGGCCGCATCTCCGCCGGCCTCTTCACCGTCATCGCCATGGCGGCCATGATCTATGCACTCGTCACCTTCCACTGGCGCGCCCAGAGTATCCGGCGTCGTGGACAGAGCGGGATCGATGACCGCTTTGGACCGACTATTCTGGCCCTGGCTCTTTTGGCGGCCGTTATTGTTAACTTCATTCTGCGGATTCGTGATGGAGAGTCCGATTGATTTTGAGTGTGGTGGCGTCGCATTATTCTTTCTTTTGTCTCCATGGCGTTGATCTTGAGGGAGTCTTTTCTTTCTTGTTTGACTTTGATTTCTCGGTACATGTTCCCCTGTCCTGTACAATGGATGACGATTTCTTCGATGCTCCGCGAGTTTTGCTTTTCTCTTCCTCGGGCTGATTTCAAGGCTCTCACGCTGGAAAGCTGCCTTTTGCACTTGTCGGCAGCTCTCACATGCGACGAGGTACCTTCCAGAATGTGCATTTTGCTACGTCTTTACACTGCTGGATGAATTGTATCTAACCGGATGTTCCCATGTTGAATATATCAGAAAAAAGATACCCAGCGTGTATGTACCCTCAGGGTTTTCGCCTTCATTGAACGGACGGACGGACTAGTTGTGCGTCTACGGTTTCTTTTGCAGGATCTATCACCAGGGCACCGTATGGCCAGTTGAATTCCACCGATCACTCCGAGCAATAAACCGGCTCTACAACCCTCCCATCCAGGTATCCGGCATCAATAAACTCCTCGTAGTTCCAATAGTCCTGCTTATCACCTTGACCCACAATGGTGGCATTACTCCAGAACTTGGCCGTCCAGTAACTACTCCCCCGCGTAAATTGCTCAAAAGCCGACAGACCGGCACGCAGGTTCCTCCCACGCAGCGCCAGCGAGTTAGCCGCGCCCGCCTCCAGCGCCCACTCGCCCACAAAAGTCGGGAACTTGCCATCGCCCGCACTCACGCGGGCATCGGCACACAGAAACCCGGGCAGATTGGCCGACGTCGAGTTGTCGTATTGAAAGTAGTAGTGGTGCAGGTCAAAGACGAGATTCGCATCCCGCTCGAAATGCGGCGACCAGTACTCCTCATGCTTGAAGCTGCCCTGGAACATCACTGGCAGACCGGGGGCCGCCGCCGCGGCGCGGTCGAGCACGGCGTGGATGTATCTGAGCAGCCAGACGGCGCCGTGGTCCGACAGGGCGGCGGGGGTTCCAAACGCCGAGAAGTTGTGGTTATCGGCAGGCTCGTTGATGGGCTCGATCGTGTACGCCGTTGGGTGGGGCGAGCTCTGCACAAAGTCGATCAGCGCGTCGACGGCGCGAAGCGACCAGTCCAGCGCTGTCTCGTTCCACCACCACCCCCAGTGGCCGGTTGCTTCACCGATGTCCAGCCCGTTGGTCCCACCGGGCAGCGAGTGGATGTCCACGACGATGTGCATGGCATGCTGCTCGATGGCATAGTCCGCAATCCGCCGGAGATATTCCTGCTGTCGGCCGGAGTGCAGCTGCGAGCCGGGCAACTTGATCCACGCGGCGTAGGTGGTGGGGATGCGCAGTATCTGCACGCCGGCGCGGGCCAGCTTGTCAATGTCCGCTGTTGTGATGAAGGTGGCGTATCGCTCTTCCAGGACGGGTCCGCACTGGGCGCCGAGGTGCGAACAGAGACCCCATTCGTCTGAAGCGCCGCCGGAGTACTTTGCCCACCAGGCTGTGTCAATGGTGGACTCTTGCTCCAGCCAGCCGCCTAGGTTGACGCCGTTGGCTCGGAAGGTGCGCCAATCCACATACGACGGGGGGTGGTGCGGCGTGGCAAACGCTGCGGGCAGGGTACCCAGCAGGGCGACCAGGGGGGTTAGAGCTGCTGTCCGCATGAGTGGGCGACGGCGTCAGGGGGTTTGAGGATTGGTCTCCGAGACTTCCAGCATGTTTATATGCTGTCGACACGACCCGCGATCATCTGCCGTGGCCGCACGGGTTATCCTTCCCCAGATTCTCCGCATCATGAAGGTGTTGTGTCGCGTTTCGCTGATTCGCCCGGAGATCCCAGATCGACAGGGCGTGGTCTGAGCGCCTGAGGCCGGAATCGGAAAATCCGACGGCTTGAGCTCTGTCCAGTGCGTCGTGATGATCCCGAAAGAATTAAGTTACAGGCTGACCTGCGTATGGGGACAGAGCCTCACAGTCCTCCCGAAATGGATAGATAACAAACGATTGATAGGGAGTGGAACCAGGAGTGGTGACGTGTTTGGATACAGCGAGAATGATGTGATGCTCCACTCTCTGCTCTGGCTGCCTGTTCCTCGCCCATTGTCCCCCTTTCTTTCCCTCTCTCTCTCTCTTGCCAACTTTCTGTCCTCCTTATCTCCCTCTTCTCGTTCTCTTCACTTCTTTCCTCTTCTCTCCTCTTCCTTCTCTCTTCCTTTTCTCTTCCCTTCACTTCCCCTATTATTGATTATTCATCCCTGGCTTCCCCCCCAAACCCCCCTTACTAATAGCCCTCGCCACTCTCTCTCTCCCGCTATCCTGTAATCATAACAACTCCTTTCCTGGTTCTTCCCATTCCGGTCGCTCCCTACTCACTCTACCTCTCACACCCAACCCCAACCACTCCACTTTTTTTCCCTCACGGTCGGACGGTCCAGCCCAGTTCCACGTCCATTCCCTCCCCTTCTTATTACCACGTAATACACTTCTTATCCTTCCTTGAGCGCATGGACTTCTTCACAGCACCCCTTTAACTTCCCTCCGATCGCTCGTTCTCCACCGCTGCCGTTCCCGCCCGGCTCCGGCGCACTCTCGCATGGCATGTTTCGTTTGCTTCCCTGGTCCTCTGCAATCGGAGGGAACAAGGTGATGGCGGAAGAGGTCACGATGCTCGCCACACCCTCTGCCAACTGCTCCTCCATGCCTGGGGTCAACGGCCTGTCGCTGCCCCGGCTGAAGCGCAAGCGATCCGATTCTGACGCGGCCACCGACGCGCCCGCCGCGACCAGACCACGCACCCAACCACCGGTCGCCAACAATCCGCCGCCAGCGCTGGTATCGCAGCCGATCGCCTCGAAACCGCTTGCATCGCCGCCCGTTGCTCCATCCACCCCGGTCGCATCGGCGCATCCGCCGGCGCAGGTCGCCGCCAAAGAGGCCCCGGATGTGAACCAGCTGCGCGATACCATCACGGCTCAGCTCAGCTTGGAGGTGCTGCTGAAACACAACGAACTGCGCCTCATCGACCAGGAGATCGCCAAGTGTCAGGTCGCACTGGAACAACTGCGACGCTGCGCTGAGATCCCCTACCCGGGGTCGCATGTCACCGGCATGTCGTCAACTGTCAGCTCTGGTGTGGGTGCGTCGGTGTTGGTGCCTGGAAAAGGACCAGCGCCGATATCCCCTGCGCCCTGGGGGGTCACCGAGGGACCATATTCGCGCCACTATGCGCGCTGGCTGCTCCCTGACCCTCGCTTCGATGGGGGTGAGGCCGACCCGGGACTCTCCTCGGTCGCTGGCAACGGCTTTCCGCAGGTCGAGGGTCGGTCAACGCGCGGCAACCCGGTGGACATGGGCTCGCTGGCGAGCAAGACGCGTCCTCAACGGGGTTCGACTGGTGCAAAACTGCAATCACTGCCCAGCGGATACCCGCTGGTCAAGGAGAAGGCGGGTCCGATGCTGATCCGGCGCAAGTCGGACGGTGTGCTCGTCAAATTAATCTGTCTAGACTGCCGACGGGACAACTTCTCCAGCACACAAGGATTTATCAACCACTGTCGCATCGCACACAACCGCAACTTTGCCAGTCATGATGCCGCCGCGATGGCATCGGGTGAACCAGTCGAGGTGGATGAGGCTGGTACCGTCATCGGCGGCCGAAGTGAATCCACCAGCGCTCCGGTGGCTCCTGGATATGTCCATCCGTTGATTCGATCTACTCCGCTGCCTTCGCCCTCGAACTCCCTTACCACTTCCGCCAAGGACTCGCTCACTCCTCGGCGACCATCTGACATGAACGCGGCCGCCGCTGTTGCAACACCGCCCGCGACAAGACCATCGGTTCGCGATCAGCGACGACAAACCGAACCAACCAAGGTTTCTGTCAACCCTTCATTTCTCGCCTCTCCCGCGACTCCTCACTTGTCAGCGTTGATGCGGGACCGCGGTGTTGGTGTCGATATGGACCAACTGGTGGCAGATGCCAAGACACCTGTGGACCTTGGTGGTCTTTCCGACAGCGAGGACGATATGGATACGGATGATTCTGTCCGGCCATCTGACTCCGGTTTGGAGGCATCTCAACTCGGAGCGCGCGCTGGTCGACAGCCAATGCGCATGCCCACTGCACAAGCGGCATCGCAGCGCTTGGAAGGTCACAAGGGGCTTAACCGAAACCCTCACGACCCGCAATCCTTGGAAGAATCAACACCGTCTCGGCCATCGCATCACCAGCAGTCTTCGTACCTCTCAGAGATCTCTTTATCAGACACGCCCCAAGGGGTTCAGCCTCGAGAAGCAGACCATATAGGCCACCCGGCAAACCTCAGTCCAAACACGCTAGAGTCGAATCAAGCTCCGAGCCTGGTGAGTGACGACGAGGATGACTTTGGCGCAGCCTCTGAGTCCGATGGGCCCAGCTCGTCCGAGGCAGGCGACCACGACCAAGATATCGGTCACATCGAAGTGGAGGGCGATGAGCGCACGGCCACTCCGTCCACCGCGACCACCGAAGCCAAGCCCGGTCCATCGCTAGCGAGTCCTGCTCCGTCTGCGCCGCCAAAAGTGTCCCAGCCCTTGAAGCGAAGCCGATCCAAGAAGAACATTCCGTCAATGATGCCTGCGTTTGACGACTCCGACAAGGAAGACAAGCACGTCAGCTTCGTCCATTCCGACGAGAACCCCAAATCCAAGCGCGGCCATAAACCTGCTCCATCTGGCCGGTAATTCCAACACCCATCTCCAAAACTTCACTTCGTGTTTTGCTCCAAGACTCTCTTCTCTTCTGATTCTTGTGCCTCATTCCGTGTGTGGCTTTTGTGTTTTTATTTTTTATTGGCGAGAAAATGGACGGCCTGCTTGGTCTGGATCGTGTCATCTTGATGATGGCTGACGGTGATGGATGATGACTCTGATTCTTTTGATGATGTGCCTGTATTTGATAGTTGTTTAATGAAGCCTTTCCATGGCTATTTCACGGACCTGGAGCGTACATGAAGCGGGAATAGAGTCCGTTGTGATTGTAGGGAAGGAAAGAGAGCGGAGAAGGATGTATTCGGTACCGTAATTTACGCCTACTTCCCAATTATCCTCCGTAATATTACAGCAGCTTATCATCGATGACAATCGCATCTTAGCTTCCTTTTTTTTTATCTTGCTTCGACCACTTCCAATTGCTCCACCCCTTCGCTCCGAGCCATTGTTCAGCCTCTGATACGGCTGTGTCGGAAGACTTAGCCTCGGGCTTTTACTCGTAAATCTTTTCGCTGTCCGAAAAGACAGCGCGCATCCCTCTGGTCTGATCGCCTCTCATCGCGATTCCTGCGACACCCTCCAGGTCAACAACAGCTCCGCTTTTTGCCAACCTGAAAATGGCTGTCGACACAGACGTGGTGGCTGATGCCTCCAACCTAGAGTCGGAGAAGCAAGCAGACGACTTTATCCCTCTCGGCGGAGACGAGGACTTTGTCGCATTTGCGGCGGACGAGGACGAGGACGAAGACGAAGACCCGTCCTACGACAAAACCTTCCACCCCCACCGAATCACTCTTCCCACCTTCCGTCGCTTGCTCGCCTGCTATGCCACCACTGCGGAGCAGGTATATCGGCGCAAGATGATGGTCAAGTTGCAGCCCAAGCCGGCAAAGGGATCATTGGCCAAGTTGAAGAAGCGTGCGGGCTCTGCGTCTGCCACCGCCACAGGCGCGGCTCTGATTCAGAAAACGGATTTCAATGCCTCTGAGCAGCGGTATATCCAGACCGAGACGGACAAATATCTTGAATTGGACCAGTTGCGGTACGAGGGGCTTCCCAAGAAGGTCGCGGAGAGGAAGACGGGTGATGATGGGGACGAGAAGAATGGGTATTTGAGTAAAGACGAGTTGCTTTCTATTATGGAGTGGAAGATGTATGTTGACACCTCCTCACTATCTATTCTATTATCTAACCATTCACCAGGAAACACGGCGTGGCCCGTCCCACTCTCATGGGAAACCTCAAAACCAACCAGGCCAACCTCGTGCGGAAATCCACTGCCGCAGCGCTGTCCGCGCTCCCTATCGCAGACCCCACACTCTACCCAGACGAGGCATTCCCACGACCTAGTCTGGACGCACTCACTAAGCCACTGCGCGGCGTTGGCCCCGCCACAGCATCATTGATCCTATCCATCTCCACGGCTGCTGGCGATGCCTCCCACCAAATACCATTCTACAGCGACGATGTGTATCTCTGGCTATGCCTAAAGGATTTCCCGGAGCCCGAGGATGCGCGAACACCCCAGCCTCTGATCAGCAGCGGCGGAGCAAGCACGGAAACAAAACCAAAGAAAAAGCCATCAAAGTACAAGCGGCCGAATGGAGAGCTGAACGTCAAATACAACGCGAGCGAATATCGACAGCTGTGGAACGCCTCCTGGGAACTTCGGGAGAGATTGAACCGCAGCATGGATACCTCCGACCAAGAAGATGGTGAAGCCGAGGACGACAATGCGCAGCCCATTTCTCACAATGATATTGAGAAAGTTGCCTTTGTGCTGCGCAACATCGCCTTCTCGGGCTTCTACCAGGATCAAGATCCAGAGGCTTTTCTAAAGGCGCGCGCGGCGATTGAAAAGGCAAATCAGCCTCCCCCGGATGATACGCCGAAAAGACATAAGAAGAAGCGGAAGCATGATGAGAAGGATGGTGGGTCGAAGGGCAAGGGGTCTCGCAATAGCAAGAGAAGCAAGCAGAATTGAGGCGTGATCTGTCTAAGGAGTTAGGGATGGCATACGTTCACTCATCGAATATAATCCGAGCAATTATTCCATGTCCTATTGACATATTCTTTCCAATGCAGCGAACAATGACCAATTAGACTGTCCTGTATACACGTAAAGGGGCATGACAGTATGCAAAAACAACACCAAACACCAACAAAAGACCCTTCAAGTCCCTCTACAGGGCAACACCAAGCCCCATCCCCAAGAAAGCGAGCCACATCCCCGTCTCCGCCACACGGTTGGAGACCGCAACACCCTGCGACGGGCTAGAAGTAGCAGACAGCCCAGTCAGACTCTTCGACGGCTTCTCATCTGACGAGGAATCACTCTGCTCGGTATTGGCGGTCGACTCGTCAGAGCTGCTGATCAGTCCCGTGGAGGTGGAGTGTGCGGCGCTGGAGCTGGCCATGCGGCTCATGCTCTCCACCGCTGTCGCCGATGCACCCGTGCGGCCGGTCTCGGTCGTCTTGCCCGAGTAGGCTCGCGCGTTGGCGCAGTTCTGTTGCCGGATCTGTTGTGCGCCTAGACGCTCCTCGTCTTCGGGGCAGTTGTTATAGCAGCTTTTTGGTGGTGTTAGTTGTGTCTCTTTCGGGTTGGGTTGTATATGGGGTATCGGAGCACTCACCCCACAACATCCGTGCTGTGCGTGCACATGCAATCCCAGTCTCCGGTGTCGCAGTTCTCGAGCTGGAACTTCATGTCCGTCACACATTGGTCGACGACCCTGTTGTTGGGAAGTGTTACATGGTTAGACACGAGCTTGGTAAAACACGCTGTGTCCTAATAGGGTAAAGAAGGCAAGACATACTTCTGCGCGGCGCACTTCGAGCTGTCATCAGCCAAAGCCAGACTGGCCGAGGCGGCGACGAGGACAGAAATAGCGGTTGTGTAGCGCATTGTTGATGGTTCCGTTACAGGTAGGGGTGGGTATCAGATAGAGAAGTAGAGGGTGAGTAAGATGAGATGAGATGGTATGGGAATGTGAGAAGAAAGATAATTGGAGAAGATAAAAACAAACCAGAGCCAAAGGATACAAACAGCTCAAATATATGCTTCTTGAAACATTCCATTCCATAGTCGGAGTAGAGACAGCTGAGTTTACAAATTTCCTATTTGGGGGTGGATGCGGCCCGGCTTTCCGCAACCAGAAGTATAAAAGTGGTGGGACATGTGTGTAATCAGCTGATAGAAAGCCATACATAATGATAGACTTGTTCCAATGATTCTTAGAACACTGTTAAATGACCGGAATCGGAAATAGCTCGAGTCATTAACCATGAGTGATCAGTCGCAAACAGACGCCCACATGAATTAAGCATAATCGCTCAATGTGGCGGGGATATCTGATCTGCGCTACTGCTGTGGAAACCGGAAGCCAGGGCAATTTCTTGCGACAAAACATTGGCTGCATTTTTGCGTGTGTCGGGGTGCTAGGGGCTTTGGGTCTTGCATTCCCGGTGGAGTCTGGGGGAGCATTCCTCGTTGCTATATCCCCCCTCTAGGTCTCTCGATTGGCCAATGGGAAATATTCCAGCATCGGCTTAGCATTTTCGGGGTCTCGATGGGCGCTTTAATTCTATCTCTGTCTTTTGTCCTGAGGACTAGTTATGGGGAAGTTTCTTCTGACATGAAAGTCCAGCCTTCCTTGGGTATTTCCTGGTGAAGCTGTGTGCTTGGCATCTGTCTCCTCCTGCTGCGCTGCGAGGGTTGGATTAGGGCTACGTTGGAGGTAAACGGTGGTATACACTTCAACACTTAAAGAGCTATAGTCTATAGTCAATGATTCATTCCGTAGATGCCCATCTATCAGGATCACATCTAGAATACATATCGGGTGCAGGCCACATCAGTCCAAGAATGTACACTCCTTACAAGCCCTTGGCCTGCTTGGCCTCGGCGAGAGCCTCCTTCAGCGCAGCCAGCGCGTTGTCAATATCCTTGCGGTTGGGGTCAGTCACACTGACACCCATGTGGCCGAAGCGAATGTACTTGGTGGCAATCTCCTTGTGCAGGCCGGCTGCGAAGATCACGCCGCGCTTCAGCAGACCCGGCAGCACGTCCGGCGGGGTCAGACCCTCGGGCAGGTACATAGCGGTCATGCCGTGGGCCTGGGCCTCCGGGTTGGGCGCCAGCTGCTTGAGACCCATTTCGGCGATGGCAGCCTTGACGCGGTCCGACTCCCGGGCGTGCACGGCGAAGCGCTCGGAGACGGGGCGGGCGGTGATCTGGCTGAGGGTGGTGTGCAGGGCGTGGACCAGCTGGGTGGGCGGGGTGGCGAAGTAGGAGGGCTTGAAGGCCTCGTAGTTCTTCATGATGGGCAGCCAGTTGGCAATCGAGGCGTAGTACGAGCCCGGCGGGGTCTTGCGCGACTGGGCACGCTGGACCGCGCGGCCAGAGCACATCACGATGCTCAGACCGGGCGGGCAGCCGATGGCCTTCTGGCTGGCCGTGACCACGGCGTCCAGCTCCCACTCGTCGAAAGCGATCTCCTCCGAGCCCACGCTGCACACGCCGTCAACCACCACCAGAGTCTCCGGGCTGACCCGGCGGACAAGCTGCGCGACGCCCTTGACGTCGCTCAGCACGCCGGTCGAGGTGTCGACGTGGGTGATTGTGATGACCTTGTACGGCTTCGCCTTCAGGGCCTGCTCGACCTGGTCGAGGGAGTGTCGCTCGCCAATAACCGACTTGAGTTGCGTCACTTGCGCACCGTATGTTTCCAGGCAGTTGGCGAACGAATCGCCGAAGTAGCCGGAGTTGAGCACCAATGCGTTATCGCCCCGCTCGATCAGGTTGGCAGACACCAGATCCCAGCCGAGGGTGCCGCTGCCGGAGATGACGAACGGCTGTGCGGCGGGGTCGGTCGACTGGAACAGCTTGCGTACGAGGGCGATGGCCTCACCGAAGACCTTGACGAAGCCGGGAGCGACATGGCTCTCGCTGGGAAGCAGAATGGTGGTTAGCAAGGGTATGCCATGGAGGCCGTCAGGTCGACTCACGCGTAGTGGGCCATGGATTGCAGCACGGCATCGTCGAACTCGATGGGGCCCGGGATGAGCAGAGTGTTATGAGGGGCTTGGGCAGACATGATGGATGTGGGAATGGGAGGAAAGCTGGAGCGGTCGATGGGTTTATAATCGAGGTCGTCGGAAGGCAGGGAGTCTCTCTCGGTCGAGAAGGGAGTGTTAAGCTCAGGCAACGGCAGGCGCTGGTCCAGGTGTCTGGAGATCAGGCTCAGGCGTTGCGTCGTTCTGGGTGCCAGCTTTTCCGATTCGCGGCGCTCCGACCGCGGGGCAGCTGAGTGATGATCGCGGATTCCCGAGGGAAAGGGGAAAACCAGGGTTCGGGGATCGCCGCCGAGGTTCTTGGCTGGGTGTAGGGACACTAGTGAACTACTATACTGCTGTATAGTAGTCGTAGTAGGGTGGTCAAAGGAGTAATGGAGGGATTGTGAGAATGAAATTAACTGGGGATTTCGTTCCTTTTGAAGCGAGCTGTCTCCATCCCCAACAATTCTCCTCTAGCCATCGGGAGGTCCCGCCCGGCTGGGGGCGAGGGTATACCACTGCCAGGGCATGTCTCTACGCGGTAGCTGTGATTCTGATATGATGGAGCGGGCATATTCCCTTTTCCAGTCTGCTATACAGTTCTTTTTGCTGCGAATATTGCCTCCATTCATTACTAGTCGGGGCTCTGGCCCAACGTCTCGACCTGGGAATCGAATATCCACCTACCCCTACTCCTAACCAGCTCAATGCATTATCCCCGTTCTCCTGAGCAAAGAAGGACTCTCGATCACCTCCGATCTCACCCATTGACCCCCCAGGCAGTCTGGGGATTGCGCTGTATGCACCATCCTACCTCTGGTTCTCCTCCCAGCACCAACGGCGACCTCCGCATAGATAGGAACACATTGATCGGATGCATCATGCCCGGGACTGGGGTCTCCAGACCGAAGTTCTCGCCCGAATCATTCTCCTTCGGCCTGACGAGCCAATGCAATGAAGCGTGCCTTGAACTTACTACATTCGGATGGGCTAGGGCTGCTGACGTAATGGCCTTCGTGCTTCCCCGCGAGGGCCTGTGAAGCCGCATCACCATTGATCACCTGGAATGAGCACCATCGTCTCCACCTTTCATTATGACCGCCCGTCTGGTCCTGGTCATCGGTGACTTGTTCATCCCCGACCGGGCTCCTGTGAGTTCCATCGTCCATATCCGCACTCCAGCAGCTAACCCGCCTCCGCCCCGTAGGACCTACCAGCAAAGGTGCGTGTTGCCGTGGGCGTATCCCACCACTGACCTCCATTAACTCCCTCGATTGTAGTTCCAAAAACTCTTAACCCCTGGCAAGATCGGCCAGATCCTCTGTCTGGGCAACCTGACCGACCGTGAGACCTATGAGTTCCTCCGCCAGGTCGCCCCAGACCTGCAGATGGTCAAGGGCGACTACGACGTCGACTCCCCCAACCTCCCTCTCTCCAAGATCGTCACACACGGCAGTCTGCGCATCGGCTTCACCCATGGCCACACCATCATCCCGCCCGGCGACGCGGATGCGCTCCTGATCGCCGCGCGCCAGATGGACGTGGATATCCTGCTCTGGGGCGGCACGCACCGGTTCGAGGCATTTGAAATGGAAGGCCGGTTCTTTATCAATCCGGGCAGTGCGACGGGGGCCATGAGCTCCGGGTTCTGGCCCGAGGGCGAGGAGCCCACTCCGAGTTTCTGCCTGATGGATGTGAGTTGGCCGTTGTTTATCGAGGGGTTGTTTTGCTTGCAAGTGCTAACCCAGACCAATCGCAATAGATTCAAGGCGATGTCCTCGTGCTGTACGTCTATCAGCTCAAGACCGATGCCAATGGAGTCGAGAACGTATCCGTTGAGAAGGTCTCCTTCCGCAAGAATCACGCCCCGGCCTCGTGATAGATAGATAGACCACCACCCTGTCCCCATTCTCTCCTTCTTTCCGACTTGTATATAGTCTCCTTGAATTCCGTGTTGTTCTGGTTTTCTCTCTCAATGCAACTCCCATCACGATGATACCTTGAGGGCCTAGTCTGCTCCTGCTGCCTACTATATAGATGAACAAAGGCCCAGAATGGAAAGCAAATCACTAGTTACAGTCATATCCGTTCTGCGACACTCACTCTTTGCCTTGGTTGTGGTATAGTCCATCTCCATTCCTCCCTCGCCCAGGTGATCGCACTAGTCCCGAAAGAGCAAGCCTCCCCAGTTCCTGCACCTCCAATCACTCGTCCGTCTCCAACTCTCATTCCCTGCTGCCCGTTGCAGACCGACCATCGACATTCGGGGTTTTGTGATTTTTTCTATCGCTGTATTCCCGTGTCTCTGCCCACCACGCTAATCTCTGCGCGGAGCGAAACAAGAGCTCGGATTGCTCCCCTCACCCATCCACCCAATTGCGACGACTTGATACCCAACCTCTCAATCGATTTTATTTTATCACACTGCCACCATGGCCTCCGAACAAACAGAGATAAAGGACGAGCAGCTTCCTCCTCAGGAAGCTGGTGGCGATGACGAGGTGCGTGTGGCCCAAGAGGCGGCGAAACAGAATCATCCGTTGCGACCGTCGCAACGGATGATTCTGCTTCGCCGCCTCTTGAACCCAAAAAATTTTGCGCACGCCTCTGCTAACATGCTCTCGCCCTATACAGGAGGAAATCGCCGCGATGAAGCGACGGGTGGCCGAGATGGAGTCCGAGGCGGCCAAGTTGCGCGAGATGCAGCAAACGCTCGACCAGCAGTCGGAGAACCTGGCAGAAAATAAAGAAGAGATCGATGCCCGGAGTGTATTTGTCGGCAATGTGGACTACGGCGCCTCGCCCGAGGAGATCCAGGCGCACTTTCAGAGCTGTGGCTCAATCAACCGCGTGACGATTCTGCTGGACAAGTTCAGCGGCCAGCCCAAGGGGTAAGTTCAATGCTCTGCTCCGAGTCTCCGCTGCAAGGAACTCGAAGTGCTAACTATGTGGCGTCACAGCTATGCCTACGTGGAATTCGCAGAGCCGAGTCTTGTGGCCCAGGCGCTGGTTCTCAACGAGAGTGTCTTCCGCGGTCGCAATCTGAAGGTCCGTTTCCCGCTTCTTTCTGGTGGTCTTTGCCGGCGCTGACATCTCTTTCTACAGGTCGTCCCCAAGCGCACTAACCTGCCCGGCATGAACCGTGGCCGGGGCCGGGGTGGCTTCCGTGGCGGCCGGGGTCGTGGCTCTTTCCCTCGCGGCGGCTATCGTGGTGGCTACCGGGGCCGAGGACGCGGCTATGCCCCGTACTAAGAAGTCTTGCTGGATGCTTATTTCCAGATGGATCTATCCCTTCTCATTTCCTCTGGATCTGGCTTTGGAGTTGCGGTATGGACTTTGTGTATAATACGAGAACGAGCACGAGAACGAGCCAAAAGAAAAGTCAAAAGCCTCAAAAGAAAGGTTGTTTCTCGGGCCAAACCAAATGTAAAGCAGGATGTAAACGCCAGTCTAGTAGTCCAAGCGTCAGCAAACCCAGTTCCAAACCGCTGCCTAACAACTTCACTAGCTCTTATCGCTCTCGCCACTCATACCGGTCAACCCGCCCGCTCCGTTCTGACGGATTACGTACGCCCGTCAAAAGCCTCACGAAACAAGCACCAAGGAACAGGGCGCAGTAAGATCGTGGCCTCAGGGCCTTTTGTGTTGCTGGGCCAGGCGTGGCGTGCTCAGCCCCCTCCGTAGTGGGAAGTAAAGACCAAGTACCTCGCCCATAGTGAACCCATACAACGGGTACATGGGTCATACCAACCTAGCCTTACAGCATTACCTGAGCCTTTCCACTCCTCCCTCCTTCGCCTCCTCTTCATCCTATCTCGACTCATCATCACTCTTCCTCCCTTTTCCCCCCAACACCACCCACTCCTTCCCCGATTCCATTCTTTTTCTATCGGGACTCTTTGCTGGACTGGTGACCCCCCCTTTGGTTCTTCCATCATCCCCCGTCAACGGATGTGCGCGCCGCGCTGTTCTGCTTAGGCTGGATTGATCGGCCTTTCGCACCGGCTGTGAATCACTGCAGGGCATAATGGCGTCCAACTTGCCAGCGTACGCTCCCCATCCCCCTTTTTAACATCTGGACCCCGTGCTAATCTTTTTTTCGAATTGCAGCCAGCCGAATCTCCGGGTCACGAGTAAGATCGCCTTTTGAGTCTGCAGGGCAGCGGGAAGCTGCGGGGTGCTTTTTAGGCCGGCAACTAACACATTCTCGACAGTTATCGCGGCAGACGGTCTCTACAAGCGTGATGTCTTCCGTAGGTCCTTTCCTCCCTTGGTTGCTGTTGCACCACACCCGCCTAACCGCCCTCCTAGGATTCCCTGATCCGTTCGCCGTGGCCACCATCGCTGGAGAACAAACACACACGACATCGGTGATCAAGAAGACGCTCAATCCATACTGGAATGAGCCCTTTGACTTGTACGTGCTGCCCTTTTCCCTACAGGGCACGCGGGCTAACCACCAACGATGTTGCAGGAAGGTCAACGAAGATAGCATTCTCGCGATCCAGATCTTCGACCAGAAAAAGTTCAAGAAGAAGGACCAGGGCTTCCTCGGTGTCATCAACGTGCGCATCGGAGATGTGATCGATCTTCAAATGGGTGGTGATGGTATGTACTGGGTTCCAAATTCCATCATGACTAGCTCGGGCTGACTTCGAGGGCTCCTGTGCCCGCCCGCCCACTTGCAGAGATGCTCACCCGGGACCTGAAAAAATCGAGCGATAACCTCGTCGTGCACGGCAAACTGATTATCAACCTGTCGACAAACCTCACTACCCCGCATCCAAGTCAGCCGAATGGCCTCCACCGTCAGCAAGCTCAATCGTCTACTTCCAGTGGCCTCGTCCCGCAAATTGCTGGCCCAAACTCCCAGGCACTGCCAGGTCCCGCCCAAGTCGATATGTCGACTGCCGCTGCCTCGAGCTCGTCGCTGAACCAGCGTACGCCTTCAACCGCCCCGCCACCCCCCATTAGTGCCGGAGCGAATGGTGCCGCTGCTGGTGCACCCGGTGCCGCCGCTCGCACTAACCCCAGCTCCTTTGAAGATAGTCAAGGTCGGCTGCCCGCTGGGTGGGAGCGCCGGGAGGATAATCTGGGACGGACATATTATGTGGACCATAACACAAGGACCACCACCTGGCAGCGGCCATCGGCCAACTATAGTGCGCAGGCTCAACGCTCGCAGAATGAAGCCACCATGCAGCGTGAACGTCGGGCCCATGAGAACCGAATGCTTCCTGAGGATCGGACTGGCGCTAATTCTCCGAATCCACCGGATGCGACACAAGCGCAAACTCCACCGCCAGGAGCGTCCGCCGGCAATGCTAACGCGGTTTCAATGATGGCGACGGGTGCCACCACTGCCGGCACAGGAGAGCTTCCTCCCGGATGGGAACAGCGGAACACACCAGAAGGCCGCCCCTACTTTGTCGACCACAATACCCGGACCACGACCTGGGTTGATCCGCGCCGGCAGCAATACATCCGCATGTTTGCTCAAGGTCAAGCCACTGGTGGGAACAATACCACGATTCAGCAACAGCCTGTTTCGCAACTGGGTCCGTTGCCCAGTGGTTGGGAGATGCGTCTAACCAACACCGCTCGGGTGTATTTCGTGGACCACAATACGAAGACGACCACGTGGGACGATCCCCGACTGCCCTCGTCACTCGACCAGGGTGTTCCGCAGTACAAGCGTGACTTCCGACGCAAGCTGATCTACTTCCGATCCCAGCCTGCGCTCCGCATTTTGACTGGGCAGTGCCACGTCAAGGTCCGCCGCAACAACATCTTCGAGGATTCGTATGCCGAAATCATGCGGCAGAGCGCTTCGGACCTCAAGAAGCGGCTGATGATTAAATTCGACGGGGAAGACGGTCTGGATTACGGTGGTCTGTCTCGGTATGTCCTTGCCAACAGAACAACAGTACAAGGGAGGTGCTAACGAGGTGAACAGTGAATTCTTCTTCCTCCTTTCCCACGAAATGTTCAATCCCTTCTACTGTCTCTTCGAATACTCCGCCCACGATAATTATACCCTGCAGATTAATCCTCACTCCGGCGTCAACCCGGAGCATCTTAACTACTTCAAGTTCATTGGCCGAGTGGTTGGTCTGGCCATTTTCCATCGCCGCTTCCTGGACTCATTCTTCATCGGAGCCTTCTATAAGATGATGCTGCGGAAGAAGGTCACTCTCCAGGACATGGAAGGTGTGGATGAGGATCTGCACCGGAATCTGGCCTGGACTCTGGATAATGATATTGAAGGAATTGTGGAACTCACCTTTTCGGTGGATGATGAGAAGTTTGGCGAGCGTCGCACTATTGATTTGATACCCAATGGCCGGGACATCCCCGTCACTGACGAGAATAAGGCACAGTACATTGAGTAAGTTTGTCTAGCACATCTGCTTTCACTGTCCACTGACCCTGGTCTAGATTGGTTACGGAGTGGAAGATTATGAAGCGGGTCGAGGAGCAGTTCAACGCGTTCATGTCTGGTTTCAACGAGCTGATCCCCGCGGATCTCGTCAACGTCTTCGACGAGCGCGAGCTGGAGCTGCTCATCGGCGGTATTGCCGATATCGACGTGGACGACTGGAAGAAGCACACCGACTACCGCGGCTACCAGGAGCAGGACGAGGTGATTCAGAATTTCTGGAAGATCGTCCGCAGCTGGGACGCCGAGCAGAAGTCGCGTCTCCTCCAGTTCACCACCGGCACGTCGCGTATCCCCGTCAACGGATTCAAGGATCTCCAGGGCTCTGACGGACCTCGACGATTCACGATTGAGAAGTCTGGCGATCCTGCTGCGTTGCCCAAGTCGCACACATGGTATGTCTTTTACTACCCTGGTCTTGAAGACACTTCCAGCTAACACTTTTGATTCTCAGCTTCAACCGTCTTGATCTTCCTCCATACAAGACGAATGATACCCTGGAGCACAAATTGACCATCGCAGTGGAGGAAACGCTTGGTTTTGGACAGGAATAGAGAGCGCCCCGGCTGCCTCGCCCTTGTGCAATGCAATGCAGATTCTCATGCCCTCGCCACTTCGCATTCTGGCTTTTCTTCTTCTCCTGTAAACAGCATTCTGGCAACATGTCCTTTTGCCTAGAGGTCACATAAGACCAACCAGGCCATCCCGTTCTGCGCCTCGATCCGCCCTCTCCTATCCATCTCCATCTTCACCACCCCTTTATCTCTCGTTCAAACCCACCGCACCATGTAGCGGCATCTCCCATTCTCCAACCATCCATCCTTTCCTTTGCGGCTGTTCCGTTGCCACTACACGATCTGAACACCCCCTCTTCGGGCGTGATCGAAACAAAGAGAAGCGAGGCATGCCTATTGTTTTGTTTTACTCGCTTTATGTTTTTATCTCTTTTTTTTTGGTTTTCTTACCTTCCTGCTTTCCTCCTCGTCTTTTCCTGTCCGGGCGTTCGATTGTGTATATAGGCTATGATTGTCTCTGTATCATCCGTGGGGCTGAGTACCTTGCCTTTTTGGTTGAGTCGAATGCAGCTCGTCAAAAGCGAGATCGATATTGTTTGGTTTCTTTTTTCCTCGATTGGGTGTGTGTTGTGCTGTGTCAATTGTAGAGAGAGGTTGAGTAAACTTTAGGGGCATTGAAATCAAATCGTAGTTGCAGTGTATGATAACGTGTAGTGCGTGGTGTGTGGCATCTAGATATCCTCCTTTCGTCTGAACCGTTCTTTCTGCTTTGTTGCTATCTTTATATATCTGGATTAGCAAGGGGACAAATGGTGTTTCATCTGGGGGCGGCCGAAAATATATCTACCCGCAGAAATATATAACAGCACCACCACACCAAAAGCAAAGTATTGAGGACAGATACATCACACTAGAAGAATTTAAGGCAAGATAATATAAAAGCCAGAATGCAATGACTATGGCTATGTACGAACAGAGCCCCATCCTATCCCACCAGCAGAATACAAGCGCAAAAAAAGAAGCAAAACAAACATAACTCCGGGTGCCATTATGAATATACGACGAATTGCTCCAGCCATTGTTATCCAAGGTCCTCTTACCGTCAAGACCCGAGAAAATGCCTACAGCGGGGAGAGCTGCACACGCTTCTACACGAACAAAAGTACACACTCCACTTGGTTGAACGCTACTGTCACATGCAATATCGAGTTATGTCTCGGCCTCGCCTCGGCGCAGCGCTAGCAGGGCGCGGACATCCGTGACGTACTGCAGGGCCTCCAGCATGGGAATCAGATGGAGCAGGCCGTTGTCGGTTGGGTCGTTGATCCAGCCTTCGATGGGGATGGCGTTGTCTGGTGGTAGTAACCAAGTTGTCAGAAAATGAAAGCAAGATTATAGAAAGGAAAGAAAGCATACCCTCGTGGAAGATGTAGCTCATCGGGCTGTTGTCCAAGATCATCACCTTGCTCAGATCCGGCTCGACAGAGCTCAGGTCCTTGATGTACGCGCCGTTGCGGAATGTGCAATGTTGCCGGTAGTAGCGGGCCTGGAAGTACTTGCGTTCCTGCTCGAGCCAGTCGATCACGGGGTCGGCGTACTCCTGGACACTGGCCGTGAAGACCACAAGCTTGTACCACTTGCAGATCTTGCGCAGGAAGTCATCGCAGTGGGGCCGCTTGTGCACATAGTACAAAATCGGATGCTGCGGTCCCAGCGTGGTCTGTGGCCCGCCGGGGGACAGCGCGGTGGTCATGGGCATCGAGAGCTTGACCTCGACCATATGGCCGCTGGACATGCGGCCGCCCTTGGCGAGGGAGTGGATGAGTGTCTCGTCGAGGTCCAGAACCAAGGTCTTCTGCGGGATCTTGGCATTGCGCGGTGCAGGGGTATATGAAGGGAGTCGTGGGGGGAGGAGTGGCCGCGGCGGTGTTGGGGAGTGGGGGTATTTGGTGATGCGATGGACAGAGGGAGAAGTGGGAGATTTCAAGCTGTCCAGGTTGACAGCTCCCTGGATTCGAGTGACACCCTCGGGCATGGGCGGCCCCATATCAGCGCTATGATTCCGCCGCTGTCTCTGCCGCTTGAGGGATTCTTCGTTATGGAGCTTGATTCGTATGGACCGGCGCGGCGTACCCTCTTCTGACGGTGGATTTGGGTCTTGAGCATTCGGCTTGGGAGACCAATTCTTGCTGCTGGTGAAAGCTTTGCGGCTCTGATGGTCTGTTTCGGACTCTAATGTGCTTGATGCAATAGAGTCGTGGGATGCCTGGGGCTTAAGCTTGCGGGTTGAGCCACTGCGATGCCGACCTTCTATCCCCTTTTCTGACCGGATAGCTGGACCGGAACGGGATCTCCGTACTTTCCTGACTGGGGCAAGTAGCGAGTAGCGCCCTTCATCGTCGCGGAAGCATTGGGCAACATATACGCCAGGGGCAGCGAGAGTAGACAGAATGAACCGGATCGTCTCGGTAATCGCATCAACGATGCGCTTGGTGATCAGCCGCCACGGGCTTCTGACCGCAAGTGTAGCAGCATCCTGGTCGCCGTACAATAATGGTGATTTCTCGTCCAACGTATGTGTTGTCTCCTCCTCTTGGTCTTCTTCCTCCGCGGGCGATGCGGCGCCGTCGTAGCCCTGTTCGGGAGTGAGGGACCGGAAGTTATTCTCGCTATACGACCGGTGTTTCGCCAAGTTCCCCGGACGCCAGATCTCGCCCTGGGATCGTGATCGTGGCCGTGTGGAACTGGAGGACTGGCCGATGACTCGCGAGGACAGGATGTTCAGCGAGTTCATCTTCCAACAGGGCCTATGAGAGGGCGCTGAGGTCTAAAGGTGGGAAGAGCGAGGGTAACGAGTCATCAAATGCCCCTGAGACAGTCCATCGAGGGTCGGGTCTGCGTGAGGGGAGAAGAGAGGGGAAGGGTCGAGTCGCAAGGCGTCCAGGAAGTAGTAGCACTAGTAAGCTGAGGAGGATGAGGTTGGGGTCTCCGGGCCTCGGAACAATGGAGGGCGCGAGCAGGCCGGGGGGATTCTGCCGCGGGGTTTGGCGATGGGGCGAGGCAGACGGAACAGCAGGGATCCGGGACCTGAGTGAAAAGGTAGGGCAAGGAGGGAGAGAGAGGCGGGGAGGGAGACTAGAGGAAGGGACGAAAAGGAGCCAAAGGATGCACACGCGTGGGGAAGCGGAAGCAGGTCCAGCGGCAGAAAATAATGACTCGTTTTGTTCTCTTCCCTCTTGACTTCCTTTACTTCTCATAACTCCCTCCTACTCCTCCCTTTCCCAGTCTCAGAAGACGGCGACATTCTTTCCAGATGCCCTCAACGTCCCTGGCCCTGACGCCGGGCCTGGCATCGTTCCTCAAGTCGCTCAAGACCAACCCGATTGACACCTCGATCGAGAACCTCATTTCGTGCGCTCCCCGCGGCTGCCAATTGGAACCAGCAAGACAGCTCCGCTAACATTCTACTTAGGCTGCTCAAGCGACGACAGATCCGTCATTCCCGGTCATGCGCTACAGCAACCGCCTACCTGCTCTTGCGGGTGATCTCAGCATGTCGGACTTCGGATCCGGTTAGGCTCATCGAGCGAGTGCAGGGTGTGGGACGACGCCTGGTGGCAGCACAGCCCCGCGAGATGGTTGTGGGAAATATTGTGCGCCGAGTTCTGGGATTGATTCGTGACGAGGCGGAGGATGATCGGGACGCTGAATTCGCGCTCAGCGAGGCCTCGGAGAGCCAGCCTCAGACACCACGGGCACTGGATGGTGAGTCAATTGTTTGGTGTCATAGTTTTACACAGACATGGACTAATGTAGGGCAGATACATCATTCCCTTTGGACAGAGACTCGCCTTCGGTGCGGCCGGACGGCGAACGGTCTTCATCCCGGCCCCCTCTGACTTCTATGTTCAGTCTGCTTTCCCACCCGGAGCCAGAGGCCTCCCCTTCCAAGCACACCGGGCTCTGTATCACCCGGTGGTCGGGGACCAGGCCAAGGCAGCAAAGATGTGCGGGCAGAGGTGTTGGAGGGCATCAATGAGATCATTGATGAGTTAGGCCAGGTCGACGACCAAATTGCTGCTTATGCCTTGGATCACATCCACTCCAACGAGATCATCCTCACACATACATCGTCAACCACGGTGCAAAAATTCCTCCTCAAGGCCGCTGCCAAGCGCAAGTTCACCGTTATCCATGCGGAATCTTTCCCCAACAACCACGAGGCCACCCATGCTACTGTCAGCGGCACTACTAGCAGCGAGGACGAGCTGATGAGCGTGGAGTCCTTCCAGAAGCCGCTGATCGCCCTCGGCATCACCGTCATTCTCATCCCCGACTCTGCCGTCTTTGCTCTCATGTCCCGAGTGAACAAGGTCATCCTCGGCACTCACTCTGTACTCGCCAACGGCGGTCTCATAGCCGCCGCCGGCACCCGCGTCATTGCTCGTGCCGCCAAGGTGCACCAGACCCCTGTTGTGGTCGTGAGCGGTGTCTACAAGCTCAGCCCCGTTTATCCGTTCGATTTCGACTCGCTCATCGAGTACGGCGATGCAAGCAAGGTCCTCTCATACGAAGATGGTGACTTGGTCGACAAAATTGAAGTTCAGAATCCGTTATATGACTATGTCCCTGCGGAACTGATCGATCTCTACATTACGAATCTGTACGTATTGCTTTGTGGATATTTGTGTGGATGCAGTAGCTAACTGATATCTTTCTACAGAGGTGGTCATGCGCCGTCGTATCTCTACCGGATTGTCTCGGACCATTACCGCAAGGAGGACATCAGCTTTTGAGCGAAGAAGTGTCGATAGCTGTCCACAGGGCAGCATGAGACCAAAAAAGTGCAGCAACGATACCCGAGAAATGATGATGCGCGACGATCGACATGCGGGCGTCTTTACTCTAGGAAGAGGGGCACATTTCCTATAAGGACGGGCTTGGGGTGGGATAGATATAGAAGCAATATGACCACTTACCACAATATGAAGTTCATGTGTGCCTTTCCATCCGTAGCTACGAATACGCCGGGGCTTAACTAGAGCCCAGGAAACAAATGAACATCATAGCGCCATCTCTTATTTCTTTTCTGGAGTATCAAAAAAATCGTGGTAGTTCGCACAGTCGCATCCCCATCACGTTTTCCAGACAAAAAAAGCCCGCCGGTGTGTCATATTTCCAAAAATAAAGAGTTCTCATGAAATCAAGGCGCTGATGAGGCGGGCTTTCTGTCCGGCACCTTTTTCTTCCTTTCCCGTCCGCGGCATTTCGTTTAAGAGCGGGGCTTCTCCTTCTTCTCCTTCCACAGGGCGAGCAGACTGACACCGGAGACCTTGACGACCTTGAAACGGACACCGGGAATATCACCCTTGGCCTTACCCTTACGACCGAAACCGGCCAGGAGGACCTCGTCGTTCTCGTCGATGAAGTTCAGGCAACCGTCGTTGGGGACTATAGCGGGAGTTGTTAGCATTTTTTTCTTCTCGCTTCGACACAATACCTAGACAACACCGAGAAAGAAAAAGAGCAAACGCACCGAAAGCAGCGACCTTCTTGCCGTTCTTGATCAGCTGGACCTTGACACACTTCCGAATGGCGGAGTTGGGCTGCTTGGCCTCAACGCCGACCTTCTCGAGGACGATGCCCTTGGCGTGCGAGGCACCACCGAAGGGAGACGACTTGTAGGCGGTTCCGAGGAGGCGCTTCTTGAAGTGCAGATCGGCCCAGCGCTGCTCCTTGCGGTTGGCCTGGAGCTTGCGCGCAGCGTTCAAACCACGGGGCTTTCCTTTACCCATGTTGGAGGATGATGTGATCGACGGTCAACTGGAAGACAGAAAAGATGTTAGTCTTGGAATATTGGATTGTGTGTGATAGTGATGATGGTGGTCAAGTCGAGATGGGTTGTCGATGGATGGATGGTCGATTTTGGGTATCTGGGTTTTTTTGTGCGTGCGTGCAGATGGAGATGGGATGGCCAGTTCGTTTGTGTATTCGAATGGCAGTGTAGAAGATCCCGAGCGAATGGAAACGTACCTGGGAAAAGGGTTGATGTCGCCAAAGGCTGGTGTTGTCGTGGAGAGTCGAAAAGTCGAAGGGGAGGCAGTCCTGGATTTGCCTTGGTTCCGTCTGGAGCGGCGGCTCCCGTGTTGTGTGCCCTAAGCGAGTCACGGGACTATGCTTATATAAGGCCAGGCGGATGGGCTCACGCGATAAGCGATAAGCGATAACGATAGAGCACGTGATGTGTGCCCGCATCAACTCCGTCGACAGCAGGCTGGACCTGGACGACCTGACCGATGTGGTGAGCATTCATCCCTTGCGATGATGAATGACCAGTCGCGCAAACAGCGCAGCTCTCAGCGACAGCCTCCTCCAGCTCTCTTCCAGGGCCCGCCCTCCCACAATGCATCTAACATTTCTCTGCCCCTGCCGCCAGTGGCATCCTCGCGAGGCACTCCCGCCGGCAGCCAACCACCACCCCTGCAGCGCAAACGCGCACCTGGTGCGGCAGAGGTAGCCGATAATCGCGGCTTACTGTCACCATTTGCTAGGCGGAGGCCCTCCAAACATGACATCGACGGCTCCGAGGCCGTGTGGCAGGAGATGCAGAGCGCGCTGTCGGAGGTGGACCTCAGCGCCGTGACGACCGAGAACGTCTACGGCGAGAAGCACGCACAAGCACTGGAAGACCTGCGAATGAAGCAGCTCAAGCTCGCCCAGGCATGGGCGCGCAGCGAGGCGGACGATGAGGTGGTCGACCCTAGTCACAGCGCGAAAGACGGCGAGAGTGCTCCTCGGAGGAGTACGTCACGCAGTCGGGAGTCAGCGAGAGGACAAAGCCGTGACGCTGCGGAGCGCAGGACCCCTTTGGATGGTGTGTCGCATCATACGTTAGATGCAGAGACGGAGAAAGATATTCTGCTGGCGCGCCGACGGCGAGAAGCTAATGATCGTTACTTTGATCGCGTCAACCAGGGCGTCTTGGATGTAGTGGCCAAACTTGAGGATGTGGCCCAGGCTATGCGTGCAGTGGAGCGCGAAAGCAAAGATATCTGGAGTGACTCTGAGAGTGTTGCTACGGCGGCATCGTCGGTGGTGTCCGACAGAGAGTGAACATTCCACCACAACTACGTGCTCAATCTTTTTGCCTGCCATGGTTATATCATTGGGTGGAGCATTGGATCTTATCAGGGCAAAACTCGATTAGACACACCACTGTTACGCCGTTACGATCCTGCGCTGGACGCTGCAAAACAACCATCGCTGGACGAGCCTCTTTTGCGAATGCATGTAAACTATCGAGAGAAATATAGCAACTTAATTTCATAAGGGTATCCAAAACACCATGGCTCCAAGCCCAAGTACAAAGAGACGTAACAATGCATCAACCAAAAGGCACTCGCTGAAGGGGATTAAAAGCCCAGACAAAAGCAAGACATGATTGGATTATTCCTTTTTGACCAACCGCACAGCAGCCCTCCACCCTTCAATAGCGGTCCTTCTCACATCCTCCCAACGACTCTCATGCGCCTTCCTCGCCAGGATCTCAACCTCCTGATTCCATCGATGTTTGAGAACCTCTTTCATCGTCGGCTGCTGCTGGGCCGCCGTTCGCCGGCGGTCCTCGATATCTCGAAGGTCTTCTTCCTTCGGGGCAAAGCGCCGGTCATAGGCGCCTGCAGAGGATGCAAGCCAGTTTATTTGGTCGACTTGTTCGCGGATGGCTCTGCGCTGCTCCAGACGCGTGGAGCGGTGCACTTGAACGGTTAAGTAGAGGACGGAGGTGGTGAGGGCGAAGCCGCTGAACTGGACGACATTAGTTTTAGCTTTAGTGGCAAGGGGGAGAAGAAGGAGGATATACAAAGCCAGCGAAGAAGCCCATTTTCGGCCGAGTCGAGAGAAAAGAGAAGAAGTGTGTTGTCGCAAAGAAGAGTTCTTGAAATCGGCGGGCGGTGGAAGGTCTCCGATTGGCTTTTCTCGCGCTCCCGGAACTTCACTCTTTTCTCTCCGTCTTCAATTCAATTCAACGCACCCACCACCAACCACATCCACAATGGCCGGCGGCGCAGGGAAATACCGGCATCTCAGCCGCAAGTCGTCGCACCGACAGGCTCTGCTGCGCAACCTGGTGACCTCGCTATTCGAGAACGAATCCATCACAACGACCTGGGCCAAGGCGAAAGAGACACAACGCTTAGCAGACAAGTTGATCACGCTGGGCAAGAAGAACACAGAAGCAAGTCGGAGACGGGCATTGGAGATTTTCTACGTATGAGCTCCCCTATTTTCGCCCCGAACTCTCTCCATTTCCTTCAGACTGACATTGCTCTATCTCCTTAGAAACCACACCAAATCGTCCCCAAACTCTTCGGCGAACTACGCGAACGCTACGCCACTCGACCAGGCGGGTACACGCGTGTACTGCGCATCGAGCCGCGGAATCAATTTGAGTTCTACAAGAAGCCCAGAGGCGACAAGAGCCCGCGGGATCCGAAGCCGGTGGACCAGGCTGAGAGTGCGATTCTGGAGCTTGTGGACGGACCGAAGGATGTGCGGTTTGCCATGACGGCCAGGGCGGTGGCAAGGCAGCGGGAGAAGGGCCTACAGACGCCGAATCAGTTGACTATGTTGAATGTGGGCAAGGTGACGCGGTTCCGGAAGGATGGAGTGGAGGAGTTGGAGAATGCGATTAAGGAGTTGAGTATTAAGAAGGAGAATGGGCGAGGGAACGAGGCGGAGAGGTGAATGAATTGACCCGATGACTGTGGTGGTTCATCGGTGTATACCATATGGTCTTTTTTGGATTTGATGGCGGACGAAGATGCTGCTTTGGAAGGCAGTCCTTTCTCTCTTTCCTATTGCCTGTTCAAAGGCGTTCCTGTTTTCTCCTGCGATGGCATCTTGTCTTTGGCTGCGCTTGATTCTTATGTGACATAGCCTTGTGTATAAAAGATCGCAATACCTCTTCAACCCTTCAAACCTACTTGTATAACTACAGCGGACTTGAGTAACATACGAGGGCAAAAATGGATTCATTGTTAAGAGACGATCTACGCTTCCCAGCGTTCAGATCGCCATGCAGTGTTCGCGACTGTACATCTCGATAGAATAACCACATAGACCCCGAACCACACCTTATATGATCAAGTGCACGCAAGACTTAATTGGACTTCGACATACTCGCCCCTCCGGAGACCACGAGGGGTCCGTTGTTATTCGCGGGAGGAATCCCATTGCCGGGATAAGCTGAGCCGGGGACTGAGGCTGGGCCGGCTCGCTTCAGGTCAAAGTCAGAAGCCACTTGGGATGGCGGCGGTTTTGGAGGGAGATGAGATGGAGTGCCCCATTTGGCGATCGAGTTTCGGGGGGCCGACGCAGGGCCACGGTTCGAGTGTGTATGGTCGACGTTGCGACCCTGGGCAGTCTCGGGGTATCCAGTCCACTGGGCCTGAAGGCCGGGGTGTATGCTACCATACGGCTGCATGGTGTGCTGAGCGCCTTTGTTCGGATGGCGACCCAGTGGAGCCCCGCCAGGGACGCCGCCTGGAACGAAAGACCGTGTCTGGGGATTGAAGTGGGATTGGGATCTGGCGAAACCAGCCGGGATCGCGTGAGGACCAGATTGATTCTGGAGGGAAGGGTTGAGATGTTGCCCGGGATATTGGGCATAAGGATAGGCTCCCACATTGGGCGGCGTTGGCTGTGAGGGAGGATAGTTGGGCCAGTGGACGGGGGGTTGGTTCCGCTGGTTGAGGGATTGCTGGTAGTTTCCAGGATAAGGCGATGTGGGCCAGTTAGGACCCTGAGGATATTGTGAAGGATTGGGAACGGCGTAGTTAGCCATCGCTGGTGACGATTTGCTAGACGACTGGTGGCTCATCATGCTCGGTGACTGATTAACTGACGCATACCCAGAGTATGGCGACTGCTGCGGCATGTTTCCTCCTTGCCACGAGCCATTGGAGGCCACCTGCGGCGACATGGCCACTGGATATTGCGGCATGTTGTTCATGTTCATCTGACCAGGGTACATGCCGTTGTTCTGACTGGGAGGGATGTAGTTCCCACCTGCTGGAGGCGCTACCCCGGGTCCAACCAAATACGGGACTTGGTTAGGATATGAACCTTCATTCACGCCGGAATTATATGGCATTGGCCCGTTGTTATAAGGCGCTCCCGGATAGTAGGCGTTGAACTGCGACCGCGCTTCGAAACTGTCATCATAGGGGGTTCGCTGTCTCTGGGTCTTCTTCCGCCCAGTCGTGGAGCTAGAGCGTGACATGTTCGGGTTCGAATCACCGCTCGCAGTGTCTGACTTCGCACTATCCGGGAAGTCGCGAAAGATGCGTTCGCGCACCTCCTGGTACTTGGCCTCACGCTCTTCTCGTGTGAGGGTCAGCCGATCCTTGGCGGGCGTCTCACCGGTCGACGAGCCAGTGCGGTCCCCATCTTGGCCGCTATCTCCAGCCTCTGATGTGGCTTTGGAGGGAATGGACGAGCTCGTCGCAACGCTTCCTTCGGTGGAGGGCCGCTCCCCATCCGTTCGACGCATGATCTTCATAGCTGGGATGCTCGGGGGTGGAGTGGTACTGCCAGAGGCATGTACAGCGGATAACGGCGCAGGACTAGCAGGGTCAGTTGTCAAAGAAAAGAAAAGTAGGAGAGTCACAGCTTACAGTCGACAGAATGGCGTTCGATGGAGCCGAACCGACGTCACATTGTTGTCCACAAAATGGGTCAGATGATAGTAATCTCCCAGTTTATGTGCCAGCAGACGCCCAAATGCATTTGAAGGAGGCAGCTCCAAGGATTGCTCGCTAGACACAAATTAGCTATGGAAAGCGTGGCACAAAACATTTTTATACTTACTCGGATTCCCTGACGAAATAGCGGATCTTTTCTTCCAGTTGAAGGATCAGTAGCCGGTCTTTGGGAGATTTCATGGCCTCCAAAAGTTTTTCATCCGCCTCAAGCGGGAAACCATGCAGGATTTGGCCATCTTGCAGGCTCTCAGGGGGGATTACGAAATTGTTAGAAACAGAATCCGGGGGGATAGTGCCAGTGAGTCGTTGGTTAGTGTCGTTGAAGAGAGGACCAGGCACTTGTAGGACTCCGCGTGGCCTCAAGAGGCTGCCATCGCGGAAGTCTCGAAATGCACGCCCACCAGCCTCCGATCCCGTTACTGAATTCGGGGCGCCAGAGGCAGGACCCGAGAACGACTCCTCTTCGTCAATGGCTTGAACACTGGCACTGTCGTCGGGGCGCACAGAATCTTTCTCGTCCATTGCAAAAGTGGTCACCGAGGCCAGGCTCTTGGAATCGAAATTGGTCATTTTGGTTGACGAGTTTGAGAGATGGGTGCGATCATCCTCGAAGGAGTTCTCTCGCTTGAGTACACTGTGACCATGGCCGTCCAGCAAGAGTTCTCGGCCGTCAAGACCCGGCTTTAGTGATAGATCGATCCCTTCCACCGCTTTGCCCAGGTCATCGACGGAGTGTGGGGCAGGCACTACTGCACTTGACTCGTGTGGATGGGGACATGGCGATACATCGGATGATCGGAGATTTTCATTGTCCTCTGAAGCCGAGACGGGTCGGATGTGAGGAGGCGCGTCCATGGCAGCGATCTAATAAAAAGAAATTAGCCATCATTCAAACCAGAATTGGTACCCAAACGAACATTCGCAAAAGAGAGGCGATTTTCCCTCCCCGGCGGACTCTCGGAAGCCATATCAAGCTACAACCCGCAGAACGGAGTAAGAACAAAGAAAACCCACGACACAGCTGAACTCAACAAGTCTCCGGGTCGGAAGCAGTCGACGCCGAAGTTTGAATCGAGGGTAGGTTGCTGAAGAATCCCGCTTCACTCAATCCCGGAAAAAAAGACGACATATCTCAAAAAGCGGGCATTCGCCATAGGGAACTCTGTTAAGACTGAGTGTTAGAAATTGAAATAGGAATCAGAGCAGGAGGGAGAGTGATACTGGTGCAGGAGAAATCAAATGTGACAAAGACGGGTCTCACAGAATGTCAGAGCAGGTGCATGGTCAGGGGATGCAGTCGTGGTACGGGCAATGGAAGGACGAAAAGGAAAATCGGGCCAGTAGCTAGAAAGGTACCGGGTACACGATCGTCAGACAGGGAAACACGTCGAGGCGGACAATGGGAAGGAAACAACTGGGTTTCTTTGGGAGTTCGTTCGTGGGCCATAATTCTGCCGCTTCACCGCTTTCGTATCCCAACTGGCGCATGGTTTGCTCTCTTATTTCCCTCTCGCTCTCCCGAACTGGTCGACAGAGTTGATGATCCCCATGAATCGCTATAGAAACGTCCCCGGCATCCGGGGTCCCAGCAGGGCCTCGCCAAACACCCTGTGTCAGAAATGCTTGAAACGAGATATGTCCCACCTTTCCATTGGTTCGAGCTATTCCTGGGCTAACCAATGGGCACGCCATTACAGCTATGAATGCACCGTGACGGCGCAGGAGCGCCCCTACATGGCGCGGCCATCGCGGACCCAGCAGTTGCTAAACCCGAAGTTGATGCCTAAACTCTCCAACGAGACCCCCAATGATCTCCAACGGACGTAAGTAGTGCACGTGCTACATGGGAATACGCGCTGAATCCAAGACACAGAACCGGCGTGGCAGATGAGCTGCTTGCAAAACGGGAGGAAGAGCGCGGCCGGAAGAGGAGCCTGGATGGTGACGGCACCGCGGAACCATACTCGAAAAGAACGAGATCTGTCTCGTCGCACTCGGCGAGCTCAGTCTCGACAATATCCACGAACCGCTCTCGCTCAGCATCACCGGCACGTCAAGGACGAGACGCAAATGGTAGCGCTCGTCGGACCAACTCAGTCTCCCCTGCGCCTTCAAAGTCCCGGAAAAGGCGATACAGTGATGCTTCAAACGGCTATTCTGATTCATCTTACTCTTCCGGTGCGCGGCATCGCTCACGATCGCGAGAGTGGGCAGAAGATCGGAATATCAGACGGAGGCGTCGAGAGAGCAGCCCCGAACAACGTGGACGGCATCGCGAATCAGGTCGCCACGGTTCACGAAGACGACGATCCCGCAGCCAGAGTGCGAATAAGAGTCAGATTGCGAAGGAACGGCGGTCGATGACTCCCAATACTACTCGGGATCAACCTGGAAGACGTACCTATCGAGATCGAGCAAATCCACCGGTCCCAGGAGGGCCGAAACAAGAACCCAGGGGACGACCCGGCCAACCTCCCCGGGAGCGAAGTATGAGCCCCTACAGCAAGCGTCTAGCTTTGACCCAGACGATGAATCTGGGACGATAGCTCTAGGCTGGGTTTTATTTTCCCGTTCGGTTCCATTGGGTTTATTGGAACATGTGTATTAATATCATATCGGTACATCCAAATGCATGAGAAACCATTCCTGAACGCCTTTTTTGTGTCTGCAAAAGCAACCTTGACCCAATTGCATACCCCAGATTTTGAACGAAAAGTAGACAGGGAAAGAAAAGTATATGAAACAACAAAGGAGTTTGTCTCCTACGCCATAGGGTATCACTTCAAATCATCTCCTCGTCTCTTGTTTCCTCCCGCTCGCGCAGATGTATTCCCTCCACTAGAGCGTCACCCTCAATGCCCACTTCCTCCCCTTGGTCCCCGTTGGACTGTCCCCCTCGTTCCTTGGCTGCGCGCCGCGCATTCTCTATCCGTTGTCGTACCAATCGGGCAATGGCGTTCTGCGTCCTCACGTCGAGGATCTTAAGCTTCTCGTCCAGATCCCGCCGCAAGTCCCAGTTTGGTTTTTTCGGTTGCAGCTTGAACAGATCAATGGGCTGGTCGGCCTCTTCGTTCTGCTGGGCCTGTTCGGCGGTCGCCTGGGCGATCTCCGCCGCTTGACTTTCCACCGTCACTTTCCCATCTTGCGGGCCCTGTTCAAATCCAAGCTTTGGCCCGCGGGTCTCGGCGTCATAGTTTCGGCCAGAGAGGTAGGAAGTTGTCACATCCGGCGCGGCGTCGCCGGCCTCATCATCACCGGCACGAGCTTCGGTCAACGGCTCTGGTTCTGGCTGTTTCCGCTTCAGCGCCGCTAGCTTGGCCAGGCGGGATTTGCGGTCTGTGGATGCCGCATCCAGTGAGGCGTGGTTGGACGACATGGCGTTGGAGTAGGTGGTGGGAGGTGCAAGTAAGTTCGAGGTTGAAGAAAAGAAAACGCGATAAGGCGGGTTGCGCCACATCACCAGCCACACTTTTCCCTTCCCTCAACTTTTCTTGTCTCTCCCAAACTCAACCATCACCCGCAACATCCTCCTTCTCCCTTTTCTCTGTCGCCTTGTTTGTTTGTTTACCCCGGCAATGTATGCGCTCGCAAGTGTCTGAATGTCATTGTGTCCGCACCATTTTCGGTCCCGCTTGACCGGGCTGTCGTTGCGGTGCCAGCGGCCTGGCCGCTGGTATCGAGCGAACACGCCCAAGGCTGCATGTCAAGTCCACGATGCGGCCCCCGATCTCGAGTCTATGATCAGGGATCATGCCCTGGACGAACCAATACTCCCATCATCTTCAGTGCTGCAATATGACCCTGTCTCCGACGTCCCCAATCGTCCAGCTCAACGTCTCCCCGCGCGCGATGCTTTACAAAAGCTTTTGTCGGAGGAGGATGTGTCCAAGATCGCCCAAGCCGAAGGTCTATGCCACGATCCCTCCGTGGTTTCTTCTACCGCAAATCGTCTCAACGGGGCGATGATATGGAACAATAGGAAGTTGGATCAGAAATCGGCACACCTGGCAATCAAGATGCGATTGAACTGCATATACCAGCGACAGGTTACCCTCAGCCAATGGAATTCCTCCTACCGCGAACTCTACAAAGCGAAGTATTACCAGCGCGATGTGGTACAGGATCTTCTGCCGCAGTTGGAAGAGGATGGTCAAGATCTCCTGGATAAACTACGTGACGGAACCTTTCGGGAGACATGGGCCGCACTCCCTCGCGCTGAAATGGCCACCCACTGGAAGCGGCTCGCTTTCTGGCTCTTGCAGCACGAACCGGAGCTAGCTTTGGAATTTCTACAAGCCACCACCGAGTGCCAGCCCAAGCCTGACTTCCCCATGGTTGCCGATTGTTTTCTCTACCTTGACAGATTCTACTACGAGCGGCTGAAGTCTTGGCGTAAGGATGAGCAGACCTACCGGTCCCTTCTTCAGTCCTGCCTCGACCCGAACTATTGGCCGATTCTCTGCGTTCAGCAAAAGGGTGTGCGATTATACATCCGGCGAGCCAACCGCCAAGCCCTCAACGCGGCTTTCCAGTTAACGAAAGAAAGATCCATTCCTCTCTCCCCAGAAACAGCCCTTGGCTTCATGTTTCGATATACGGAGCTGTCCGACGTGGATCGGGCGTTGGAGGCGTTCGAATACGTTACGGCGAAAGCAAAGCACACCAAGTTCAACTTGAACTCCACGTCGGTCATGCGGCACTGCTGCAAACTTCTGACGTTGGATACAGTTGTGGATGGTGAAGGAGGACGCAATTTTCGAATCTTGCCACGACTCTTGGAGATGGGGGTCGAGCCTGATCGGGATATGATGAATGTGGTCCTTGCCAATGCTTTCAAGGCTGGTAATCGCCAACTGGGGTCCGACATGCTTCAGTTCATGAAAGATCACGGCCACAAATTTGATTCCTACACGTACCTGACGCTACTTACTGAGGGAGTTGCGCGGGGGGACCGGGCCCATGTTGATTTGCTCATTCATGAAATCGAGAGCCGAGAAGACGCCATCCGAGAGAACCCTTATATCGCAAGCAAAATCCTTCACGCCCACTACATCTTCACGGCCAAGAATATGGATGCTGATTCCGATCGCTCTCGAGTCTTCTACTCTATGCTTGAGATGTACAATCGCTTACACGACATCACACCCTTGAAGGATCTCTTCATTATTCCCTCTCACTATCAGCCTCCAGAGGGAGGTGCCAACACCCCGCCCTCCCTGGTGGCTTTGTATATTATGATTGCGACATATTTCCGCTGCCAACGACACATCTCGAAGGTACATCAGATCTACTTCCAATTCCGCAAGCTCGTGGCGGAAGGCCACGAGACTATCGCCCCTCTCGCCGAAACCGACCACACCTATAACGAATTTCTTATTGCTCTGCGGCGGCACCGCGGCGCACTGCGCTCGTGCGTACGCCTCGTCGAGGATATGCTCAATCCACCTCCTCCCCCGCCTACCGGCCGAGCTATTGAGTATGCCAGACCCAGCATGCAGACTTGGACCATCCTCATGAGCGCATTCACTTTCAACCGACAACCTCAGGCCGCAGAGAAGGTCCGGGATATGATGGCCAAGTATGGCGTCAAGGCCAATGACGTGACCTGGAACACGATCATCAACGGCTACGCGAATGCCCAGCAAATCCCGGAGACCACTCGTGCCATCAAGGACATGGAGAGGCACGGATTCGCGATTGACCAGTATACCATTAAGAGCCTGCGCTGGGTACGCGACCCGGGCAGTCTTTGGGATGCAATGGACGCCATGGATGAAGCTGCCACATCAGCGCAACCGTCTGACTCTACTGAAGTCAACGAGGAACCGGACAACGACCTGCTCATCAACAGCGGTCTGAAACGATTGGAGGCAAAGGAAAGGCTGAAGCCCAAGATATGAGAGATTGTATACCCCGTCTTGTTTCTTGTCGACTGGCTGTCATGGAGCATTTTTTTCTGGTTTCGGGTGCATTGGGAGGCTGGGATGGAGTGTGTGATTACTTTCTGTACTATATACATTGAATCATCATGAATTTATTTTCTTGTACGCTTTGAACCAGCTTAGACGCCTTGTTTGAACCCCGCCACATCTTGAAGTGAAGTTGTCATAATCACCAGAGTCTCAGTTGGGCCTCATTCCCATCCACCTCGTCTTAACCACCGAAGAAGATCTGGACCTGGAGTTTCAACTGTCAGTCATTGCGATCACGCTGACTGGACTGAACAATAACTTACTGCCATGAGGACGCAGCATATGCTGACATATGGACTGAGTCGCTCCCCCACGCGTGCACACTTCCAGAATATCCCAAAGACCCTACAAAGTTCACTGTCAGTTCATCATTGTCCTTGAGCAAGGCTGCGGCTCATGTCCTTACCCATTCTGGTTCCGGTCCATTATCCCTGGCATGATCGAGTGGGCGTAGGTGCTGGTGCAGATTATGAGCAGGAATACCAGCAGCAGCGACTGGAAGTTGAAAAGGGCCGACTAAAATTCAAGCAGTGAGGTCAGCGCGATCTGGAGTCTGGTGTGTTTTGGATGGCCCTCCTGTTTGCTGCTCTTCGCAGAGATATCTCCAACCTCAAGGCCTTCGTCTCCCCATCTCACCCACAGAGCTACACTTACCATCGTGAGTTTCAAGTCGTCACTTCAGTGAGAAGCAAGCTAAAGCGCAGAAAGCAGAGACACGACACCTGCTGTCTTCAAGTACCCGATTCTGCCAGCCATGTCCGCCTCCAGACGCACGGGCCACCCGGCCCTTCGCCGGCCATTGAGCAACAACCGACCGCCTACATCCATCATCACTCCCTCTACAGCTTCGGGACATATTGCCAACCAGCCTGCAAATTCCTGGCTGTATACTCCTCACGAATTAGCGCTGCTCCGTGCCGGATACGCGGCTGCATACACGCCCAAGACCAAGAGCGACGACGAGCACGATACTGCTGCGTTCACTTCGTCCACTTCTAAGAAAAAGAAGGCGCCAAAGACACCCGGCAAGATGGCGGAGCCTCGTGCTCGTGCCGCGAGGCACAAGGGCCAGATGAATTTTGCCTCTGAGCGTATGTCTCTCTGGATCCGTCGCGGAGTTCCATTCTCCACCGCGTCACATTCCCAAAAAGAAAGACCGTTCCGTTGAGATAACTAAAACGAAACAATATAGTACGCCTCCTCCTCCTCGCCTACGGCGACCCCAGCCCCCACCCATCCTATCCAACAGAGCCCCTCCCCGAAACAGTCCGCGTGCTCGACGAAATAGTCACGGACTTCATCCTCGAAGTCTGCCACGGCGCCGCGCAGGCAGCACACCACGCGCGCCGACAGAAGATCAAAGTTGACGATTTCCGGTTCGCATTGCGCCGCGATCCCAACAAGCTTGGTCGTGTGCAGGAGCTGTTGCGGATGGAGCGCGAGTTGAAGGAGGCACGGAAGGCGTTTGATCAGAATGATGATCAGGTTGCTAAGGGGGCGGCTGGTAAGAAAGGCGCTGATATCGCGGCGGTGGAGGGTCTGGATGTCCCTGCTGGTGCTGGTGCTGGGGCGGAGGGGCCGGGAAAGAAGGGGAAGGGGAAAGGGAAGAGGGCTGCTACTGCGCGGAGGGGGTCGGACGCCACTGAGGAGTCGGTTTCGAAGAAGAGAAAGACTCTTCCTTGAAATTCTTTTTCAGTTCGTTTTGGGTGGTTTTGCCTTTTTTTTTTTTTTTTTTTTTTTTTCCTAGGGATTACGACTGCCCGTTAGAATGGGGCTCGGCGTTGATTGTTTTTTATGATACCTATCGGTGCTGGGCGGCTGCTTTTTATTGATCTGCGATTGCATAGCGGGCTTCAGTTGGAGATACAAACAGTCAATATGGGAATTCAAACTACAGATCATCTGCGCATAGTTTTTACTCATGTACACACGATGCAAGTCAAGTTCTAGAACGATGTATGTCCATTTCCTCATGACTGAAAACGCCGCGCCCAGAATAAGATGCGACTCGCTTCGTGAAACCAGACCGGCTCCACGATCTTCCTCACTCTGTCTGCTGCACTCCATCTATCTGAACAAAGTCAGATTGACTCCAAGACGCCATTCTTTTTTTAATGGTCTCAACTGGACCAAAATGGGTTGCTTGGGCGTAGAAGCAAGCAACCCGAGAAGAACATGTGGAGGGGTTGTGTGTGTTTTCCTGTCTGAGAAAGCAAACAGGGGGAGTTGATATAAGGGGGAGAAGAAAAGAAATGACCCAGACGTAAAAAGAAAGCAAATGACATAAGAAACGTCAACGGAAGGGAATCCACAGGAATAAATCACATAATGCATCATTCATTCTTCCTATGCGCGGGCCTCCTCGGCCTGCTGCCCGCGGTCCTGACGCTGGTGGCCGCCACCACGGCCCTTACCACCGCGCCCACGGTTGCCTTGCTCACCGGCCGGGCCGGAGCCAGCCTCGCCGGTGCCCAGAGTGAGCTGGGCGGATGCGAGCCGGGTGGACAGCTCCATCTGTGTGCGGATGGTGTTGGCCAGGTAGGAGACGACCAGGACATCCTGGATGTGGTTGTTGCTGCGGAACTGTTAGAAAGATTCAACATCAAGGAAAAGGGAATCACATACAAGTCCCGCTCAACATCGGCGGGCTCGACCTTGGGTGCCAGAGCCAGGGTGTTCAGCAGGAACTGGCCCATCGCGGTCGACGCGGGGGCCTCCTCGTCAATGACGGACTCGACATAACGTGAGACACGGTCAATCATCGCCAGAACCTCCTCAATGGCACGCTCCAGAACCTCAATGTCTGTGGGGACAGGGACGGAGCGATCCTCGGCGTCCTTGGCATTGGCAATGGCCTCCAGACCACTCTTATCGGCCTCGCCGTAGCGCAGCTCATATGGAACAGGAATAAACGCAGCGCTGTCAGCAGCACGCTCCGCAGTGACGCCAACGGGAGCAGAGATATAAGCACGAGTCTCGAGGTCCTTGCCGGGCTCCGTCGAGACAGTCAGGTGCACAGCCGGGTGCGGCCATGTGCCGTCGCCCTGGCTACTGTAGAAGTTCTGGATCAAGGCGGAGAAAGTGTTCAGCTCGGACGCGGTGGCGTACCAGCCGACCAGCACCTCGCGCGGGTTCGCCTTCAGGTGCAGCGCCAGCATCTGCTTGTGATATTCCATGTCCACCTCGACCTGGTCCTCGGCCTCGGAGTGGCCCACGGCAAACGCGGAGCGCACTTCGACCTCACCTCCATCCTCGGATCGTGTGCCCAGCAGTGTTCCAATCACCCGTTCCTGGTCGGCGTTGCGGCGGAGCGAGTGGTCCAGGATCGCGAAGATGGCCTACCTAGGTGTCAGCATGAACAATGGGTAAAGATCTGGCGCAAGGTCTGTCCTACCTGGGGCTGGATAACCACATTGAGAGGGGCAGTGGTCGGGGCGGTGCCCACGCTGACGGGACCCAGAGGGCGAGCAAGGTGTAGGAAGGAGTCTTCGGCCATGGTGGGTGAGATACGGGGGGAGCTGGCCGTTGAATGTTGGAGGGTAATTTTCTTGGAGGGGAGACTGATCGGTTCGGCCCTCTGATTGTTCCGGCTTCTTTCTTTGTGTGGGAATTTTCGCGCTAAGATAAGATAAGCAGCCAGAACACTTTTTTACCTGCTCAGCTTCCCGATCACTAGCTACATCCTTGAACCACTATGTATCGAGGTCGAGGTCGAGGTCGAGGTCAAAGTCGAGGCCGCGGTGGTCGTGGCCGTGGCCGTGGTCGTGGTGGGAGACTGCCCGGTCGCAATGGCTTTGAGACCTCTCGTCTCAATGAGATTGAGTGAGTTGGATTGTCCGCACGACACTGCGCGAACTGCGACTGACCTCGTTCCAGATCAGAGTCGTCCGACGATGCGAGCCAGCAGTCTGACAATGAGGTACCGGAGGATGTCATGATGGATGAGGGATCTTCAAGCAGCGAGAATGAAGAAGACGACCAAAAGACCGAACGCCCGTACAACGAACTGCTGCAGCTGCTGAACACCAACAACTCCGAGTCCAAAGAACCGGCGCGGAAGAAGAGAAAAGTTGCTGCCGACCAAAAACCAGTGCAAGAAGAAGTGCCTGATGAGGGGGATGACTTGCAAGCGCAGGCACCATCTGACGACGAAGAGGAGCTCCCGGAGGTCGACGGCGAGGGCGATGACAATAGCCCGTTTGAGAGACATTTCAACCTCCCTGATGACTCTGAGTTGCCCAAGAAGATTGAGGCGATCAAATCGAACAAATGGACTTCCACTAAGAAAGAATTGCCAGGCGCGCTGCGGCTGGTGAATACAGTCCCGGCCACGGGGAATGCCGAGGAAGTTTCACTTCTACCAGGCATGAAGAGTACAGCCCATATCAAGGTAGGGAGGCACACACAGATATTGACAAGTCAGTGCTGACATGTCCTTTAGCTCAAGAACAAACTCAAGGCTCGTGCCGCAGAGGTCATTCCCACCATCACCGGCTCTGCGCAGCACGTTGCACCCTATGTATTTGACTACCAAGACGTCCTGTTTGGGGCGCGCACAACATCCCATGCTGGTGCCATGCAGGATATTATGGCCCTCCACGCCGTCAACCATCTCCTGAAGACCCGTGATCAGGTGCTCAAGAACAACTCTCGTCTAGCCAAGGACCCAGACACCGACATCGACTGTCGCGATCAGGGATTCACGCGCCCAAAGATTCTTTATATCCTGCCTACGCGGCAGGCATGCGTGAGAGTTGTCAACGCCATCACTCGGATCTACCAGGCGGAGCAGCAGGAGAACAAAAAGCGTTTCATGGACACGTTCTCAGCGTCAGAGGACTCGACGTGGGAGCACAAGCCCGACGATTTCCGAGAGCTTTTTGGCGGCAACAACGACGATATGTTCCGACTAGGACTAAAGTTCACCCGAAAGACAGTCAAGTACTTTGCCCAGTTCTACAATTCGGATATCATCCTGGCAAGTCCACTTGGACTGCGGACAATCATGGATCAGTCTGAGTATGTGGTTCTTCTTACCTTAAGAAAGCCAACGCTAATGCATAATACAGCGCTAAGAAACGAGACCATGACTTTCTGTCTTCAATTGAGGTGGTGATCGTAGACCACGCGGATGCCCTGCTCATGCAGAACTGGGATCATGTCGACTACATATTCCAACACCTCAATCTGCAGCCCAAAGAAGCGCACGGTTGTGACTTCAGCCGCGTGCGCAACTGGTATCTGGATAACCAGGCCCGGCATGTGCGACAGACCATCGTGACGGCGGCATTCATCACACCAGAGATCAACTCGCTGTTCTCATCGCAGATGCAAAACGCCACGGGTCGTGTCAAGATCACCCCAACCTACGCTGGCGCCATCACTGAACTGCCGCTACCAGCCTCGGTCAAGCAGACATTCTCGCGCATCGACAGCCTGTCCCCAGCCAAAGACCCCGACGCGCGGTTCAAGCATTTCACCACCACGGTACTATCCTCGCTGGTCAAGAACCTCGCCGGCGGACGCAGCAAGGAAAACAGCAGCAACGGAACAATGATCTTCATTCCCTCGTACCTGGACTTTGTCCGCATCCGCAACCACTTCGCGACCTCGAGCCAAACCACCAATGTCTCCTTCGGCGCCGTCTCCGAGTACACCGAGTCCCGTGACGTGTCGCGAGCCCGCAGCCATTTCATGTCGGGCCGGCATTCCGTCCTGCTATACAGCGAGCGCGCGCACCACTTCCGTCGCTACCAAATCCGCGGGGTGCGCCGCATCATCATGTACGGTCTGCCCGAGAACCCGGCGTTCTATGGTGAGATCGTGGGGTTCCTGGGTCTGGACCCTGCTGCTGTGGTGGAAGTTGCCCAGAGTGGTGGTGTCAGGGCTTTGTTCTCGAAATGGGATGCGCTGAAGCTGGAGCGTGTCGTGGGGACGTCGAGAGTGCCTAATATGCTGCGGGAGAAAGGCGGAGATACATTTACCTTCATGTAATCAGCTTATACATCAGTCGATGTGAGAAGTGAGAATATACATATATCTACCTTGATTGATTGTCGACAGTGAACACAAACAAGCAAACAATGCATGCCTAGCTCCAGTCCTACCCCACTCCTATATTTCGGGTGCCTGTGGTTACGTCCTTACCTCGAATCGCCTGCTCGAAAAGCGCAACGATGACTATAAGCTTGGGAACTAAAAGTCTTGGATCAAACAGACACGGGGTAGTCATTTACCACCCGGTGTAGCCCAAAATCAATATATTAGTCCCGCCGAGATTAACTACATCTGATACTGCCTTTGTACGATTTACATGGAAACTGACTGTCTCCAGTCCTCCTAGGCTAGTCTGATGCATACGTTCAAGTTGTATGGACGAATAGCATGGTGTGGGATCTTAACCTAAGTCTACTACCACCATGGCTGTCTGAGGCGTACCTAGCCCAGCTTTACCTTAAGTTTGGTACCATGCCAATAAATTGATCAGTCCCTTCAATAGGACTAAGCCAACTTGGACGCCCACCTGTGTATAATTCCACCGCAGGCTTTTGCTGATTCAGAATTTCGATATCGTCGAATATTCCAGCCCGGACGACAGTTTTCTCACTAGGAGTTCCGTCAGGCATCATTCTCAGCCCGTAAAGCGGCGTACCTAGGGTTTTCGTCAGAACGTGCCTTTCCAACCCCAGTTATCTAGTACTGTACCGCAATCTGAGCAGAAATAGTTCTTGATATGATTTCCGCTGTCCGATATTTTTGCCACTTCTTTTGGGTTTCCAGTGACTTTCAGGTCAGCCCGGTTGACGACAAAACTGTAGGAGTAGAGACTGCCGGTAATTTTACGGCAATCAAGACAGTGGCATAGTCCCTGCCAAAGAGTAGGATAAGATTAGATCAATGGACAATAAATTCCTTGGGAGATATACCAACCGAGTTCATGGGTTGACCGCTATATTCAACCCGGACCTTTCCGCAGAAACAACCGCCAGTAGACATTGTCGAAGAGCAATTATCTGATGCGATGAGGCTACAGAATGATTTGACAAGGATTATGTACTTAGTCCGATACAAACTTTTGACTCATCGCGCAACGCAAACCCAAAAGTTGGACGCCTTACATAGTAAGCTGTAATTGTTGGGCCCAACATAAGAGCGTTGGGTATGATGACCATTCCAGCCACAATTTATTTGTCGCTAGTTCCTATGTGGAAGCGCACTCTACTATGGACAGAATATGTAACGCAAATTCTACAGAAGAGCCTTCAACTCCGGGGCACAATAAATCCAGCTTTCCATTAACCATTACACATAAACAATACCATTATTCATAGACAGAAATCCAGCAGCCATAACTATATACTCGGCCGACTGTCACCCGCTCCCGCTGCGGAGGGCCTCGGAATATGCACATAATGAAATAGATATTATTCACCGTGACCGCGCCGGATCACGACCACCAAAGAGCACCAGGAGAATTTCATCGAGAATCGTAAACGCAAGATGGGCATTGAGAGGTTGATTGTTCAGAGTCGCAAAGATCCGACGCGCAGCTGCCTGGGCATTTGCACGGCCGACGACGTTGCCGGCCAGGTCGGGGATGAGAGTGGCCAAGACAACGGTAGCTTCGGTGCGGCTCTTGAGCCGGTCAGAGACGGAGCGAGCGGGTGGTTTGCGGAGGACACCGCCAGGCCACAGAGTGTCCCGAGCGAGGGCAAGGTATCGCAGAAGAGACTCATCCTGGATAAGGGAGCGGGCACCTTCGCGGACCTTGCGTTCAATCGTGCCGCCCAGTAGCTGGTGTAATACCACAACGACAGCGCGGCCCCGTAGCCAATTGTTGCCGCGGTTTAACTCGAAGGCTTCAAGAAACAGATCGCAGATGGGTTTGATGAAGGGCTCGAGCTCGCGGTCTTCGAAAGCGTTGAGCTCGGCTTCGGCTTCGGCAGCGGTGACGGCGTCTTCTGTGGCAAGGGCCGGATCTGATGCCATGCTACCGCTGCTGGAAGCTTGATGTGTCGCGGCGGTGATCAAGTTCTGGCCAGCTGTAGAAAGCTGGTCCAGGACGCCAAAGTTACCCAGGAAATCGTCCATGCCATCTGCAACGGAGTTGTAGATACGCGTCACGAGATCTTTGGTCTCTCCCTCGCTCCCGCTGCGCGCTGAAGACTTATCGCGCGGCAAGATGGCTCTCTGGGATAAGAATGCGCGCAAGTCACGGCTGCGGCATACTTCTGGGAGGAGCAGAAGCTTCTGCAAATATGCCTCTAGGGCAAGTCGCCTCTTCTGAAGAAATTCTCTCTGAAGTTTCATGACAACCCGCCGACGAGGGAATTCCAGGTCACGGACAGAAGGGTATGACATGCGCAGCTTCTGGTGGAGCTCGTGGAATTCACTGTACCGACGGGCAACAGCCCAAGAAGCGGCGGGTATCTGCTCGCCAGCATTTCGTTGGACTTCAACAACATCTAAACAGTGTGTTAGCTGGGGTACGGTGCGTAACGACAGGGTTGCACATACACATTGCAAACTCGCGGCCATCTTCCTCCTTGCCCACGACAATGGACTTGATCCGAACAGTCGAGCGGCCGTACAAGCTATTGTCGCTTTCTTGGACAATGTACTGTTGTCGTTGCATCTCCTTCCGGTGAATCTCCCGCTCGATGCTGGCCTTGGATTTGCGTAAGATTCTTAGCTCCGCAGTGTTGTTTGTCAACTCAGCCTTCCGCATCAAAGCCTCCACCACGGAGTATTGAGCTGCAAGCTTTTCGATGTCAACAGTAAGCCCTTCGACCGCTTCAGTGAGACCAAGATCTCCCGGCTCAGCTTCGTGAACTTCATCTGCTGGATCTTTGCTTTCCGTGCCATCTGGTTCTTCGTATTCATCTTCAAGGAATTTCTGTTGGTCTGGAAAAAGGTCGTCGTCGAATACACCAAGCCGTGATGCATGTCCGACCAGACCCAAAGATGCAATGCTGGGCTTCAGCCTCTCATTTATGCGATTCTCTGCTCGGGGGATATCTGATGAGCTCCGAGGTGAAAGCAGAGGGCGCTCAGGTCCGAATAAGGAAGAGGTGGCAGCATCACTGCCGTTTTGGGGCTCATTAGTGATGATGTCGTTGAGTGCGGCCTCCATCGTTTGCAAAACCTTGTTGTGAGCTGCATCATTGTCCCCGTCTTGGGAGTCCTTGCCTAGACTCTGAGTTGACATGGCAAGATGATCAGTGTCCAAATCATCGTCGAACAGAGGCAAGGCCCGCTCCGAGTCAACGGATTGTCTGGGTGATTCATCATCATCATCAAACAACTTCCCCATACTCCGCACGTCACTAGACGAGACAGCAGCTCGTCTAAGGTCCCTGGAAGGTTTGTGGCTCGGCTGGGAGTTTGTTCGCTCCATAAGAGGAGGTAGAGGTCGTCTTTCAGGCGCGTCAAACACAACTGATGGCTGGGACGGTGGCGCCTGCGAGGCCGAGGCCGAGGCCGAAACTTCATCCGACGCCAGGTATTTCCAGTACAAGTCAGATTGTTTAAACTTTGGATAGTAGATGTTCTGTAGCTCTTCCAGAACAGTCGACTGGGTAGTCAATACAACCGTCCGCGCTGTGCGGTACTGTTCTGGTGTCGCGCGTTTCCCAGCACTCAAGAAAGCTTTGACGGCCTGACGAGAGTCCTTGGAGACCTTGAGCTCCGGCTTTGAGAGGTAAGTCTCGCTGATCAGCGCCAGGTCGTTCCGGTCGGCCGTCGTCCAGGTGATAGAGGTTGAAGGGGTTTCATCTCCGAAGTCATCCTCCAGTGGATTCCGGATCCCATCGACCACAATCCAAAATTGGACAAGAGACATCAGTCGCTGGCGGTCCATAAATTCCATGAAATATGATAGGCCGGATGCGTGGTGCATCACATCAACCAAAGATGATTCCTGTTTAGCGGACCTGGAGTCGTGATGGATATCCGCCGCAGCAGGATGAACTCGAGATGTTTCGCCAGGCATGGAAAGCTTGGCCACTTTCTGATCGAGGACTCTCTTCCCAGTTTCAAGGCGTTTCAGATACACCGGATCTTGTCCCTCGATCATGCTTTCCTGCTTTAGCTGGCTAGCAACGAGGGCACGGAACCGGCGCGCATCTGATAAGTTGTTAGAACGTCTAATTGCCCGAACAAATCGCTCAAATTCTCGTTCTGAATCATGCGGTCCGAGGCGCGGAAACGGTTGTCCGCGTTTGGATTTGGGTAAAGGCGACGCATGCTCGTCCAAGGCTGCTCGGAGCTTACGCACTGTCTTCCGATCTTGCAGGGTGGTGCGTCCATAAGCCTCCATCAGTTGATTCCAGGTATCTGGATCAGACAAAAGGGTCATAATTGGAAAGAGGATTCCGCATGATATGATTTCACGAATCAAAACAGACACTATCCGACTATTGAGGACGTTCTCCGGGAACAACTGCGGGAGAAGGGCAACAGCTGTTTTCCGCAAGTATTCTTGCTGAACGACCTTTCGATCTGAGAATGACAGACCAACTGCCGCATGTAGGCGGCCATCGCGATACTTGTTGGCGATCGCCAGGTCCAGCTCCTCGGATTCCGTCACATTTCGATTCAGTTTCTGCCCCCGAACTGCTCGCTCGGCAATGTCAAAGTCTTTCAGGTGTGCAGTCAGGATAGGGAAGACGCGTGATACTATCAGCGAGATCATATCCTCAGCGAACAACCTATCTCGAAAGTTCTCTAGCGCGACCCGCACTACTCGGTCGATCTCGTTCGCAAACAGCGGGCTTGGGGTGATGTTGTGGTACCATGAAGAAACAAAGTCCCTGGTCACAAGAGACAAAAGTTCATCGATCCCTTCCGACACGACAAAAGACTGTGGGTAGAGTGGTCGGGGTTTGTATTGGGCGCTTCGGCGGACCTGAAGCACATCTCTTCGCCAGTTTTGAGGAGTGATGAATGCCACGGCAACATTTTTGGTGTTTTTGTCCTTGTCGTTTTGTTTCCGCGCAGTCACGACGACAAGGCCGAGCAGAGATACGGAAGAAAGCACAGCGCCCAACGTCAGAGCATACCCCAGATATCGAAGAATCGGCAGCCAGCGAACCACCAGACCCCACGCGACGAACCCCCCAATACCAGCTATAACAAGATCACGGTGTTTGAGGGCCATTCTCCCCAGTCCTGCAGGAACGCTGCACGGCCCATGGCGGTCAGGCGAAGCGGTTCATGCAAGGTACCGAGCTGGGTGTAGCATGCTCGTGGGAAATGCGCAGAACTTCGGGTTGTGAGGGATATTGGCCACGGAGGGTGTGCGAGGAGGAGGAGAACCAGCCAGATCGAGGGATGTCGAGAGAATGTGTGTTGAAGGTCCAGAGGGAGCTAGATCTGCCAGCGAAGATACGGATCCCGTGACTGAACGTCATTTGTTTACTTAAGCCATGTTGTTGATCTAACCAACCATCCCCCTCTCTCTTTCCTGTTTCTCTTCACTCGCTTCGTACACCCTGCTCTCGGGCCCACGACATCATGGCCAGCATCACCGATTTCGTCGATTTTTCCTCGAAGCCTCTGCTCTGTATATCGCCCTTTGTCTCCCACGAGCCAACACCGGCATTTCGCATGTGATAATTGACTGACCGATTACCAGGGTCCGCGGCAACCATTGCGTTCAACCCCATCTTCTGGAAGTATGTGTGATTTGTCCCGGCATCTGGACGTTGATAGAGATAGCTAATCAGTCGTCTCCTCTCTAGCATCGTCGCCCGCGCCGGTTCGCCTGCCCTACCCGAGGTGTTCCCAGCAGGGAAACCCCACGGGAACTGTGTGCTAGTGTCTCTATATACTGATGCTTGCTGCAGAGTACCGTAATCATTTTATGACTCGCATCTTCGGTGGCGCATACAATGGCTGCTACGTCCTCGCCGTCACCATTTTCTCCCTGGGTATTCTGCGCGACCATTTCTACCAACTCGCCCTCGATGACCAGCCCTTCTATGCCCCCGTGCACCAGCCCATGATCGGCGCCGGTTTGTTCGCCGCTGGCTCCATCCTCGTCCTTTCCAGCATGTGGGCCCTCGGTGTGACCGGTACCTACCTGGGTGACTACTTCGGCATCCTGATGGACGCTCCTGTCACTGGCTTCCCTTTCAATGTGACCGGCTCGCCCATGTACTGGGGCAGCACCTTGAACTTCCTGGGCGTTGCTCTGTACAAGGGCAAGGTGGCCGGTATTCTCTTGACCGCTCAAGTTTTCGTCTTGTACTGGTTTGCGCTTAAGTGGGAGGAGTAAGTTTATGCGTTTCTGTCACTGGAATCATGGAAAGCTGACAATGACCTCTCAGCCCCTTCACTGCGGAGATTTACGCCAAGCGTGAGCGCGAGCGCGCCAAGAAGAAGGGCGGCAAGAAGCAGTAAATGCATGTGTAGCAGGATTACCTGGGACTTTCAACATCCACAATCCGTGCATGACAATCTCCAGCCAGACTGAGATATAAGAGGGGCTAGGTCGCCGAAGACGCTGGTTTGATCCGGAACCAGGTTCACGAATCCCGAGGACATCTATGCAGCACACGGATGCATCCGAATTCTCAACGATGCTGGAGCTGTAGACGGTAGCCATTGCTGGTGAACAATAAGGGCTCAAGTAGAGGCCCTTTGTTATATTCCCTTATGCGACTCAAAAAAAGATTATAGTCTGTTTACCCAGTGCGACTGTCTATGTACTTCCCACCTGATGGCTAGAGATAGATTACTGTAAATTAGACATTGCTTTCTCAACTAAAATAAGGCCTTCATTGGAGGCTATGCTTTTCATTACATCTCAAGTTGATTCCAAAATGTACTATTGCCTTACGTGCATCCGAAAACTCATATGATCCAAAAAAAAAGGCGGTCGGGATAAGGCTCACTGCCCCCGATGAGGGAGAAGCCCTAGCTTCGGATCCGTGGGGGAAGAACAGCAGCCTCGAGAAAGGCAAAGGAAATAATCAAAACGACATCTCAAAAATCAAAAATATAATGACATGAAGATACAGCTCGCCAGAAACAATACCTCAAAAGATCAAAGGAATATAGCATAAACCAAATCATCCGGCACAAGTCCTCAGAGCATTAGTGATGATGCCCACAAGGCTTGACGCCTCGATGGTAAGAAAAAAGAAAGGGGCAATATATGCAATGTCCGTCCTCTTCATCGGCTCCTGTAAGACACATGTTTCACGGAGCACCCCTTCCATCCCCGACTTCGTACGCAGCCGGCTCTTCAGGGACTCAACGTCCTCCGGTACGGCCGCCTTGTTGGAGCCGTCGATATATCCCAACACAATAGCCGCAATAGCTACCGCGATGGGCGTGGCGAATGAGGTGCCGCTCCGATAGATTATCTCGTTGCCGGGCGAGCCCAACTGGCATGATGGCACTCCTTCACCTAGCGTGAAGATGGGTCGCAGTTCTCCGCCCGTTGTGCTAATGTTAGCCACATTTCCATCGCCGTCCACGGCGTTGACGCGGGTCACGACTTCCATACTGGCGGGCCAGTATACTCCCTCGTTACCGGCTGAATTACCCGCCGCGGCAAACAATAACACGTTATTCTGTTGTGCCTGAAGAAGTGCTTTGCGTATAGGTTGAAGTCTGTCATTGTATTCTGGGAAACCAAAGGAGAGGTTGATGATGTCTACGGGATCTCCATTTTCGGAAGAAAAGTGCTCGATTGCCTGGAACGGGAGGTTTTAGGGTTGTTATGGTATGTTTCGAAGTGGGATACCTTACCTTGGCGATTCGTTGAATGATGGCATCGTTGTTGATTAGCTGCGAATCGCTGATTTTGGCGATTCGGATGTTTGCGCTCGGCGCAAGTCTCATGAGCAAGTATGCAACATGAGTACCGTGGCCATCGGTGTCGTTGCAAGAATCCCTTGATGGCCAGCATTTGGTCCTACCAATCCTCGCTGAGATCCAACTATTTTGCAAGTTGATACCCGTGTCTAAAACGGCAACCGTAATGCCCTTGCCTTTGATTGGAAGGGCTTCTTGTTGAGCATGTAAGGCCTGGTCATATCTCTGGAACCATTCTTTGGCTCTCTTAGTCCTGTCCAGACAAGTAAAGTTAGTCGGCTAGGGGCTGGTGAATTTATGACGTGGATAGGACTTACTGGGTTTCATCAGGTCTGTCGTCGGTGTCGAAGAATTTGAATGGAAATGGCCCGCTAGTTGAACCATGCACGTATGAAGTAGACCAGCTACTAGGTACTGAAGGCCTGGGCCTTAAACACGTAAATTGTTTTGAGAATTTCATCTGTAGGAGAGCTTGAGCATATCACATTAAACATGCAACCAAACAAGAACTTACATTCAAATGATCAGGTTTTGGTTTTGGACGGGGTTTCCTGGGCAGAGTACTGCGCAATTGAATGGTGGGTAGTCTAATTCCTGACAAAACTTGATCGGGATCTTTCTTTCCCCAAAGAGAATTAAAGTCCTTCTCTAAGGGACAAATGACTGCCTTACAGAAATGTGAGGCAAATGATTCTTCCGCATTCTCTGAAGAATCCAGCCTGTTTGCTGGAATTCCTTCGAGGCAAGCTGCCACTGACTGCCTGAACCCTTCATAGATGGCCCAATTTATTTGGCCAAACTCTTTGCGAGCGGTCACTCGGAAAGACTCAATGTCGATGATCATATCTTGATGATTCATGGCAAGAGGTATTTCTGCCTGCTTGAATATCTCCATCAGGAGTATTCCGTGGAAGAGCAGCTTCAGGTCATTGCGCATTGTGGGTAGAGAAGGGTCTCTTGAACGAGGACGAAGAGAGGTGGCCAGGGTCGGGCGTAAGGAAAGACTCTCGCAATTTTGGAGTAGCTTTATGCTAGATTTTGACCATCCGTTTAGGAACCAAGGCTCCCAGCAAAAGTCAAGCAGCGAGTGAGACAGAACAACGGCAAGACATGTCTTGCTATCGATATCGAGCTCAGATTGTTCAACAGTCCCTCTGCAAGGCTCACATATTCAACATTTTTGAGCTCTGAAAACCCTGGGTCTGTTTCGGGGAGTTTAAACAGGGATTGGCCCTCGATATTACGATGCAAGCGAGACGCTGTGAGACTGAACATAGTTGAAACCACTGGCATCGCTTCTCCGGATGGAGGTGGCTTGCTGGGCCCCTCCATAGCATCGGCAAACTTATCAAGCAAAGTAATGAGGTCTTTGCGAGCCAACTGGTCTGATGGCACTAGGATACTCCAACGGCCAGCGAACAGGTTCTCGATGTCCTCGGTGTCCCCTGGAGTGTCTCGCGTCCAGCTTCTCAGCGTCTCTAGCTGCGGAAAGGTCGATGATTTAAACTCCTTAAGACCCAGTTAGCTACAAATAAAACAAAGCATAATGAAGTCTTCTTATTACCTCTGCAAGCGCCGACTTCTCCATGAAAACAGTCTTTTCAAGGCGCTCTAGCAAACGACTGACGAGTTCATGATGCTGGTCATTAAAGTTGTGGAACTTCCAGCCATTTGGTGACATTCGAAGACAAGGGACCAAAAATTTAGCCCAGAACTGTTTCACTTTATCCTGGCTGAACCTTTTTCTCTTGGGCGCGTAATACATATTCCCGGCGGCCGATTCCAGCGATGGTAGCACGGCTCTGAGGAGGCTCAGCCGTCGCAACAGAGGGCGGCTCAGAGTCCTAGCCCTATGGTCCGGAGCGAACGCGCCTTCCATTGACATGGCAAGACTGATGGGATGAAAGGTGGATGTGCCAGACCGAGGACGAGGAAAGGAAGGGAAGCAAGCGATTCAGCATCACGTGGCGGCTAAACCATGCCTCGCATTGGCTAGTTCAGTCGAACTAACTAGCTGGTGAACAATTGCTCTCTTCATGGCTTCCCTGCGCAAAGCCCTAGTTCTTGGTGCCGGCGTGGAACACTCATCCGGACGAGTTCACAGAGGGAAGTCTGGTTAGCCAACCTCGAGTTCCACAGAACCCGCTCTCGGCACCAACCTTAAATCTCCCACATTATTGACACGCCGATCCGACCAATCCCGCCCTCCGGCACGGCCAAAAAGACCAAAGCATGCAGTACTGAGCTGTTTGCAACCTTTCTCCATGTGGTGTCAGTTGGCGCGGGAGCCTTATTCTCTTCTGATGTCACCATCCAGGTTGATTACTCGTGCGATTCAATGGCCACCCGAAGGTTCAACCTGTCCCTAGTATATATCACCAAGGCTGCGAAGGATCCAGAGGTGAAAACTACCTCGGTTTAGGCGGATTTGGGGCGAAAGACTTTATGGCCACTGCCGTCAAGACAGTGTTCGGTGTTACCGTCACCACGATCGAAGAAAAGTCTAAATATACGAAAAGGTATATCAGCGCGGAGATCCCGGCGGCGGACGTATCTCACCGAACGGACCACACAACTCGAGCTTTCAGACGAGCCCAAGCGTATGGCAGCTAAAGATATTCAAGCTACGGGCGTCAAATATCGGTGAGTTTTCCGCCCACCAGGTCTCTTTAGATTATCAACTTCGGACTGCCCGATATGCGAAAGCAGCAGTGGACGGTTATCTTGAAATTCTGTGCACACAACTTCTGTCGGCTCTTACAGGCCAGGAAGATCTCTCCGAGATAGGTGATGCATTTTCTGACTAGTCCGCGAGATTTCATCAATTTTGGCTCGGGATTTTCGATCAATTGGCCCGATAGCTCTGCAGTCCGGCCTCGGTCATGGTGAGAGCAATGGAGGCACCACGCAAGCAGGCGCTTTGGATTGCAAAGCGGTTTCATCAGTCTTGTAAATAACCCTAGGACATTAGGAATTCTGATACATTCCAGCTAGACTCATCTATACAAGCAGAAAAGAGCAGAACAACACACGAACAATTCTAATAGTAGATAGTAGACAGCTATGTCCGATCCTGCGAGGGTATTGAGACGCCAGAGACTCGCAAGAGAGCAGTCAATGCAAGACCATGAAGACAGTACAAGAAAAATGAAGAAGAAAACACCACCAACACCGCGCTAATGACGCCGCATCAAGACCAAGAGGAAACGGAAAAGGTGCATCGGACTGAGGTAAACAGGCCATCATCAACAGAGAGAAGCGGGACCATGAGATCACGCGCGTCGCTGGCGGCTGCGCTTCGCGGTTGTGCGACTGTCATCCACGGTCTCGACATCGTCCTCATCCGTGCCCTTCTTGAGGTCCTCACCCTCGGCGAGCCCCCATTTCTCGCGATCGTACCAGTCTTCGCCGTCGCTCATCTCTCCGATATGGCCTTCTGCCTTGGACCATTCCAGTACATCGGACTTCATACGGCAGGCACGCAGAAGTGACTCGAGCATGTGCTCGAACCCGCGAACTGTCTCTTCCTGTTTCTGGATGTAGGACCAGAGTAGACGTCGTGTTTCTTCCGCCTCGGTGGCTGGTAGACCGAAGTTGGCGTCTGGGCGGACACTGTCCGGGATGAGGAAGAGGGGATGTGGTGTTGGCAGGGAGCCGGTCGTGTCGGCTGAAGAGTAAGGAGACTCGCCATCTTCGGCTTGTGGATTGGCTGCGTTGGTCTGCGCGCGGGTTGTCATACGACGCGGTGGCTCCGGTGATGAACCGTCGTGCATTTCTGCATCTTGCCCGGTCTCATCCATATGCGCGTGTCCTTCCGCATCTGCATTATCGGTATCCTTGGTCACGTCCATTTCATCCGGGTTCCCACCGGAGTTTGCGGTTGTGTTCTGGTCAGCGGGGCCACTCGCTGAGCGCTTCTCATGTGCTGAACCAGGTGCGGCCTCGGTATGCTGTGGAAGATCCTTGACCGTGCCATCTGCCTCCTCTGCCTTGGGCTCCTTCATTTGTTCCGGAGTGCCATTGTTCGCATGTGCATCCTCAGAGGGTGCTGGAACTTCTGCCATCTCTACATCAGCATCCACAGGCTCCTGTTGCGGTTCCAGGACAGACGCCGTCGCCGACGTCACTCCGTCTTGCGCGATATTATTCTCTCCAGTGGTCAGAGGTGTTTCGGGTCCACCCAATCCATACCCACTGCCCGATGCACTCTGGTGTTCATCGACAATTCTCGGCTCAAAAATCCATCGGTCTTCCGGAGTTTCAATCACACCACACGGCATCCAGCTACCATCACCAAGGAATTTTTGGTGCAGGTTCCTGGCACGCCAGAGCAAGGCACGTTCCTCGCGGAGCTTGGCTTCGACACCCATGGCCATCTGCTCGAGAGCCTGGGAGGTGTAGGGTTGGGAGAGCGAGGGGTGGGTGGGGAGCTCTGAGGGGTGCTTCAGGGGACAGAGGAGGGCTAGCAGATAAGCAAGAGTCAGTATTATAGACAATTGATAGAAAAGGAGACCACTGACTCTCAAGCGCAATCCCGGAGAATGGGTTTTCTTCAGCAGCCGCTGCATCGGCCTCGGAATCTTCGTCATCCTCATCCAGCTCTTCACCTTCAGAGTCGTAGCGTATCGGATTCCGTTGGAGAATATAACGCGTGTAACCGGCATGTTCAATTTTCTATTCACACGAAGCAAAAAAAGTTGGGTGTTAGCTTTGTTTCACTCATCGACAAAATCGCCACAGCGGACGGGGTCCGGGTAAAAAGCCCGCAACGAGAGGAGGGACAGGTCAATCGCACGCACCTCTTTGTACAAATCCTCGCCGTGGATATAGCCCATTGCTCCTTCACGGACATACTTCGCATTTGCCCGCAATTTGTTTCCGCGGTTCGTCGGCTGAGAGATGGGGTCATCGGGAGGGACGTCTGTAACAACCGGACAATCAGAACTCGGACCAGGCTAAGCCTGCCTCTTCACTTACCGTCGCGCTCTCTGCGGAGGGCCCTCTTCATTCCCACAATAGTATCTGCGATCAACGCCGCCTGCGTCGCCATGGTCACTGGTGGGCAGCAATGGGGTCGGGGTCAGACACGTCGGTTGGAGCGTGAGGAATCTGGGGGGGTTCGTCGGAGGAGAATCGGGTGAGAGACAGAGTGAGAGATGGGGGCAATTTGGGCATGAGACGCCAGGGGAGAATGCTAAACCGAGCGAACCGCGAATCAAGAGTGCAGCCAGGGCCAGCCAGCAAGAGGAAGATGTGACGAAGCTCGGTCAGTCGCTCGCGGCAACAGCTGCCGGAGGGCTGATCGACGCTAGGCCGCTTTGGGAAGAGGTCTTGATAAGGGCTGGCACGTGACTAATCCCGGACTATGGCGAAGTATAGGAATCAAGTATGCGTACCATGTAGTGACAACGGTAGAAGACTACGAAAGTCACTGACCACATGCCAAGAGCAAGTCTACTACGCCAGAAAGGACACAGCAATTGATATTTCACATTGGAAATCTACTCTCAACATGGATGAAACGGTATCTCGTCTCACATTATGCCACCCAATAATCATGTCACGCAAACTAAAACGCCTCCTTTTCCGCGAACTGATCCCAGCCTCCGAAGAAAAGAAAACAGTCGGCGTCATTTTGAATGGCCGGGTACCTTGCGCTTGCAGAATGGTGAAAACACGCATTGCTAAAATGCAATAAGCCTATTTCCTCGAAGCACGCTAGTCACGCCCCGCTGGACTCGCTCAAAGCGCATGAAAGAGCAAGTTTCACTTTCAAGATGATGGAATAGAGCGGCCAGGATGACGAACTGCTTCTGGCATCGCCCATTCGGGCAATGATAAGCCTTTTGCTGGTGGGCCGGCGAGTTGATATGCTGATTCAGCGCACGGCTATGAACAAATTCCCTGTGGCATAGATAGCACTCCCAACCACTACCGTTAAAGGCACGATTAGTTATTTCATATTGAGCATCTTCGTCCTGGTGCCACTCAAGCAGCTTGTTGGAAATGACGCCCTTAGGATCGCGTCGGCGGATCATATCGCGGAGAGTTGCACGATCAACGTTAGGGGCGCGAGGGCAAGAGCCCGTCTCGAGGTGATGCGTCACGCCACTGGCCGTTGTATAGGCGGCCTTGCAGAAGGGGCACTTGATATTTTGACCAAGATGGATCTTCGACTTGAGATGCTGCGAGGAAATGAACCAGAGAATGTTAAAGTACAAGTAAACACACTCACCATTTGCAGATTGTTGTCATTTTGAAATTGTCGTCGGCAACCGGTGCAGTAGTGTTCGTAATGGCCCTCGTCCGCCATGTGCTGGTTTACAACAGACTCGGAGGAGGAGCTGAAGTCACAGGTGTCGCACTCGAACTCGGGCGCCCAGTGATCCAGAGCATTCATGTGCTGGTTCACGGCATGCTGGGAAGAAAATCCACGGGTGCAAGTTTCGCACTCGAACTGGGACGCCCAGTGATCCAAAGCGTTCATGTGCTGGCTCACAGCATGCTGGGAATAAAAAACACGGTCGCAGGTTTCACACTCGAACTCATCGTCCGAGTAATACCCAGACATGTTGTTCCCGGAGGCTCCCGGATGGGCGACGAGGGTTGATAGTGGATCAGGGTTGCTCGGGTAGGCAGTCAGGAGAAGTGAAAAGATCAGTATCTTAGAAAACGGAATGGTAGTGAAAGTCTGATGATCTTGATGATGCTCTAGAGAGAGAGAAGAAGAAGAAAGAAGAAGAGGGCTATCAATTGAAGTGCAAACGAAGAGTGTTTACATCATCCACGGGAGTCCCAGTTGGGAGTACCCCGGGAAAGCCTATTTGGACTCCACTCCTCTGGGTATACCCCAAAGTATAAAGACACGAACGATACCAATTGAATACAAAAACTGCGATGGATATTTCTACCAACTATACAATTCCACGGCCGAACTAATCATCAGCATCAACCCACACCAGAATGCCCTTCTTATCCGAGCGCATATCCCCCGTGGAAAGAACACGGAGGGTTTTGTTGAAGTAGCTGTCCACCACCACCAGCTGCGGCTGGATCCACAAGCCACGTTTGGCAGCTAGCAGATTGTAGCGAACGGTATGCCGACTCAGCGGCACAAGCTGGACGACGGTGGTCTTAGGTCCGCTAAAGGCAAACTGTTCGCTAGCTTCCATCATGAGGTTGAAGGTGAGGAAGTGCGTGGATGGGTTCTCCAGCGTGTACTCCAGATGAATCAACCCGGGCACGGTCGCCGAGGCGGATGAGGAAGCGAGCACCCTGGGTTCGCCCATGGGAACGACGAACCGCGGGATCTCAAGGATGGAGGTCGATACGGCGCTTTCGTTGTCGGATCCTTGCCGATGCCATTGGATTTCTAGTGCGAGGTTAAGCGTAGAGGGCCGGCGGTCTCCGAGGATGAGCTTCTGAATGTCAAGCCAAAAGTTGGACTCCCGCATTTCTTCCGGTGCGAGTTGCGAGGTGGCGGGGCTGACCAATGTCTCTGGCTCAATATTGCACACCGCACCGCCGCTGACTCCGAGAAGGGCCACGGACATTTGATCAATGACGATTGGCTCCAGAGCAAAGGAAACAACCTTGGAATTGAGACACCATCTCTGCTGTAAGCCTCCCGGGACCGAGGTGGAAGCTTCACCAAGCAAGTCGTCACTAACGGCGAAGAAATTCGGCCATGGTTGCGAGTGAACACAAGGCAGAAAGTCGTAGTTGGCCTCGAATGGCCGGGTGAATGACAGGTCAACGGTGATAGTCTTCGATATAGGGGTTTGGACATCAGACACCAGATTGTAGATGGCTGAAATCTCCAGTTGATAATTCGCAATATCCTGAGTGTCATCCACAACGACAGTGATGTGCTTATCAGAGGAACGCTCGATTGCTCCGACTCGCTGCTTCAAGAAATGGGTTGGACCTTCGGCTGGAGTGCTGGTCCCCGACTCGTGGATGTCCAAGTTGTCCTCCGTGTTGAGCCACAGAATCCTGGCCGATGACTCTGGAGGACCAAAGAGTCGAATCTCAGTGGTGACATCTGCTGCTTCCTCCTCTTCGTTCTGTAGCTCTATATCCAGAGCCACGCGTTCATTGGTGTAATAGTTTTGTTTGATATTGGGGGTTGTGATGCGGATCTTGGGAGGTTTTGGCATAACCTTGCATTTCCCAGTGTCCCGGTCTTTACCCACCCTTCTGTGGCTTATTCCCTTTTTGGTTTCTTGCCACCAGACGGATTTGTATTGTTCCTCGCATGTGATAACATAGGCGAGATCAAACTTTTCCTCCTCAATCAACAAGGTTATCGAAGCTACCCGAGCTTCACCAGCCTCGCGGGGGACGCAAGTGAGATTGAACGCTTTGGTCTGGGAAGGACCAATTGTGAGATCCGATGTCCCAAGTAGGGTCGCTAAGCCACTGGTCGGTGACTGAACGGCTGGATCGGCAGACGTGCGCGGCTCCCGCAGTTGTAGAGATGTGAGGTAATGCGGGCTCGTCGTGTCGGGATTTTGATTCTGGTCAGACTGAATCTTCAATGGGCGCAAGCACCCCTCGAAGACAACTTTCACCTCCGAGAGTTTGATGGGGGCGGAATATTTTTGAGCACACGATGAAATAATGAGTTGAACCTGCAGAGGCTCCCCGACGTTGCCTTCGGCTTTTCCAAAGACCAATGACGCGGTTACTACACGGACGATCAAAGTCAGCGACAAGAACATTGATCCTCAGAATGGTTGACTTACAGCTCGGCATGACATCCTCTGCTCGAAGGACGAGGGATGGTTTCGGTTTTTCTGAAGGGAGACTTTCGAGGCTCTGATGGATGTCATATTGCCAAGCAGGTTTCGGTTGAAACACTGTAGTGCCAGTTCGTCAGAATTGACTACGAAATAGTTATGACATGACTTACCATTATGAAGCAGCTCCCAATCCACCTGCAGCACAGTCTCGCTTTTCTGTGTTCGGAGAGCACATTCCCTCAACGCCCATCCGAAACTTTCCATCAGTTGCCACCAACCAGAGTGGCGCCAGCTCAGAGTTGGCCACAATGGTTGAAGGATATCGTATGCCTCCGTCCAAGAGCCAGCACGCATGTACTCTTCTGCGATCCCGAGGCCGAGGCTCTCGACATGACGAGTTTGTTGGCGTTTTGAGAACTCTTCGAGTGCAGACTTCAAGGTGCTCAAGATCAGACGAGAATGGTCAAAGCCTGTGTTCCCAGACAGAGGTGATTCAGCATGAGTCTCGGGAGCCAGATATGTGTCATAAAGGTAAGACTTGTTGGCAATCTGCGAGGCAGGGGACTGTCCTGGAGGCATTCGATCCTCGCTTGGAATTTGTTCCGCAAGAGTTCTTCGCAGCTTTGTGTGCTTTGCCGAGCGGCATAGCCAATAGCCCGCGTGGTGCAAGTGCTCCCATGAATTGACACGTTCCCCTGTGGGGACTGCTTTCTCAGGCAAAAGGTAAATGGATTCCAATTCCCCGGATGAGAGGGACGGTATTTCCGCTCGGCGGATGAGTTGAGCCATAACCATCGACCACCGCGCCTCCCATGCTTCCCATCCGTAATTCCTGCTGCCTTTACCCCTTCGGTCGATAATGTCCTTGGTGCGAACTCTGTGATCGACCCAGAACCGTGCAGCGGCAGTGGTCTGACCTGTCCAAAGTAAACAACGAATAATTCGAATGGCTAGAGAATCAGACAGGAGGCGTGCGTCATTGAATCGCGGATCCCAGCCAGCGATATTCTCAAAAACCTCCTGTCCAAACAGGGTCTCGTAGGCAGACTCATAATTTCGACACGCTGCATCCATCTCCTGACGGAACTCGGCAAAGATTCCAAGTTTGAATTCATAACGGACATTCCACCCATGGAGCGACAGAGTCTGAGAAGTGCCGCTGGTTGGTGGTGCCGTTGGAGGAGGGATGCTGCTTCTGTTGCGCTTGCGCCGGGCATGCTTTGACAGATCCCGATAGTATTCCACGACAGAAGGCTGCAACAGCGAGAACAATGATTTGGTAAAGTCTTTTAATTCTGACGTTGTCGCGTCTGGCGGAATGACGAAAACCGACTTGGGATCGAGATTCGTCGCTTTGCGGATCCCTGCGACCCGATCGTCAATCTCCCAAGAATGTCCTCCATCGCCATCTTCGGATATCAACACCACCAAAAACCGAGTCTTGAAACCGGAGGATGTCCACGCCTGCTTCAGGTCATTAATCTCAATCTTCAATTGATTGTCGCGGAGCGTGTTCATATTCCGGTCCAAAGAGAAGGGAAAGAAATTGATCACAGCCGCAGGAACCAGGTCCTGATGCTTGGTGACCCAGAGCGGAGTGAGTAAACCATCTGGAAATGTCGGAGAGCCTGGAGTCAATGGTGATATGGGCGAGTGCAACACGACGGAGTCGGCGTCGACGAGAGAGTTCATGGAAGGGGAGCGTAGCGGAGGATTGGCTTTTCGTGGGGGAAGCTTGTAGGACTAACGGAATGTTAGCAGAGGGGTATACATAGAGAATCGTCGGAACAGGAACCTACCCGGCCAGTACTTTTGATCTTGAAGCCAATCCCTGCAGCGGTTGAGTTGTTGTCATCTAAGCTGGGTCTGGATTTCCATGGCATGCGAGAGCCATCTTCATCGAGCAGCACGCTCCGCAATTCCTCCGCAACAGCCCCGCTCACCGGAGGGAGTTCGGAGAAGATCTCTGGGCCCTTCTCGGAGAGGAGAGGGTATATCGCAGAGGCGGTAGCGTCATCCTCAGAGCCCGCTTCCAGTCCGGAAAGGAGGACGAAAGGGAGGTTGTGGTTGACGTAGTCTTCGGGGTAGGCGTCCATTGCGGACCGTGATTGTTTGACAGCACGGTCACCGCATGTCTAGATGTTGGGGCGGATTGGAAGGCGGGTAATGAGCAATGAGGCTGAATGAGAGTCAAGAAAAGTCTGGCCGTACTCGAGAAACCGAGGCCCGCGCTACAAGGTCAGAGAGTGAATGAAGCTGTTGGCGATGCGGCCAGACATACTGCCGGCCGGTGTGGGCGGTGAGCTACTATGACCTTCCATCAAAACAAACAACCTTGGACAGCATTGATTCATTAACATTCAGTGGATTTTTATTGTATTTGCTTTATTCTATTTCGACATTTTGTCACTTCCACTTTTCCATTGGTTCCCTAGTACCCTTTTGCGGTCTTGACATGCGCAATCTTCTCCCAGACCTCGGGGTGGAGGACCGAGCTGAAGTTGTTGCTAAACTTGCTGTTGAGGTAGTTGAATCCTTCGTCGGGCTCGTAGGTTGCGGCAAACTTGATACCCGCGTACTCCTCCAGGGCGGCAACGTCGGATCGGAGGGATTCCGGAAAGGTAATGAGTGCACCATTTTTGAACCATCCAGCATAGTAGTTGATCGTGAGGAGGATGCGCACGTTGTCGGTGAGATTGGGCATCCCGGCGTGCCTGAGAAGGTCAACGATGGCTCGAAAAGTTGATCCAAGTGCAAATTTTATCGGGGGAGGCAGGATCGGGGCCTTCAAAGCACTCACCACAGTCGCAAGTCTCGCACCATGATCGAACCCTTCTTGACTCGTGGGTATATAGGCGGCCGGATCTTCCTCCTCTCTTCCACGACCGTCTCCTCGATGAAGGGCTCGCCGAGCTGGGGCCGGATCTCCACGCCGGTGTTCTGTGTGCCGAGCCATAGCTCGGTCGTCCCATTCTCGGGGCCGCAGTCGCACAGGCACACATTCTGGGTAATGGCAAAGGGGTGAGTGGGGTGCTCAAACCGCATGTCCGAGTGGACACGCTGGCGGTCATTATTGTTCAAGAGGGTGTTCGAGCGGAGGAAGTGAACCTCGGGCTTAGGGCCGAGGATGCAGGAGATGAGTTGAGCGGCGTGTTTGTTGGCGAAGATTTCGCGATGGAGCCATTCTATACGAGGGTTGGTCTTGTCCAGAAATGGCGGGAGGTATATGCGCAGCTTTGAAAGAAGTAATGGACTCACCCTTCTCCAGAGGCGGCACTTGAGAGAGGTTTCCGCCAGCCTTGGCCCCCTTCTCGGCCACTCCGTTATTCAGAGGACTATAGCTCGTTAGTTCCCCAATTCTCTCCTGGTGGATGGGCACTCACGCAAAGTGGGACAAGCCCTCGCCCGCCATGAGCTTCTCCGTATCCTGGAGCATTCGTTCGTTCAAGTTATCTATCAAGTCATCCCGCACCGCATTCTCCAGCACGACGAATCCGTCATTAAAGAAGGCTTCGACGGCGTCGTATAGGTGGTGATCGGACAATACGCCCGAGTCCCGCTCCTCATCGGAGAGGCGGATGATAATGGGAATTTCCGAGAGAGACGGCATCCTGATGCTGCGCAACTGAGAGCGACGACGAAGTGAAGAAATCCAGTGCAGGTGGATAGAGAAATGCACATGCGAATGGACCTTAAGAATTGAACGATAAGATGAATTATAGATGCAAGATAAGATGAATGCTTGTACCCATCGGCTATATACTGGTTACAACGACAGAGAGCTGAACCCACCGGCTAACTGCTAGTTTTGGCACGACGAGCAGTGGCTAGCGGACCAATCGGCGATCTGGCAGCACTAAAGTTTAGCGCGGTCCTTGAACTGTGTCCCGGATGGGAAGATAGGCGGTCCATGTTTTCCCTGTTCCATGGTCCACACCCCACAACCTCAGATCGCATCTTCCCCATGGGGTCACTACGGCCCATATGTATGTCTACCCATCGCCGCGTGGAGTACATTACTCCACTCCCAGCCCATTCTGGTCGAGACTATGAACCCCGTTCGGCGCTGATCGCAAGACAACTTCATGCTATCCTTTGAATTATAACCACCAACATGTCAACCACAATTCAACCCACTGCCATCGAAATAAAGGCGGGCTTTGACCACTCCAATGCCACCCACTTGGAAGCCGGTGATGCCAGTGCCATTGACGATGCGAAAGCCGTCAACTTCGTCACTGACAACTCGCACGAGGTGTCCAGATATGCCGAGTTGACCTTCTTCCAGACGGTCAAGTACTTTTGGCGCGCCATGGCCATCTCGTTTGCGTGCGGTATCTGCGCCATGGGGGACGGGTACCAGTACAAGATGCCCGGCAACATCGTTGCTCTCGACGGCTTCATCAAGCAGATGGGCTCCAAAGATGCCAAAACGGGCGAGTATGCGCTCAACGCGCAGCACGTTGCGGCCTGGGGTGGTGAGTCTTCCTACGTTGTGTGAACTTGACTAGATTTCCTGACATGTACAGGTGTGTACGCTGGCGCTCTCGTCGTCGTCCTTCTGGTGGGTAACTGGCCTGTCGACCGCTTCGGCCGCAAACCTGCTCTGTGGGCCGTTCAAATATTTATGGTCATCGCCGCCCTCATCGAGGTTTTTGCTACCAACTGGACGCAGTGGCTCGCAGCCAAAGTCCTCAACGTGAGAACAAATTCAGCAACAGACCACGAGCTCTCCCAACTGACGCATCTCAGGGTTTCTCTGTCGGCTGCAACCAGATGACCGCCACCACCTACATTTCTGAAATCGCACCCACTCGGGCTCGTGGCGCAGCTCTCGGTTTCTACCAGCTCTTCGTGAGTGATACTGGGGATACTTGATTCCTACTCCTTTCTTTACTAACCTCTGCTAGTGGGCAATCGGTTCATTTGGTGCTGCCATAGCCCTTCAGATCGTGTCCGAGATGCCCAGCGACAAGTGGCGTCACGCTGTCTACTCAATGTGGCCCTTCGTGGGTCTCGCTGTCGTTGTCCTCATCCTCATCCCCGAGACCCCCCGCTTTCACGCGCAAAGGGGCAACCATGAAAAGGCCAAAAAGATCATGAAGCAAATCTACGGCAGTGTCCCTGACTACGATATCGAGCACGAGTACTCGATCATCATCAAGGAGATTGAGGATGGCAAAGTCCTTGCCGACCACCAGAAGGGCGTCTCCGTCTGGGACTGCTTCCGGGGTACCAACCTTGTAAGTGCATGCGATAACGATTACTGTGACAATTCATCTCTGACATCTGGCCTCCAGCGCCGAACCATCGTCTCTCTCGTGCCATTCAACAACCAGCTCTGGGACGGCGCACCGGTCCTTTTCTCCTACACTTCGTACTTTTTCCAGCAGGCCGGTCTTAAGAAGCCCTTTGTTGCTACCCTCATCTTGAACTGCGTCCTCGTCGGCTTCGTCGCCGCCAGCTTCTACACCACTGACCGGATTGGCCGTCGCCCATTACTCGTTTACTTGGGCGCGTTCATGGTCCCGCTCTTGTTCATCATCGGCGGTATCCAGACCCTGCAGCAGACGAACGCTACCGGAGCCGCCACGATTGCCGTGTCGTAAGCTGAAGCATAACATACCTCGCTGACAACGGCTAACCTATCTACAGATGCATCTGGGTTGCAGCCTACTCTTCTTCAGCAGGTCCTCTGGGCTTCGCCTTCCTCGCCGACTGCTCCACCGCTGTTCTCCGCGCGAAGACCGCCAACATGGGCGCCCTGGCATTCGCCCTCTTATCGCTCATCACCACGTACTGCACTCCGCTTATGCTTGCATCCCCCAATTTCGGGGTTTCGGGCACCTTTTTCTTCTACGGCTCGACCTCGTTGGTCTTTGTCGTCATTATGTGGTTTGTCATCCCCGAAACCAAGAACAGGTCGTATGTCGAGCTCGATGAGATGTTTGAGCTTCACGTCCCAACTAGGGAGTTTGCTACCTACGAGACGTCTGTTGATAGGGCCATCAAGGCTGGGCAGGGCAATGTAACTGAGTCGGTTTAAAGCGAGCGTGCGAGGATAAACATGAAACTTGATACGTTGGGTGAATGCGTAAAAATTCTGCGAAAACAAAGAATATAATATATTTGTCTAATGAATTGGGCTATTTGCACACCTCCGGTTATGCGGCTATCATCGCCGTAAGTTTATAGATCGTATCACATCAAACTCAAGGAGATCAATGAGCTGCAGCTCATCGCATGGAGTCCGGGGTCTCCGGCTCGGCTTTCAAGGATCCACTACTCTGATAACGACCCAATCGCTACTTTCGAGGCTAAGGCCGGGAGCAATTACCCTTAACTGGTCGCTAGAATCCCATCGCGCATGTGCCATAATCGGATGTCCTAATTTCGATCCGCGTACCCAAAAGCAGGCTCGACCACCAAGCCGACCATCGCCACGACTTTCTGCTTCTCTATACCCCTCGTTCTGTCGCCATGTCTCAACCTCCGTATGTATTCCTTCCATTGATATATTCCGTCCTTACACCAGCTCATAGTATACTGCAGAAAATATGTCCTCGTAACTGGAGCCACCGGATTCATCGGTGCTCATGTGGTCGATCAGCTCCTTAGCCGGGGCATCAAAGTCCGCGGCGCCACTCGGTCACTTGCGAAAGGCGATGCTATGATTCAATCCCGGTCACAGTTTGCATCCTTGCTTGATTTTGTCGAAATCGATGGCTTCGAGAATCCTGGCCGTCTAGACGAGGCTGTCAAGGATATTGATGCCGTGATCCATGTTGCTAGTGTGCGTGACGCACCCCCGGAACACTTGGGAATGAAACACTGACGGTTTTCCGCTGTAGCCGTTGACATATGATACTAAAAACAACGAAAAAGAGCTAGTCATCCCCGCTATCAATGGCGTGAAGGTCGTTCTGGAGGCGTCAGCTAAAAGCAATGTCCGACGAGTCGTGCTAACTTCATCGTTCGCGTCTGTCATGGACGTCAACCGGAAAGCGCCACCATACTTCACATTCACGGGCGAGGATTGGAACCCTCTGACATACGAGGAGGCTGTGGCTCCAACGACACCGGCTCATATCGCCTATCGTGGGGCCAAGAAATTCGCCGAGAAAGCAGCATGGGATTTCCAGCGCGACCACAAGCCCGCGTTCGATATTGTAGCGCTGTGTCCATCCATGACATTTGGACCCGTGGTACATCCTGTCGCCAGCGCGGACAAGCTCAATGAGACGAATGCGATGTTGTGGAAGGTAGCCCAAGGACAGCCACTGGCGACAGCACGCGTGCCATTCTGGATCGACGTTCGAGATTTGGCAATGGCGCATGTGGAAGCGTTGGTGCGGCCAAATGCCGGAGGCAAGCGCTTTATCCCGGGGTCCCCGGAGAGATTCTCGTACGACCTTGCCGCTAAAGTCATTGAAGAGGAGTTTGATTGGGCTAAGGGTAAAGTCAGGCGCGAGGATCAGGCCATCGATGAATCTCATGGAATAGATAGTGAGATCACGGCTCGTGAACTTGGGCTCAAGTACACAAGCTTTAGAGATGCCGTCGTGGACCTGATATCACAGGTATCCAAAATGCCGACAACCTCATAGGCCCACGTTACAAATCACATCTTCAGTCTAGGCTGTTGAGGTTGCACATCTCGAGAGATGGGGTGATATGCTCATGCAACGAATTGCCTCGTGGGTTGATCCATGTGGTATCTTGATGTTATCTATAAAATCAGATGCGTTACTGGTCAGCCGATGTGAACAAAAATGAGACACAAGCGAATAGACGAATGTCTTTAGAAGCTTAGATGCGACACTGTTACCTTGAATAGGTGGAATAACAGAGTTCCTCATGGATATATATTATCTTGGATGTTATATATTGCTGTGCCGTAAGCGACTATATTTTGGGACTATTTTCCTGCTTGAACTTATCCTATGGCGGGTGAACACTAGAATATCCGCGACGAGACAGCTAAAGGATGAATAGGCTTCTCTACCTCAGGCAGTAGTGGACCGGATCCACAGCTTCTGTAGGACTGAGTGCTCAGTATTGACACCCTAGGGTGAGTGACCAGTCACATGATGGGTCAGAGCCAGTTCTGAATTCTACTCAGTTGCTGGGAACAGAAAACACAAAACAAACAAACAATATTTCTAATGAAATGATGTAGATTCAATGGATCGCTTTATTCCGCCTCCTGCAATTAATCTGTAATAAATCTTAGCGTTGGGGTACGCTAGAAGCGCCTCGACCAGCGGTTCCTGTATCAAGTATAGGAACAGAGTCAATTTAAATTTCTGACCCAGAGGATAACTAACCGCGGCACTGGTCCAATCCAAGCGTGGAGACGGTTCCTCCAGTGTGGAGCGCAAACGCGATCCCGATCACCCTGACCTGGTCTTTTTTTCCCTTTCGATCGACACCCACCCCTCTCAGTCTTCTTTTTCTCCCATCCTCTCTCCTTTTTCTCATTTCTTTTTGCCTATCGTCTCTCTCTCCCTCTCCATCTCCTTTTCTGTCGCCTCCGCGGCTTGCATTGTCTTATCTCTCCTTTTCTCTCTATCTCTTACCCCAAGACGGTAACCCTGTAAGGGGTTTCGCAAGGACCCCTGTCAAATATTCCTCCGACTGCGCTCCGACTGCAGCAGATCATGCGCGGTCTCGCTGATACTGTCTAAGAATTTGTGTTCGGACTTGCTTGCCAGTTGTCGCCTTTACCTATCGAACGCCATGCATTTCGACCCTCCCCCCAAAAATGCGCCGGCCGAGTCCGCGCTGCTAAGTCGCCGCCGCAATCGCAAATCCCAGTCGGTGCGCCCACATGCGCCGGGCCACACGACCACCGACCCGACGTCGCCGGAGGTCATGAACTCTCTCATCACGTCACTCTCTACAATCTCAGTTCCCCTGAAGACTCATTTCGACAACGTGCCCCGAATCGACACCGATTCCGATCCTGGACTGCCCGAAGTACCACAGACTGCGCCGTGTTTCTCCAATCCTCATTCAGACCATGGATTTGGTATGAGTTACGGTGCCTACAAGACGGGCGAGGTTGGTTCGTTTCTACATCCCGATGACGCTGCCGTATCGCCAGTCATTCGCATGGCCAGAGCACCCCCGTCCCCCAAATCTCCCAAGTCACCTAGGTCGCCCAGATTCAAACCTTTCAAATCCGCTGCTTCATCACCTGCTCGTCCGGCCTCGAGAGAATCCTACAGCTCCGTCAGAGCCGTCCCGGAAGATTCCATATTCGGAACGATCACCACAGAGCCCGGTCCCCGTCTCTCAACCGCTCCTAGCGTTGCATCCAGTGGCTCTTTCGGGCGATCAAAGAGTCTCAGAAGCCAATTTGGTCTGATGAAGAAGGCATCGCGAGAGTTCACTAGCGAGAAGGAATCACAGGCGGATCGCTTGCGCACCGCAAGCAGCCACAACGATAGCCTTCGCCATAATACCCCACGCAGTCGAGCCAGCATGCGCTCTTTGCGCTCCATGGCCGATGTGGCTGAGGAGGAGCGCCCGAGTGGTGTGATAGAAGAGCCATATGAGGAGGTCGCTGAGTTGGCTACGAGTACTCCACCAACCCAGGAGCAGTCCCTCCAGACTACTCCGGACCTTGGAAACAATCCCGGGGGAATCGGCAGTGGCAGAATCATCCCCAATCGAGACTCGTCGTTACGACATCGGCATAGTCCTTCTTCAAGCACAAGGAAGCGCCGGTCCGCTCGTCACAGTCGATATTCTTCCACTACCAGCAAGGATTCGGATGCAGAAAATGGCCTTCCCGGGTCAAGCAATGATGCCGAGCAGGTGACGCGCAGAATCCAGGAATTGAAAGAACAGCAACAGCAAATCAAGACCGAGCTGGAAGTGGACGACAGCCCAGGCAAAGCACCCAGAACAACGACGAAGGTGACTCTCCTCAAACAGTCGAAGGTTCTTCCACGGACCCCTAGTGAGATCGACTCAGGTCGCGCAACTCCGAATGGGTCCAAGGACGGCCGACCTCCGTTTAACGACAGTGCTCCGTCTCCGTCTGTCATGACCGGCAAGAGCCGATCTTCCCGGAATGGAGCACCACTGGCATCTAAGCCAACGAATTTCTCGCCGCAAGTGTCCAAATCCTCATTGGATAAACGCGAGCATGCGAAAGTTCGATATCGGCGTTCTCTCGAGCCCGGAACGCCTACCAAACACCACCGACGGGCACCGTCCAATCCCGTGTCCCCCATTCGTCGTGCTTCACTCAGTCACGAGCGGCCATCTAGTGCGGATTCGATCGACTATGCCGTGGATGAGTACATCCTCTCCCCAAAGTTGACCCAAAAAGTGATCCATCCGACTACCGGCCGCACCATCGCCTTCTCCGAAGTGGGAGATCCCAAGGGCCATGTTGTGTTATGCTGTCTCGGCATGGGCCTGACCCGATATCTCATGGCCTTTTATGATGAATTAGCCCGAACCCTCAACCTCAGACTGGTCAGCTTGGATCGCCCCGGTGTGGGTGAAAGTGACCCGCACCGAGTTGATGAGTCGACTTCCCCTCTCAGCTGGCCCGGTATGCATCTCCTCTCCTTCCTCAACGAACCCCTGTTAATTTGTACCAGATGATGTCGCGATCGTTTGCAACTACCTCCGAGTGACCAAGTTCTCCATTCTGGCCCATTCCGCCGGGGCAATCTACGCTCTCGCAACGGCGCTCCGAATCCCGCAACATATCCGCGGCCGCATCCATCTCCTGGCTCCGTGGATCCCTCCATCGCAACTGTCCAGCATTGGCTCTCAAAAAGAACCCGCGCCCAACAATGCGGTTCCCTACTCTCAGCGCATCCTTCGAGCACTGCCAACGTCCCTCCTGAAAGTTGCCAACACCAGCTTCATGAGCGCCACGAGTGCCAGCATCACCACCAGCCTGCCCAAGTCTCCTCGCAAAGCCAAACGCAAGCCTTCTGCTAAAGACACTCCCGTCGCAAATACTGGGCCTACAAAACCTAACGGAACGTCCCCTGTAGCGGCCCATTTAACACCCGAAACGAACGAGAAAGACCTTCCTCCAACGCCGGGAATGCCCAATACCACCATACAAAACGGGGCGCGGAAAAGCGATGCCACCCTTGGCTCTCGAGCCAAGTCTCCCTCGGAAGAACTCGAGCGCCAGCGGGATTACGATACGCGGCTCACGCATCGCATCTGGGAGCTGGCTACCACGAATGCCAACCCAGCCGTTGATCTGCTGATCTGTCTTGAGCGTCGGCAGACAATTGGTTTCCGCTACGTCGACATCACCCGGTCGGTGGTGATCCAGCATGGCAGCAAAGATACCCGCGTGCCGGTGGAAAATGTCCAATGGCTGGGCAAGACGATGCGGCGCTGCGAAGTCCGCATTCTCGAAGGCGAGGGCCACGGTCTGATGGCCTCTGCCGGCGTGATGGGCGGTGTCCTGACGGAGATCGCTAAGGAGTGGGAAGACTGGACGACCATTGTGCAAGGTAAACGCAAGCAAAATGCTCAGAATTCCGCGCGCCAGGGGCTGGCGATTTCTACATGATCCGATTCGACTTATCACATATCACCTTCGTTTGACAGACAGTACCGCTGCTGGACCCGCGGTTTGATCTGAGCCTACTTTCCTTTTCATCCCATCTTACATACATACATACACATAATCCTGTCTATCTGTCTAATGACTGTCTGTCGATACACCCAAAATGTGTAATTTAGCCAAATACCCCTGTTAATTTATTTGTTACTTGCAATTCCGCCTCTGCGTAGGAGTACAGCATCGGGTCCCATACTGGGATTGCTTGATGGGGTTGGTCAGAGGAGTTCGTTCATATGGGAGGACGGAATGCATATTCTCCTAGAGCACGTCCGGGCGGCAGGCGCAATATAGTTTATTTACTATGATCAGAGCTCTATGCGTAGTTCTTCTTCTAGCGGGAAATCCGTCATTAGCCATCGGAAGTTGTAGGAGAAAGAAAGTACGTAGATGGAATTTGGCAAAACACACTGTTTTCCCGACTCACTACCTATACCCCAGTCCGGCACCACAAGCATCGCAGGAGCCTAGCCTATTTATCTAAAAAAAATCGGTGGCCATTCATTACTTAAATTATCTATCTATACCTACCAATAGATAGATAGACCTCTGACGGGGCAAAAAAAAAAGAATGTTACACTTTCCGATGCGGGGAATTGAACCCCGGGCTACCGTGTGAGAGACGGTGATGTTACCACTACACCACATCGGATGGTTATTGTAATCGACTCAGTTAGCATCAGCCTTAAACCTGTCGGTAACTATCATCATCAGGAGCCCCTAATCTAACATCATCATCCCCACGACGTACTACACAGCTCACCAGCCATCAATCAACCTCGCCCCTGCACCCCTGGAATCACCCACAATCTCTTAACTAGTTATCTTCCGGCCATTGCGCAGCCCAAATGATCAGTCTGGGTGAAGCTTCGTCACACTTTCCGGAGGCCTCATTATCTTCCTGAATTACATCCACCACGATGTTCTCCCAACGGCGCCTCCGCCTGCTCCTGATCACCGTGGTCGCGGTTCTCTTCCTGACATTCTACTACTCGGTGAGTAGTTGCACTCCCTGACGCACTCGGCTGATCGTCTAATCAATGCGATTTGCGTTGCCTCCACAGGGCGATGCAAGCAAGGTCCAGAACCAAACGTTTTACCGAACCACACTCTCGGCCATGAAGGCACAGGAGGCCGCGCGACAGGCTCAAGCACAAGCTGAGAGCGCGCCCATGCACCGGCCTGCCGATAGTGTCGACGAGGAAGTGAAGAAGCCGGCTGTCCCTCTTGCTCAGGGGGGTACGGGGACGGGTGAAGACATGGAAGAGATCTCCATTGCGGGACGGACGAAGATCCAGGTCTCGAAGAACCGCGGAAGTGATGCGAACGAGGACACGTCCGCGGAGTCCGAGGAGCAAAAGGCCGCGGCTGCTGCGAAGGAGGAGCTGGATACGATTCTGAAGCAGGCACCTGGTATGTTTTTACTCTCCGATCTCTAACTACGATTGATGGAGTCTTGGCTGACGAGAGATAGTGATTATCTTCTCCAAATCGTATTGTCCGTTCAGCAAGAAGGCCAAGTCGATCCTGCTCGACAAATACGATATCACCCCGAGACCGTTCGTGGTCGAACTCGATAACCACCGGATCGGCAAGGATCTCCAGAACCTGCTGTGGGAGACTACCGGGCGAAACACGGTGCCGAATGTGATGGTGAACGGGAAGAGTATTGGGGGAGGCGACGATATTGACGCAATGGACTACAGCGACGAGCTGGCCTCGAAGCTGCAGACGCTGGGGGGAAACTGGCTTCGGGAGGTCAAGCGGGTAGCGGCGTAGAGCATCAGGAATCATTGTATTGTATACTACCACCGCATTTATTCTGCCAGGCGGTGAATACCATCACATGACCCCACAACCCTAAAATATCTCAGTAAGCGAAGTCCCGTGACCCCGGTCGATCCACACCATTCGCTCTTCCCGATTTTTGATCTTTTCGACCATCGACCACCCTCTCCCGCCCAACGCACCCAGTCAGCCAATATGCGGTACATTCACTCCGAGGAACGGCTGCCCATCCCCGACGATGGTGAGTGTCGTGTGTTTTTTTTTTTCGCAGCAGCAGGAGGAAGGACAGTCTGGTTGTGTGTGGATTGGGCCGCACATTCAATTCGGCCCTTGAAATCTTGGAGAACTCGGTTGCAACCTGTCAACGAATGTCTCTGGGAATTGCAAGATGGGCGAAAGACTGTGGAATATTGTGTGGTCACACAATATTTGTTGTGCCAAAATTGAAGGACCGGGCTGATTCGATCTTTTTTCTCTCCTTACAGTGAAGCTTCACATTCGTTCGCGGATCGTGACCGTCGAGGGCCCCCGCGGCAAGCTGGTCAAGGACCTGTCCCACCTGGCCGTCACCTTCGGCCGCCCCGAGAAGAACGTGATCTCGATCGAGCTGCACCACGGTATCCGCAAGGGCGTCGCTACCCTGCGCACCGTCCGCACGATCATCAACAACCTGATCATCGGTGTCACCCGCGGCTTCCTGTACAAGATGCGCTACGTGTACGCTCACTTTCCCATCAACGTCAACATCGAGAAGAACCCCGAGACCGGTGTCGCCGAGCTTGAGATCCGCAACTTCTTGGGCGAGAAGTACGTGCGCCGCGTGACGGCCCAGCCCGGTGTCGAGATCATCACCTCGCCCAACGTCAAGGACGAGCTCCAGCTCTCTGGCAACTCGCTCGAGGGTGTGTCGCAGAGCGCCGCCGACATTCAGCAGATCTGCCGTGTCCGGAACAAGGATATCCGGAAGGTAAGAGACCCCCGCCGTGGTTCTTCTCCGGACAAAAATACTGACCAATATAGTTCCTGGACGGTCTGTACGTGTCGGAGCGGGGCAACATTATCGAGGCGTAAAGAAGGGCGCCTTGGGTAGTGTCGGGTGTCTGGAGAGCTTTCTTTAATTTCGCCTACTTGCATATAGGGCAGCAACGCGAAATGCCAAAAACGATTCTGAACTTCATTTATTTTGTTGTTGTAATGTCTAATGTAGATGCCACAACCATCTCCCGACTGCCCTCTTTTGGAGCAATGCACTCTCTCCTCTCGAAGGCCTGGCGCGTGCCACATTCGAGATGTCCCCGAGAGGAGAGTATGCACCGAGCTAACGGACCAGAGGCGGCAGTCACCCTTTCCATGTTTATCTGTAGCTCTAACTACTAAACTACATATAGTTCGACCAACGGACGAAGCTGATATCGTCCACGGTATTATACGATAGTCCCTGCGGAAGAACCCAAGGGCTCTGCCACGATCACGTCAGGCAATCTACGAGAAGCGCAGTGGATTCAACAGTAGCAGTGGACACAAAATGTCCGATCAGTGTGGGTTGAAACTCCGTGGTAGTGACACATGTGTACAATGTAGTTAGGGCTGGTTTGGTCATGTCTCTGACGTAGAGCTATCAACATGTGAAAGGGTGACCGCCCACACTTCTCTTCACTTCCACCACCACCACAACCATGGAGTGGTGGCTCGGTCTGTGGAAAATCGTGGTGGCCGTGATCAGTCTGGTGCTAGACGTCGCCCAATTCTGGAGAGACAAGCTGCTCTCTTGGTGGGCCTCCAAGTCTCCCCGCGCCCGGCTCGCCCACGTCCTCGCGACCGCCCAGACGTACGAGGAATGGGAAGAGGCAGCCTTTGAGCTCGACGAGCTTCTCAGCAAGGACTTATGGTGAGTGATGCCATATATCACTACATAATTGACAAGACTCACTCACACCCTCCATCACAGGCGCCAGAACCCCGTCAGCCGACACTACGACTACCGCCTCATCCTCGGCCGGCTCGAGGCAATGATGAACGCCCGCGAGGAAGAAGACATCCTGACGCTTGTTAACCTGCTCCGCTCGGGTCTCGTGCGCAACCTGGGCAACATCACCTCCGCCAAACTCTTCACCCACGCCTATGCCGGCACCAAGCTGCTGATCGACGACTACATCACCCAGGTCGCGCTGTCGATCCAGTATGTCGCCGCGCTGCAGCCCATCCCCGCGCACGCGTCGTCCGGGTTCACCTCGCAGGCGAAGCTGGAGCTGCTCCATGATACCCGCCAGGCCTTTGGGCGCACGACCTTGCTCCTGCAGGGCGGGTCGGCGTTCGCGCTGTGTCACCTCGGTGTTGTCAGGGCATTGCATCTGCAGGGGCTCTTGCCGAGGATTATTACGGGGACTGCTACGGGGGCGATGATCGCGGCGCTGGTGGGCATTCATCCTGAAGATGAATTGTTGGCGCTTCTCGATGGTGACAGCCTTGATCTGTCGGCATTTCATTGTCGGCGGAAATCCAAGCCGGATGGGACGGCAGAAACAGATGGGTGGTTTCGTGCGTTTCTGCGTGGGGTGAAGCATTTCATTCAGAACGGTCATCTGTTTAATGATGATGCGCTGGAAGACTGTGTCCGGGCGCATGTGGGAGACCTGACTTTCGAAGAAGCGTATGCCCGGTCGAAACGCATTCTCAATATCACGGTTGCCACGACAGGGAAGACCGGCTCGCCGAATCTGCTCAACTACTTGACTGCGCCGAATGTGGTGCGTATCCTCTCCTCTCTGTTCTATTTCTCGCGATTTCTCTAACACGGATTGCAGTTGATCTGGTCCGCAGCTGTCGCCTCCAACGCATCCTCCTCAACCACCAACTCCCCCGTCATGATCTACTGCAAAGACGAAACGGGCTCAATAATCCCCTGGACACACACCCAAGGCGCAACCTTCCAACCCTGGCGGCACGTTCACTACAACGACAGCGAATCCCCCCCTCTCCCGCATAGCCGAGCTCTTCAACGTAAACCACTTCATCGTCTCGCAAGCCCGGCCCTACCTAATCCCCTTTGTGCGCTCCGAACTCACTCCCTACGACCGCGACCAGACAGGCATAACACACCTCACCCGCTCATGCACGCGGCTGATCCTGTCCGAACTGCGCCATCGACTGCGCCAACTCGATTACCTAGCCCTCCTCCCCACCTCGATCAGTCGACTCCTCATGGACGAGACAATCCCTGTTCCGAACCTGACTCTCGTACCGGATCTGTCGTGTCGCGATCTGATATCCCTCTTCAAGGATCCGACAAGCCAGCGGATAGCGGAGTGGACAAGGAAAGGCGAGCGCGGCGTTTGGCCGGCTGTTAGTGCGCTGAAGGTGCGTGAGGCGGTGGAAATTGAGCTCGATCGTGGCTATCAGCTTGTAAGGCGTCGTAGACCTAGTGATCTGTCTGTACCGCCTGCGTGGGCGTCGGCGCCACGTCTTAATCAGAATGAGGATATTCCTCGACAGCGGCTGGGATATGGGCAAAATGATAGTGAGGCGAATGGAGTGTCTGGTGCAGAGTGATTCCATTCCCGGTATGGACCCATCGTGCTGCTGATTGTATTCTAGTGAAATAAAAGAGAGTTGAAACGTTCAAATGATACAGTGATTCTCGAAATCGGCTTGACCAACATACACTGAGAAACTCTTTCCTGGTCCCACCGCCAAGGCCTTAGCGCAGATCTTTTATTGACCTGGCCGCATTAAATTGAGGGGCTCAGTAAAATGCGCCGGGTATGTTACAGAATTACAGAACAATGCAATGTAAGGTTACACTATGCATACAAAAGACAACTCATGGAATTCTATGGAAACCTACGGACGACGATGGCCTTCCAGAAATGCCAATAGATGAGGGCACACAAGCACGGTCAGGGCGGATTCGCAAGCAACCGAGGTTACCTGATGGATTTCAGATTGATTTAAGGTAGTCTATATAGTATGAAAATAATAAATTGTGTCTACAAAATTGAGAACTTCAATAATTAATGATTACACTGTGATTACTCGAAAAATACAAAGGAATCCGCATAAATAATGCACGCTCAAAAAATTCACGAGGCTTGGCATGTTTGGTCTGTTTCATATCCTCTGGATATCCTCAAATATCCAGAGGATATTGGGTGGCATACCATATCCGCAAAATTGAGGATTGAGGATAATGGGTAGCATACCATATCCGCAATTTGCGGAGAGGATATGTGGATATGCGCGGATATTGAGGATGTTGCCGCAGTCTATCTGTAACCAACAAGCCAAAGCTTACAAAGCTACTAATAACACTGAATTCCCCCTCGCTTCTCCTGGAACGTCATCCATGTCCATGTCGCGAGATCAATCACTGTGTTGTAGAACTGGACGGATACTGCATGTCGTATTTCACAATAGATCAATATCATATTTGAGGTTAGAATTCGAGAAAATACCCATATTAAAAGCGTTTTCTATTTTTGAGACCCCATATTTTCTGAGAAGATCGTTCAAAACAGATAGCGACGACGTGTGCCTATTGATCCCTGAAATCTCATTCGCGGTAGAAACATAAAATCTTTCCGAGTACTTTCACATGTGTCCACTTCAACTAAAATTACCTAGGAGATTGTTTACAAAAAATTGCGGATCTAGGCATCGCGTCGTGGGCAGAGTAGCTAGCGGGGAGAGCGTCGAGTGACCCGAATACGGTAGAGGATCCGTGCGTGGCCACAAAGACAATCGGAAGTTGGCGGCCATTGCTCCAACCGCGGTTTGAGAGATGATATCCAATATCTGTCCACACACTCGGCATAAATTTCCTATGACTGTTTCAACTCGGGGCAGGAAGAACAGATGCTCCCCTACCATCTCGCCGGTTAGCTGATCAAGCCGCGCAAGTCGGAACTCCACCCAGTACACCTCCTCAGAAAGAAAGAACGCTGATATATAAAGGAAAAGGTCCTCAGTCCGAATAGAGGCAGACACAGGATCCGGACCGGTCCACTGGAAGCCCGACTCGTTCTCGTGGTTGGGGTGGAAGAAGCATTCGACCAAGGAGGGGCTCTGAACCTCATATCCTGCAGGCATAGTTACATTCGGGAAAACTAGCCTAGATTGATCGTGGTCGTCGGCGAGACAGGGAGGTGGCGTCGGTATGCCAGAAGACTCTCGCCAGACTGCGTGAAGGTCGAGATCCAAATCGTGGTCTACGTTATTGTGAGCACAGGCTGGACGTAACGTCAAGTGAGTGGTACGAACCATTTTGAACAGATCTATCCATCTGCTCGATTTTTTGCCGTCGTAGCCGTTGTGTTTGAACTGGCAATACAAGGATAACTGGAAGCTAAATGAAATGCCGGAGGCCAAGCAGACTTAAATAATTCTTCGCAACTTGGCAGAGACAGAAGTCCACAAAACCGTATTTTAGATTTTCAGGAAACTAGTAACGGAGATCTACTAAACAGACTTGAAGCGTTGGTACTTCGTCACTAGGGTCAACGAAAATTCACCGTCAGTCGTATGGACGCCTCACCGATCATGAACGCTGAACTTGACATTGAAAGCTCGTCAGCCTGAGAACACGAGGGACCAGTGGGATCACTCCAGATTTCCCCTCTCCACTACACTTGATACCACCCCGAATCTTCATCACGGCCTATCGATCCGGTAGACCCGTCGTTCGCTCGCTTTTAAGAGTGTGGCGACATCATCATGAAGGGCATGAACCGCTCGTCTACGATCCCACAACACCTGCGCCTGTTCGTTGCAGCACTGTGGGAAGAGATCGTTATCGCATATCAGCCACTCGTTTGAGTCTTGAAGCTGTCGCTGCTCTTCCTCGAATCGTATCTTCTTGGCAGATTTAATGACGTAGCATTCCCACAGACACAAATACAGGTCGAGAAGGTTGAGGGCTGGTATGGCTTGCCAGTAACGTCTCGCATTGTCACCCCTTTCTGATATCAGCGCCAGCGCATTGAGGGCACTGAAGTTTCTTGGACCACAAATAGCTTCACATATCTTCCACAGCGGTGTCTCACGAAGATCTCTCAGAATAAAGTGCGGTATTCCAGTGCACATATGTGGAAAAAGCTCGACGCTAGGTCTAGCGTTCGCGGGTAGGTGCTGGTAAGTTGCGCCATAGCCTTCAACATCACCCTCCAACATTTCTGGACATATGAATCGCGTGATAGTGGATTCAGACACATAACCATCTAAGACTCTAGTCAAGAGAAACCAGACTCCGTAGAGAAGACAACAGTTTCGACTCATCTCGTGAGGTCGATACGGAAAGAATGAATTAATGAGGAAGAGTCCACTGCATGATGACGAGGGGAGATGAGGGATAGAGCATAGAGCCACACACTTGAGATGTCGTCACTACTTTCCAAAAAATAAAAAATAAAAAATGGCAACAGGAGATGAAGTATGAGGGAAATACAAGCTTTCTGCGTGAATGGCAAAGAAAAGAACATTTTACTTACCCACCCCAACTGTGTGCTACAGCAATATTCGAAATCAGATACGTTATATCTCTTTTGATTCTTAGCCCGTATAAATGCCTATTAAGACAGATGGAGACGTCTAGTAGTTAAGCGCAATTGATATTTTTGCATGATTAGGGAGCTTCCGTAAGATCCTTGAGTGCCGTTTCTTTACTATGGTTTGTAGAGGAATTTATCATGTTGGATCAACAGTCCTCCCTGAGAGATGGGTTTTACGGATTCGGGTGACAGAGGCTCGCAGGTAGTCTTTGGGTGCGACTCGGTATCATTCCAAGACTGATTGCTGGTCCCTAGAACCCAGGTGCCAGCGAGGCACTTTTATCAACAGGTCCTCTGCCCCACTCACTACCGTATCACAACGACGAGGATTCTTTTCCGCCCAATTTTCACTTTCGACCGTGCTGAGCCTAATTTAACCTCCGTATAACTGGCGCGAGATAGAGATAGAGCCTTTGCTGTCGACGCGGCTTTGTCGTGAGACAGAGTCCCACAATACATCGAACTTTTTGGCAAAGTCATCCGTATGGGTAGGGTAGATAGAGCAAATCAGTATAGGGCTTCCTATGAGATCCATCGCAAGGGCGACCGTAATTGGTTTCCTATTCTTTCCTTCTTCTTCGACGCGGCGATTATTAATGTTTTCCGAATTCAATATATCTATAGGTGGCAGTAGCCACAGAGTGAGCCACCTAGTCAATTAGGTTTTCGCGAGAAGGACTACCAAAACTACTTGCCTTTGCAGCAGCAAATACAGGCTCAAAACAGTATCCAGAGTGTAAAAACCACCAGCGAATTCAACTAAATGGACAATGAGCTTGTGTATGGTGTCAGTATAAGAGAAAGAGGCAAAAGAGGTATACAGGCTTCATGATCAAGATCTGGTTACTTAGAATGTGGCAGTGTGGCTCTATGCGTGAAAGGTCAATGTTGGCATGAGTTCTATAATAGACCTAATTAGGCAGTCATTACACTAATACATCTGCTTTTTAGACAAGAGCTATGTAATACAGAGCTATAATCCAAGCCTTGTAATACAAAGCAAGTGATTTTAGGTAACCTCGACGTTGACATAGTTACCTCCATTGTTAACATGGACATAACCTCCGACCTTGCCATTGCTTCCGCAAGTATCGATCAACTGCTGGATGTAGTACTCTACGCAAGGCAATGGCTCACAGTAGCTATAACCGTAATCATCATCTTGGCAGAGAACCAGGTTGCATGAGTTGTTCGCGGCGACCGTCTGGCAGCCAGAACCGTATGGCTGGGCACACGGTGTGCTGACAGCGTTGAAAGACCCGCCGAGGCCGAAGGCCTGGCAGTCGCCAATCTCGGGACTAGCGTCACTTGTCTGGCACACTGGAGCATCGGCTAGAGGACAGCCAGAGGGCAGTGCAGGTGATGAAGTAGCCGGGGGAACTGTGGTCGTGGATGGAGGCAGCGCCGGGGTTGGGGGCTTCGACAAGCTTGAGGCCTTCGGCGTGCTTGGGGCATTCGGCGTGCTTGGGGCCTTGGGCGTGCTTTGAGGTGAAGTAGCAGGGGCAGTGGACTGCGGTGTGATTACGGTTGACGGTGTAAGAGGCGTTGATGCTGGGGTCGCTGATGGCTGTGGTGACGGCGACGACGACGGCGGGATAAGCGGAGTAGAGGTCTTGGTCCTGGATTTGAGAGTGCTTCCCATACCATCAGTCACGCTCTTGGTCAATGCCGACCACTGGCTTTCGAGCTTTGCCATGAGAGATGCCCAGGCGGCGCTATCATCCACTGTATCGTCAAAAGAGTCGATAAAGGGGGTTTCGACGACCATCGAAAGTGGGACGGATGTACTAGGCGTGCTGGTGCTCTTGGGACTGGATGTTGGAGAAGATCTCGATGCGGTGCTTGAAGGCGTTGAGGTAGATGGAGAACTCGTTGGTGAATTTGTCGAGTCACTGCTTGAAGTTTGAGACTGGGACTCGGACTGATCTGGTGTGTTCGATGGATCACCATCTGGACCGTCGCCGGGGCTGCTTGGATCGTTGGGGTCATTGGGGGTAGGGTCAGGGAGACTAGGAGGATTGGGCACAGGAATGTCTGGAAAACTAGGACCTGATCCTCCACCACCTCCTCCCCCTCCTCCAGGAGGCCCTCCACAGCCAATATAGCATTTCCAGCCACGCCCATGCGGTCCAACAACCAGTGGAACGATATGACCGCCGGCGTCTGTAGTGGTTGTTGTGGTTGTGCCGGTGAGACTAGCAAAGGCAGGATAGTCCGTCGACGAGTACCGAGGCGTAATTGTGATACTACCGCTAGAGATCACGCTTGACGTCTTCGCTGGAGCAGGCGTGCTGGATGGACCGGGGGTGATTCCCTGACCCGAGGTCGGGATGAGAGGCCGCGACGTAGGATTGCCTGATGGGTTCGTTGAGGTTCCTCCGGGTGTATCTGGGTTGCCTGATAAAGGATTGCCAGAGCCAGATGGACTATTTGGTGAAGAAGGGCCTGACGAGTGCCCAGGCTTATTTCCAGTCTTGCTTGTCGCAGTGGTGGTACTGCCGGTTCCAGTTAAGCTTGGCGAGGTGGTGGTTCTTGAAGGGATGACCGGGGTAGAGCCCGATTTGTTGGTAGGTGTAGACGAGCTTGGCCCTGGGGTCTTGCTGTCTGAATGGGTGAAGGTGTAGGTCACTTCTTCGACGATTTTGCCGTTGCTAGTGTGAATGCTACACGAAGATGGCACTCCCAGCGCGGGGCCAGCAGAGCATGTTGGTGTGGCAGCTACAGCTAGCCCAGCTAGCTGCAAGCTAAACAGCAAAGGCGATAGCTTCTGAATGATCATAGTCACTTCTGGTCGTGTCAAGTCCTGCGAACAAAAATAGTCGTAGATCGCGAGAAGTCGGCAGCAATATGTAGTACTTGGCCCATCAGCCAAACGTGACAATAATAATCCCCCTGTCCGCCTTAGTTTGGTTCCAAATTAAGATCTTGAGCATCTGCATGGTATGTAACTACATAGCCTTGCCGATCCCCGAGTCATGGAACCCACGGTCTACGCAGTGATCAGCAGCTTGCTGGTCTCAGGCTACAATAATGAAAATCTGTAACAGGTTGGGACGGCTCGGAGGACCACCCCGTTTGGCCATTGTGACGATGCCTTTATCGATTCCGAAGATCATTGCTCTGCATTGGAGGCTGAGCTATTTCGTAACTAATACTGTGGAGGCGCTGACTAGAAGCAGTGAACTTTTGGCCCGAGAAGGATGCCACCCCTTGTCAGCCTGATAATCCACCGGGCGAATCAGATGGCATCTAGGACCTTATTACCCCATATTGGGGCTTGAAATGCAGTTTGTATCGCAACGGGTCGAGGGCCAAAAAGCCATGTGGGTACCTGCTTCTCCACATAATTATGTACCCTGACCCACCTGAACTAGCGTTGGAAGCCCCAGGCACAGGCAAAGGACGCCACCACCATTGGTTGATAACCAGTTGCATGCTCTCCACGATACTGTACGTATGAGACTACGAATATACACAAACTTAATTAGCTTTGGAGCTGGTGGCGCATTTTAAGGATTATTTATTTTTGGATAGACAGGCCTCCAGCGTGAGGCTGAAGTTAAGACGCCACCTCCCTTTTGAATAATAGCCACACTTTGTAGGCTCCCCTTAATCATTAATAGTGATAACGATTATTATGAGCTACTATTTATATTATTATAAGATAGTTCCCACATTTAGGGAAGCCCTTACTGTCAGCCGTGGCCTTCTCGTTGGCGTTAGCGATTCACGCGTGTGTGGGCCCCACCATCCTTGGGGCCACGTATCCAGGCCCCCGAGGCAATGTGAAAAGTTGTGATAACGCTAGAAATAAAAATTCGGCCCTGAAGGGCCTACATACTAGAAAAATACACTAGCCCTAGAGGGCGTACTAAGCTCAAACAATACTATTTTAAGCAATATTGTCAATAAAATATACCGCTAGACCAAAAAGTGCCAAAGGCGTCCACGGCGCGTCTTCCACGTATCCTTTTCTCTTCCTCTGTAGGATACTAGGAGTCGAGCACAGGACGGCAGGAAATAGTTAGAAAGAGACCTTAAGGGACTTTCAGGACGAAGCACCCGAAGCAAAAAAAGCGTTGCGCTAATTGACGAGCACTCCTTCGATCTTATATACATGCACATGATGGCAGGGGCATTTCCCCTGCTGGAAAATCTATTTAAGAGGGCCTGACGATGTTACACGAAGAGTAACTCGGATACCACCACTTATATGGGGCTTAATAACGAATTCACTAAATCGTTCGGAGCTTTTTCTGGCAAGGCGCTGGTAGACCGGTTGTTCTCAAGATTTCTGCCCTTCCGCATTCCACCAGGTGCGGTCGAAGAATGCTGCCAGAGCAAATAAGCGGTAGCTGTCTGCATTATACAATTGGGCAGACTTAAGGCCTTCGTCGCTTTTCGCGGCAAGTAAGGCGCAATTGGCCCACCCATATGCACGGTTGCCCCCGCGGGTCAACTTGTCCACAACTAAAAAGGATGTTAGAGCTATCACTCGTGGTTTCCTTTCCAAGTTGCGATCACTTACTTCCTTTGTTGATGTAATGGAACATTTCGTGCTGGAAATCCGCCCCTGCCGTGTTAAGGTCGTCTATCTTCTGCCCACTTGTCCATGTTGATTGCTGGGTCAATAGGTCGGCGAGGGTGCTATCCTTGAACGATGAGTCGCACATGGTGATGTATTTTTTGTGCGGTATGGTCAGACCTTGGGTAGTGCCATCGCAAAAACCCGTTTGGGAATAGTCGTGGCCGTAAACAATCGCATCTGTCATAATGGTCTCACTTGTCATTTGGTACTGGCCTAGCACCTTCTGAGAGAAGTATTTCGAAACGAATTTACCACCTGCGTCGTAAAAGATTGTTAGTTTGCATAGCCAAAATACTCCCCAAGAACTCAAGGTGCACGTACCATTTGGGAGCTTCCATGGCCTGTCAGGATAGCCCAGAGCTTTCCAATCGGCAGCATATAACCAATCCCCTGTTCCACAGGACAACTTTCCGTCATCGTTGTTGTTTCCGCTAAGCAGCTTGGCGTTGGCTTCTTCGTAGTACTCTGGGAATTCAAGGTCAGAATTATCACACAGTATTGTGAGCACCTAATTGACGCACCTTTAGCCTTATTCAACATGGCTTTGTCGTCGTCACTGAACCGGATCCCGGCTCCCGTGAAGCCAATATCTGGCATCCTCCAGACACCCCATATGGCCGCGGCTATCTGTGAGAGCCGTCCCTCCTCTCCAAAAATGGAAAGTAATTTGTCTTGTGTGAGGGTATCGAGAGCTTTGATAGCTTTGTTGTTGAGTGTGATAGCCTCCTGAACCATCAAATCTACGTTTTGCTCGGCACAGTTACCATCCGTCGGGGAAGGAATGGTTCGGAAAATGTCTCCAGCTCCGACAGCTAGGACTGGCCTGGTGAAAAGACTGGCACTAGCCAGGACCGATGCGAAATGTAAGAGCTTCATGACGACAGGATTGAGGATGTGACGAGAATGAAGACCCAAGCAGCAGTGCAGGCCAGGAGGATATGGGCATCTTTAACCCATTATGCTTACTGAAGATCAGCTACTCAGATCGCCCTGCCCCTGAGACCAGTATCGAATTGTAAGGCTAAGGATCCTGCGAGTCATGTTATCCAGGACTTGGGGGCCAGTAGCGTGGACTTCACAGCCTTGTTGTGGGACGCTGCAATAATACTATGTGGAGCTAAAGCTACGCATTATTTTTTATCACAGACCGCGTTGCATTGATCCACCAAACTAAAATGTAAACAATCCACTCCGTGTCGTGCTGTCACTAAAATTGGTAGACATCGTCAGGCCACAGGCTGTCAAGGTCTGTCAGCCTCATGGGAGCGAGACACATCTCGTTGCGCCTCATCAGATCTGCATCAAGTTGTTCGTGTGCCACTGCAAATGTCGCGATATGAGCCTTGCTCAAGTGGTGGCCTGCTTATCGAGGTGACCTATCGGTATACATTGACCCGTTCTATAACCTCCTCGTCCCCGACGCAGATAAATTTCGTGATTGCTACGGCAGGTAGGGCGGCACCTCTCAATGGCTAAACTCAGCAGCCAAGAGACTCAACTCTGCAGATAGGCCTCTCTAGGACGGAACACCCTCACTTCTCGACCATCGCAGAGCTCGATTCCGCTCATGGTGCAACCCAAGTCGACTCCACTAACTAATTATCCTCGCCGGACCCCTACCACCATTATCTCTTCTCCATTGCCCGCGGCCCATTTAGACAGCACCATCAAACGCAGCTGTAAGCACAAAGGGACTACATGTGGATAGGGCTGCACTGACCAAGGAGGAGCAGAGCCAGGGCTGATCTAAGGCGCCTCATAATACGCCCATTCTTGCCCACCATCAATATGTAGATCTTTTCCCTCGGTGAGTTCGTTCTAGTCTTCAAGACCGTATGAGTTGAATTAGTATGTACACATACAACAATAATGATATAGGCTTTTTCTTGCCGCGCATGTATCTTACAGTTCAAAAAAAAAATAACGAAGCCATTATCCAATAATGTCTAGCCTCGTTTGGCCTTCCGCAAAGATACTATGGATCGCAGATCCTTTGCCTGAAGGGTACAATACTCCGTACTCTGTACTAATATATACAATAGCTCCTATTTCTTTCGAGGCTGGAGCGTAGATCTTTGGGTTAGCGTCTCCGCGGAGACGGGAGTACATACCAATCACATTATCGCCACAGGTCGATCAATATTGACTAATGGATCACATACCTATTTATAGTCACTCATGCACGACCCTTACAACCTTTCCCGCCCCCATCATTTACCTATTGATAGTTACCTATTCCAAGTCTTCTGCCTATGCACTGATGTCAGTGATCAGCGGTCAACTTCTGAAGGCTCCCATGCATTATTGCTGTTGACACATTTGCCTAATAGTTTTAGTTAACTATTAGTACCACGTATCATTTATCAACCGAGGTTAAACGTTCCACCGTCGCCTACACAACCAACTTCATTCAACGATCAACCAAAGACCGACATTCTGAACCCGCCAACCACCGCGACCTACAAATGGATTCCAAAGCCGCAGCACCTCATGAGCTGCCCACCGATGAAGAGGGATGCAATAGGCTCATCGAAAGCGTGTCACAGCCGAGTTCGTTAGTGCCTGTACCAGTGATCCCACCAGCACCAGCAGGCGCCCCCGAAAACATGCAGAGGGACTGGGAACGTGAGGCCTTGAAAGCGTACAACGGTCCGGGTCCACTAAAGACCATCCTGTGGAACTACAAGAATCCCGTGGTGTGGATGAACGCACTGCTCGCGGTGATCATTTTGGCAATTGTGGTTTCACAATGGGGCCGGCTGTCTTTAGCTCTGATGGCGGCGGGGCTGCTGGTGCTATTTGTGGTTGACTTCAAAATCTCGATGTATGTATTTTGGGGTTTCTTATTCACACTGGTAACTCGAGGTGGTGTCGCTAACCGTGTCCTTAGATGGATCCTGCGCAAACGCCCATTGAGACGTAATTTTTTCACCGAGTGGTTGGCGGAAAGAGGCGTCAAACGGTGAGCATGATTGAGCCAAGTCAATTGTGCCTGGCTTATTGCTGCTTATCGCCGATGGGATCATCTGCGTCAGACGTGTCCATAATTTTTAAGTATCAGATATAATAATTAAAGTAAGGACCGACCTAGAAGGCCTTGAGTACAAATCATGTAAGGAAGGCCACCTGGCGCCAAATATGTTGATGATCTGGTGGGAGACCTCCTTTCTCTTTCCTCCTCCTGTATAGCGGTCCTTGTCATCACTTATCAGGGTGTCTCTTTGGCCCAAAGAACCTCGAGCGATATCAGCGGCAAACGATCGGTCCTTGCCAGCTGTCGGTTGTTTGCAGGCGAACAACTGCCTCAACGGCTCCTGATGGCGTAAGCCTCTGCTAATAATCGCTGACTCTTAATCTGTCGTTACACACAAGATCAAGCCTATTAAACTCAATATAAGGACTCTATGAAGCACTGTCATCATTTCTCAGTTCCGCCAGGTCATAAACCTTGTCTGGTAGCTCCACTCCCTTCGGGGCCGTTAAGATGCCAAATTCGTAGGTGAACCCGCATCCTGTGTCGCTCTTTCCGTAAAATCCAACAATGACTTCGCCCTCTACTGGTTCCAGGATCACAACATCAAAATCATCCTTCTGATTGCCGCCATCAGAGCTTTCACCATTATCGCTGTCATTATCTTCGTCATCGCCATTGCTTCTAGTGTTGAGACAACCCCAAGCATCTCCGTTGCTTAGGGTCATCCGAATTCCTGATAAACTTCCCCATCCGTCGTCTTGCTTGCAAATCTTGACCTGGATAATATGCTCGTCAGCAGGAATGTCATGTCGCTCCGACGCGTGCCCACCAAACTGGTGGGGCTGTCCATTGTCCTTGTTCTGTGCTGGGCCACAATTGGCGTGCTGCCCATCATCGTAGTGAACGACTGCTCCATCCATGGTGCATCCAACCCGGAGATCAATTGATGTGGCACGGTGCAGTTTGCCATCCTTGCCACGGTGGTGAAGAAGCATGGCCCATTTGATGAAGTCGCCTCCTTCGGCTGATTCCAGAAACTGCGATCGAACTGATTGCTTTTGCAGAACCACGTCACTGTCCGGGATCAGGACATAAGGAAGATCCTCCGTGATGCTTAAGGCATTTAACCTCTCTACAAGTTGCCGAGTCCTACTGTGATCTGGGCCAAATGCCCTCTCGTAGCCTGCCAATGCTCGCTGGTACATCTCCTCTGCCTCCTTCAGCTTCCCCTGATCTCGATAGAGAAGACCAAGGCAGTTGACTGCAATCAGAGTGGAGGTGTGATCTGGACCAGAGTCCTTCTCGTATGCTGGAGTCGGTGGTCGTCTTCTCGAGTTGTTCGCTATTCGAAGGAAGATAGGGGCTAGGAGCTGGTTGTCTAGGTAGATAGGATGCGTTGGTTGAGGGGGAAGTGTGTCGGCGGATTCGAGATGTTGTTTCAAGTCGCTGTAGATGACCTGCCATATGCAGTCTGCCGTGTGTAGTTGCTTCGTTTCTTGAAGAGGCACGCGCTGGAAGCTGTCTAGGCGTTTGGCTGACTGACAAGCAAAGCAGCAAGCCAAGCCGCCGCCGCCATTTGGGTAAGGCTGGTAGTGAAAGTCGTTTTGGGCCAGTTGAAGCGGAGTGACGCCATTTAGCACTTGTCCTTGGAACGTCAGAGCTCTGGCAGCGATGGTGGAGTAGGTGGTCGATATGAAGAACTTTTCGTGGACGGTACGTTGCGGGGTAGATCGCTCAAGTGGAGTGGCGGGAGTTGCGGATTTGGAGAGAGAGGATGGTCGGCGGAGGGGTGGGAAAGGCTTCCTGCCTGCCCCGGGGTATGGAAGCTGAGGATTCATCGCGCTAGGCCTTCTACTGTACAGTCGCGCCCGTTATTGCGTACTGTCTTGTTCGAGCTGTACTGTAAGGGACAATGTGGGCAACACTCATGGTTCTTGGATTTCAGATAATACATGAGACCTAGTTTCGTATGATCGTATGATACGAGATTTCAATATGATTCGGTTCTTGGCGTAAGGCTAAGAAAGATATAGACTAACTTGTTTCAAACCATGGTTCGAGAATGAACCCCTATGTGTAAGTGGTGAAACTAATTTCGATCCATCCTGTATACGAGAGGAGACATTGTCCTAGAACTTCAGATCGCGGAAAATTTCTCTCGCATACTATATCTTTCGCCACCGTCCTGTTATTGAGCGTAACCTTCCACTCGATCAAGTAGTGGATGCAAGTCGGTGGATCCTCGTCAGATGTTCGACCTTCCTCCCAATCACCGAACTGGAGTAACGGAAAATTATTCGTTTGTGATGTAGTTTTTTGTGGAGAGGCGTAATCGACAGGGGAGATATGATCGACGTTGATGTAGCTTATGTCGGACGGGGAGGGTGGGTGACTAACGGAAGTTGCTAGGTGTTAGTGCATATTGTGATGTTTCACCCTTCGGGTTAAGCGCTACGCCTTTAATCATTATGGCTAATAAGAGAATTAGGAGTCATTTTCTTAGGCCTACTGTAACGATAGACTAAAGGTGAGTGATTATTAGTTGAGGCTTACGCCATTAGGAGCGGCTGAGGGTGTTGTTCGAGTACAAACAACCGCCAAGTAGTCAGAATGGTCGTTGTCCGCTAGTCTCACTTGTTGAGGTTCTCTGGGCCAAAGAGATAGCCTTACACGTGATGTCCAGCACACGCCGCACAGGATGAGAAAGAGAACTGAAGTCGCCCAGAAGATCATTAGGTTACCCGGCACTAGGCAGCCCTCCCCACAGGATTTGCAGATCCACTACAGGATTCCATAGAATTCCGACGTTTTACATGCATAGTGTAATTTTTCGTAGCAGGGTATTGTAACATACAGTACGCAGCGCATTTTACTGCGCCCTCAATTTATGACGGCCAGCTCAATAAATGATCCGCGCTAACGCCTTGGCAGTGGGGCCAGGAAAGAGTTTCTCAGTGTATATTGGTCAAGGCGATTTCGAGAACGACTGTACATGTAGAATAAACACGATAGCTTCTATCCTACACATATTCCCATTTAATCCTCCAGAGCATCCGACTCGGGAGGACCCTTATACCCTGCAACGAACGAGAGTCAGCGACATGCCATGAAAATGAACGTCGATTAACCAAAATCAACAAAGAAAGAAACTTACACTTCCTCGCATATACGATATACCACACGGCCGATATAGCCATAAAACCAACAAACACCACGGAGGCATAATTCATCGACACCGGCGTGACAGGCAGCGCAGTGGGCATGCTGAACAGCACTAGCTCAAAGCCAATCCACGCCAGCGCGAGGGCATTAACAATAAGCCCGACGACGGGTCCACATGTCCAGGGGGCACGGTTCACCTCGGTGCGACGGTGCCACAGACTCAGCGAGATGGGGACGGCGTATGCAACAGCCAACGCGATGACGCCGACAGAGACAAATGCCGTGAAGGCGCTCGAGCTGCCGAGATTGATCAGGCCCAGCAGCATCTGGATGAGAGTTAACAGAACAAGAGACCAAAGCGGTACGCCGAGCCGCTCGTCGACGTGCGCCCATAGCCTCGCGAGCGGGATGGCGTCGTCGCGGGCGCTGGCCCATGTTGCGCGCGAGGCAGCGACGGTGATGCTGATCGAGCAGAAGAGCGTGATTACCAGGACCATGAAGATGAGACCGAGTCCGCCGCCGGGAGTGCCCATGACCCTGTGCAGGATGTAGGGTAGGGCTTGGCCAGCGGGGGCGTTGATGATATCCTTCAACGGCGGGAGGGTGACGCACAGGGGGATAATGAAGAAGAGCCCTGCGATGCCGCCGATGACAATGCAGAGGGATATGGCGCGCGGCACTTTGACGGAGGGGTGGGAGCATTCTTCTGCCATGGAGGAGATCATGCCGATGGCGGAGAAGACGTATGCGGGTGGGAGGAGGCCAATGAAGAAGGTGAAGTTGCCCCAGCCGGAGAAGCTCTTGTCGTAGTGCGAGAGCGCCCAGGAGGCGCTGTGGCGGCCGACGTCTGCTTTGGCGGAGACGGCGATTAGGATGATGAGGATGGTCAGCGCGGTCCAGGTTGCGCAGGCGATGTCTACCTGCGGTAGGTAGCGGTTGCCGAAGGCGCAGATGACGAAAGAGAGCAGGGTGATGCCGTAGAAGATTAGGAGGAGCTGCCAGTTATTGGCGCTCCAGGTTGGGTGGTACATGGAGATCGTGCCCGAGACGAGGGAGGCGAAGCCGAAGTTGACGGAAAGCGTGATGGTCCAGTTCCCGATCAGCCAGATCCAGGCATTGATGAAGGAGACCAGGGTTTTGGATTTTGTTGTCGACAGCTGGAAAGACCAGTAGTATGGCCCTGCAGACGTGGGGTATCGGGATGCCAGCTCGGCGAGGGATACTGCAATACACTCGTCCAGCATGCAGACGACAATCCAGCCAACGAAGATGGAGAGAGGTCCGCCGCCGTAGATGGCGCTGAGGAGCGCGCTGCCCTCGCCGTAGGGGATTGCTGCTATGGCGAGCGACTGGAAGAGCAGCGTGAACATGGACCGGTTGCGGTGCATTTCCTGCTTGTAGCCCAGCCGGTCGAGCTCCTCGCGCTCGTGCACGGAGGCGATGGAGCCGGACTCATGGTCATGGTCTGCGCCTGGTGCTGGTGCTGCTTCTGATGGGGCGATCTTCTCGGCGACTGTCTCGAGGACCATTTTGCTGAAGGTGTTTTCGATTCAACAGAAAAGACGCAAAAGGTCACAGCGTCATGTTTTGCAGGAACGCAGGGGATACCAGGACAATCCGGCCCTGATATGTACTCTCCGATCCATGTGTGCCGGCTTCATTTCCCTGCGGAGAAGCTGAGCTGCTGCAGTTCCTACTGGTCGCACAGGCCACGCGACTGGCAGACCATGCTGCGGAGGTCGACCTGTTATCTCTGGGATGCCGAAATGGCAAAAGGCAGATAGCAGATGCATCTGAGGAGACATCCATATCTCCGAATCCGCAGGCCTTGGCCCTGGCATCGAAAGGAAATAATGTGTTGATTCGGAACAATAGAAGAACAGGCCTTCTCGTAGTCTCGCGATGAGTGATGAGCCTTGAAGTGCTTAATAGTTTGTTAGTTAGCTCGGTACAAAACAACCAGTTCGGTATTCCAAGATAGTTAGCGAAAATGGGCACGCCCGGAATCCGATCAACGAGAGCAGGAACAGTTACCGAACTGGGGTAGCTCAAAGCATCCGGAAAGGATGATAGATGATAAGACACGCAACTCTAAGCCGAATGAAGCAACTGGATGCGGGAAACGCAAAAGACGAGGGGAACAGGATGTCTCCGCATTTGGATCTGCACTCCTTGATCGTATTGCATCCAATGATGATCGAAGATAATTACTGGGACGGGCTGATGATGCCAAAGGATAAAACTGTAGGCAACATAAAGCCAAACAAACTGATGCCATTCATCTCAGATAGAGTAACCAAGTAAGGAGTAGAAAACCACCATTCCAACAGAAGAAGAGGTATCCAAATCATTAAAAACATAAAGACCAAAAAACAAACATTAGTGTTGAAATTACTGAGCCGTCGAAGGCCGGCGGTGCGAGCTGGACGGGCGCGAGCGCGTGCGGAAGCTGAGCCGGGACGACTTGGGCGCCCCCTCAGTCGCCGTCAGAGGAGGGACTGCGCCAAAGTGTCAGCGATTACGTCAAATTAATATCTAGGTCATTCATTCCAAAACTTACTGCTGAATCCATAGCCCTCGGTGGCGGCCTGGCGGTCTTGCGGGTCAATCTCGACGCGAATGGCGACGTCCAGTCCACCGTGCATGTCGGTGTTGCTGAACCCGTCGGCGGCTCGGTGCGTCGTGCCGGCGCCCTGCTCACCTGTGTGCAGCGGAGCGTGGCCATCCTTGGGGAGGTGCTCGAGCTTGGCAGATGCCGGCTCGGCAGTGCCATTGCTAGCTGGGGCGACGCACTCGGTCAGGCATGCAAAGTTACGCGACGGCATGGTCACCTTGTTGAACGAGGCGCTCTTCTCGATGCCGCCGGGTTGCTTGTCGAAGTATGGCATCAGTGTCTCATCCGTTTCGCCATCCAAGTGATGAATCTTGTTTCTCCGGGCTAGCAGGTTGGCGACGGCTTTGGGCGGCGGCTTGTTGGTGATGGCGCTGCTGATGACATTGACAATGAAACGGTGGTCATTCTCGCCCGATACGTTCAGCTTGGGGTTCGAGTAGAAACGACCGACGGCTGCAAGGTGGACATCTCCACTCAGGATGGTTACCCGAATGGAGTGAGATCTCGCGAATGCCTGCAGACGTTGGATGAGCATCTTGCGCTCGCGCTTGTGCTGGCGAGCCGTGTAGTGGTCGTCCAGATCGTCCAGCAGATCGACCTGGCCGTCAAACTCGTTAAAAAGGCCACCCGCCACGCCGAAACGTTTGTTCAGCAGGCGGATCGGCGCAATGACGGGAGAGGACAAAATATTCTCCAACCATGCCAGGCGCGGGTACGCAATCGGGACACCCAACAAGACCACCAGATGCTTGATGTCGCCGTTGGCGGCGGCCACCTCGCTCTCCAGCCGAGAGAAGAGCGCATCGTACGTCTCCGGGTAGTTCACCTGGTGGCGGGTGCGCTCCGTGCGAGCATCCAGACCACAAAAGGCAATGCGCTTACCGAAGCGCATGTAGAGACTGCGGCTGACCTCTTCGACATAGGGGCCCGGCCGCTTGCCGAGGATCCAAGAATCGTCCTCTTGCTGGTTTTCGAGGACGTAGGTGTTCTCCAATTGGCGGGGGTCAGTGCCAGAGGTTCCATTCACGGCGTGCATGGTCTGTGGGGCGTCCGTGGTGAAGGTCGACCTGGGAGGAGCGATATGGTGCTGGAACAAGCAGTAGTACTTGAACGCGACGCCACCAATGCCGCGGAAGATGGCACACTTCATGAAGTGATCGGTATAAGACCCGAACCCGTCAATAATGTCATGATCATCCCAGATGTTGACTTGCGGAATCTGTCCATTGGCCGTGCGGAAGGGCTCGGTATTGTACCAGCGCACGTAGTTGGCGTAGTAGAAATCGTCACAGGCGGCGCGCAGCTTTCCATCAAAGTCATGGGTGCGTCTCTTGTGCGGGTTAGCAATGGCCGTCCACTCCTTCAGGGGTCCATCCACCCGGATGCTGTCGTTGTAGATCTGATCACCGCCACCGACCATGACGTGGAAGGGCTTTTCGCCGTGGACGCGCATCACGTCGTTCCACAGATTCGGCCCGACCCAGGCGTTCATGTCGGTGCCGACGGAGAAGCCATTGCACGAGTGGAACATGATGCGCATGGACTGATCGGCTGCCGGGACTACAAAGCGCCAGGGCGCCTTGACCGTCTCGCCGGACTCATTGTACAGCCCGGGAATATCGTACTCCCAGCGCGCCTCGTACGTCTCCACAGGCACTGCCAGATTGAACCGCCAGAAGGCCTTGTCTGGGTCTTCGTAGAGCTTGAAGCCCTGGATCTGGGTCGTCTGGGTGCTATCGGCTTGGGCCTCTGCAGACACGGCGCCCACCTGGCGCAGCAACAGCCGGGGCTGCTCCTGGTGCGGCTTGGTGACGATCAATACACTGCCATGCCACAGCGGAGAGTTCTCGAGGTGCATGTTCTTCAGGTTGATGAGCGGGCCCGAGATGAGGGCAATGCGGCCGGACGCGTCGCCATTGGGAGCGGTCCCTATCAGGGGAGAAATGCGATCAGCTGTGTTTGGCGTATGGGGGGAGGCCAGCACGTACCGGTAACCGGGGGTTGTTGGGCAGAGTCAGCCATGGTAGCGACGCCTGACGCGACTCACGGATGACGGGCCGGAAAGGGGGAGGAATAGGCAAAAGACTGGAAAGTCAACAATGGTCGGGACCAAAAGAAAACAATTGAGGTCGAATGAGGGAGGGGGAGGAATGGAAGGGGGAGGAGACAGAAGGGGAGGAAAAGAATCAATCCGAGGGAGGGAGAGTAACAAGATCCCCCGATCGATAGGGCTGAACTGGGCAGTAGCCGGTACCCAGCGACGCACCGTGACTTGGCGGGTTGAGGAGGTACCGAGTACATTATTCACCTGTAGTTTCCGCCCATGACGCTGCCAAGCGCGACCATCGCCGCACCAAGTGGACCAAGTGGACTAGCTGCGCCACTACGGACTGCATAATCGGGCATACGATTGGCGACAGATGTGGCGGTGTGCATGCTATGAGTTGTTGGGAGTAATCCTCGTACAGGTATAGAGCGCCGGAGTATAGATGTAGTTCGTCTAGGTATAGTGGTACAGTCGGAAACCATGCTCAAATACTCACTCATCCACGATAGAACGAACCATGGCTAGGGCCAACTAATTAATCCGTAGTTCCAGGATCTGCAGCCCCGTTGACCTCCCGATCGCCATGCAGCTTCCCCACTGCCAATCAGGCACCCTCGATAACTCATCCCCAGAACCAGCATCGTCAGCGCAACCACGATCAGCGAAATGCTCACTCCCAAGGATGATCGCCCACAGGCCGGAGCTGTGGCGGTGCCTGCGGTGGCGCCAGCTGAACTCTGGCTAACACCTTCCACAGCACTCATCTCGTCCCCAAAGAACAACTCCGACGCCACAAACTCCTGAATCTTGTGTCGGCGGTACTGCCTCGCTGTCCAGCCCTTCCGCGAGCCAAACCACGCCTCGCACGACGCCCGCTGAAGCAACCGGCGCAGCTCATTCTCAAGCGGCTTGTACTCAGCTCGGAACTGATCCGCACTCTCATGCCACAGCAGATCGGCAAAATCATTCAGAAACTGCGCAAACTGGATGGCGACGACCAGGTCCAGTCCCGCGGGGAATCCACGCTGCGTCTCGCGGAAATGCCGCAGCAGCCCGCTCCGAAAGATCTGCGGCCGCTGCTCGGTGGCGTACTCGAGCATGTCGATGAATCGCAAGACATGAAGGTCGATCACACGCTGACCCTGCTCCCATACTTTCCAGAGATCGGTCGTGTCAGGTGCGTTCTCGAATAGGTATCCCAGCAGATGGTGTCGCTGCAGATCGAAACCCAGCAGCAGTTGTCTGTGCGAGAACTCCTTCTCATAGCTTGGCACGGGCAGACTCACGAAGAAGATCGTGGGATTCGTGCCCGCCGGTGCGCGGGCAAAAGTGTCCTCGGCATCGCTGAGGTCGTCGAAGCTGAGATGCTGGAATCCATCCGCTGCCAGCAGCCGGGTCTCGTTGAGCCGAGTCTCCCCGTCGCGGCCGCGCTCGATCGCCGTGAGGTATAGGTAGTAGTCGATCACTCCCCACGGATGACTGACAAAGCGACGTAGCTGCGTCCTCTGGTCGTCCGGGCTTGGGCTGCGGCTGCTGCGGGATCCGGGACTGTCAAGGTCCTTGATGTCCATGTCCCAGTTAATGGGGGGCTCGTCTACCTCGTGTGTAGCCTGTTTCATGTCATTAGCGCTCCTGAATAGAGAAGCGTCTCGGGCGGGGTTACTGACTGTGAATATTGAAGACTGCATACTTCGGTCGATATCTAGACCAACTCCCACAAGAGAGAGTATAGTATGAAGCCCTTGATTTAAGCGGGACTTGCTGAATGCGCATACTAAAATAGCAATCCAGGAAGAACTGATCTCAATTTATACCTATCCCCATAATGTTACGAGGCATTCACTACAAGACATTCATCCAACATCCATGATAAAATCAGACGGAGAAACCCAAAAATAATCTTCACGTTTCTGAAAATCTTTGAGATCCTTGAAGAAACAAGGTCAAAGGAACCCCCGATCAAGGGTACGTCGGCTTCGGAGAACTCGTCGAGCTAGCCCTAAGCCGGGATCGTGAAACCAGATATTGGCTGCATTCTCAAAAAACCCCCCTCTCAACACGGCCATCTGTATGTTACAGAAATGCCAGGTACCGTGGTTTATTCATAGACAATAGCTTTCGAGAGTTCGAAGGTACAAAGAATGAGGAGGCTTAAAATAGGAAGTGGGTCTTTGTCTTGTTCACAATGGCGGGACATGTCGCAGCCTCAACAATAAGTCTTTGGGGGGGTCTCTCCGCTAGACTCAGCTATTCGGGGGGTCTGTTTGAGATCTATGGTGGTGTTCTTAATTTCATGTTTTCATTGGTTCAGGGCCCTCCGGTTCTTTGTTCGAATCGACCACTTCCCGGCACTTCGACGGTTTGTCTCAGTGGTCTTTGAGGACAATAGATTACAAATCGTACAATTGACAGACCAGGATTCCCGCCTTCCAGCCTAGCAGGTCGAACAAAAATATATGTCGTTATGGTATTTTTAAATCAATATTATGACTATTGTCAGACACGGTTGATCCCGTCATCCGGGATCCACCCAAGATATATATTGGCATCTACACAGCAGAACGAATAGAATGACTAGTACAACCCTCCATCCATATAACCGTAACATGTCTCCAAACAACGACACACTTTCTCTTCTACTTTTCCTTTTCTACCTCCCTCTCCTGATGCACTGACCTCCTTCTGTAGATGTCGTGCTATCAGACGCTGACCTTTAAGGGACCTTCAAAAGACGCGTCAGTGGACCCCTTCTCCACTTCTCGAAGAGGATACACCGTAAACACTGTAGAGTATTAAAAACGATGACTTAATATAACACGAGGGCATTTGGTAAAAGAGATGGTTGATATCTAGCAGTTAAGGGCTAGACCAAATTAATATAGCGATCGCAATTGACCAGAAAAGGAACTGATACGGAGAAGGGAAAGGAAGAGAAAGGCAAGAAGTAGGTGCTGAAGCATAGAAGCGTCAAAATGACAAGAAACAATCAAGGCTAGCTCAGTAGGGAATAGCCCTCAACGGAAAAAGTCTTCCATAGCAGTGACCAGGTATTCAAGGACGTGAGATCAGCAATAAGACCAAAACAGGCCTGCTAGCAAAATTCCACCGACTCAAAAATCCAGAAAATCACAGGCCACCTCCAGAGCAAACTGGAATCCCGCAGCGAGCTTCTTGTTGGGTATCTCCACTTCGGCCCGAGCAGCATATTTCAAACCAGGATTAACCGCCAACATCCCGCTTTGAAGAAAATTGAAAGCAGTTCCAAACGCAGACTTACACCCACCAATTGCCAAGGGGGCAACGGTAGCACAAGCGGATTTTGCCTTCTCTTGACCAAAGTGTAAGAGGTACTGGGTGTTTAAGCCACCACCTATATAGCCAGAATTGGAACTAAAACAAAGTCAGCATTACTGCTTCAGCAGGGAGCTTAGATGATACTTACCAGTACTCCACAAGATGTCCACAAACATAATCCAAGGACGTATCATTCAATGGAGGCAGATGTGCGTTCTGGACACAGGGTTTCTTTGTCTTTTGAACTTGCGTTGTCAAGCTAGACTTGTCCAATGCACCCCACCCAACACTGGGTGTTATTTTTTTATTAGTTGTCCCAGGACAGACAGCAAGCATAGAAAATTTGCCTGCTTCCTCTCCATTCTTGTTGAGAATATCCACCCATCCTGCGTTGCTCCCCGACAAAGTTGACAAGGCATTTTCCATCTCGCTTACAATGTAATTGAAAGCAGTCTCAACAGCGGTCTTGCACCCACTAACCTGCCCTGGAGCAGATTCGTAGCACGACGAAAGACCGTTATTTGGGGTAAAGCTAAAAGAATAGGAGCCGTCTGTACTGGTCATTGTGGTATTGGTGCAACTAACAAAGTTAGTCTGAATAATTCAACGGGTGGCTTAGAAGATGCTTACCCGTTCGCCACAAGAGCTGCACAAGCGCTCTCTATGCTGCTATCTTCCAATGCAGGTTTGCCAGGACAAACGGCTCTACTGCTATTGAAAGAGGCCCACGCAAGGCTGGACTTGTTGATCTGACCCCATCCAACATTCGAGCTGCTGTTGCCTGTAGTTGGTGGAGAAGTCCATGGCTCCGCAGCTTCGTTCAAAATAGCCTTCATGGAGTCTGCATAGGTCATGTTATTGATCGTGTTGTTGTCGGACGATGTTGCCTCCCAGAGCATGATGCCACCAAAAGTTCCCGGATAGAGCGTCATGTACTCGTTGACCAAGGGCTCAACTTGGTCAGGTGTAAGATAATAGCCAGAATAGGCTGAATCCTCGCTTGCAGGCAGACCAATAAACAGGCGGGCGTCCGGGTTGCTGCTTGCCAGAATGACATCAACCCACTCATCATAGTTGAAACCAGTCGCGTTTTGCGCATAATTGATTGCAGCACAGCTTGCTGTGTTGTAATACTGGACCCAGATGTAATCAAACATTCCCTTGTTGATTGTAACCTTCAACTGAGGATCTGGAATTGGGCACTGAGGTGCTGCCGAAAGATAGAACTGACGATCCGGGACGGTAGCGTAAAGAGTCTTGAGTTGATTTATCATCATCGCATATCCTGAGAGAGCACCAATGACTTAGCCCATTCTTCTGCATCATCCAACCTCCATGGAATAGTAAGGGGAATGTGAAGGTGCATACCGAAGCTTCCATTGTGTTCAATGTCAAAGTCAAACCCATCCACAACAGCATCACCAAATGGACGAGGACCGTCAGCCTGGGTCCATTCATCGGTCACTGGGCCAAAGGCGCCCCAGATAAAATTGGCAAAGTCAAGGGCAGACTGGTCACTGGTGATCTCCTGAGTTGCTGGATATGCACCTCCAAGGGAGACAAAGACTTTCTTTCCGGCAGTTTGGCAAACAGGAATATCTTCTGCAAGCTGCGGACAGTCAGAGAGAAACTGTGTCACGTTGCCGTTGATGCTGTACGTTGCAGAGCCACATTGGTTTCCAAAATTGGTTCCGGGATACCCATTGCCCTGGTCCGGGAACACATTGAGGAAGGCAAGGTTGATGATATCCAGAGATGTTTCCCCACAAAAGTGACTCAAGCGTTGCTGATTAGCACCTTGTCCCTATTCAACATTAGCTTATATTGGGATAAGGGAGAACAAATCATACATAGTACACTGCAACATTGGTTAACGGCTGAGGGCTAATGACAGTTGATGCTACCAGAGCCGCTGCCATGTTATTGATAGCCCGATTTTGAAAAGAATGAATAAATGGCCAAGGCCAAGAGAATGATAAAAGTTCTCAACCGAACGAAATCCAAATGAGTGTGAGACCGGACACCAATGTCCAAGTCAATTGACGAAAAGTCGCAAACGTTTGATGGGGCTGGACGCTTTGAGTTCGTTGGAGCGAACCAGAAAAAACTTTTCAGGATAAGACACCATCTATATGAGATCGAAACGGAGCCTTGCCCTGGAGTATCCGAAAGCAACTATGTGGTATTGGGATTAGTTCGCGGCACGGGCTTATTCTCCTAGCGCTGAGAATTTGCGCATAGTGTATCCAAGAGTTATAGTGCTGAAATATCTCCACTACCCAGAGACAATGCTAACTCAGGTAATCACCCACCACGTTTCCAGCGTTTTTGGATATTGTCATGTAATTTCTTAGGTGACTTAGCGCAGTATTAAATCAATCTAATTGGGGTGGGTGGGATTTCGCCTCAAACCTGTTCACTTCCATCTGCCAGCTGATCTAGACCCTCTTACATGATTTGACCTTCATTATTGGTTGAGAATCTAAATTAAAGACCCCCGAGATTTAGCCATTCCAATTGAACTTACTGCAATAGGAAATTGTGCCTGTTGCGTTCTCGGCTTTATAGGTCCTAATCCGTTAGCAGCAGCTCCTCTAACTACACATCGATACGATCCATTCAACTTCCATCGCTGTATTGAGAGCATCCCCTGATCTCACTACTCAATAAAATTTCCCACATTGGTACTTGCGAAGAATACAACGAGAACGAATCTCTTCCCAATTTTGATTAATCTAGGTTTTTCTAGTTTAAATTGACACTACGATTAAAATTAGTTAACACGCCACTGCCCAATCTAGGTACAGCACTGTTATATAAAGTGCTCGCTTTGTATATTCTCGTATCTGCTACGCGACAGGTTCCTAAGTTGACGCGGACCTGCCTTATTCAGGATAGCTCCGAAGGACAGTGCTACTGTGTGGCGGAAAAAATAATTTTACATTCACGCCAGCTGCAACTTTAGTGAAATCTATTCTCTTGGCATTACAAGGCTTTTCAATCTCACACAGCCTGAAGTCATTGAATTCCATCTAACAGATTGGCTAGGGTCATGAGTTGCTTCAGTGAGCAGGTGAAAATGATTCTCGCTGCAGACTGTATCGACCAAAACCTTCCTCTTCCTCCAGCAGTGTGTCTGCTCATTTTGTACATTTCGGCATTTGTGGGATTTTTTATCTTATTCTTTAATAATTTTATTTTTCTCTTTGGAAGCGCTCGACTGGTCGCTGCTCTCCCCACTAAACAAAACAGCCAAGAGGCCAGCAGAGGGACAAATACAGGGACAAATGGAGGGGCAAATAGAAGAGCCAATAGAGGAGCCGACAGGGGCAAAAAGAGGCGCAAACAAAGCGCAACCAGGCAGAGTGGCATTTCCTCGGAGTAGAGAGGTAGAGTAAGCACTACCAAATATCCACTTTTCCCACCCACACGCTCAAGTTCGCACATTTTCCTAATACCTCAAGGCTCCCTAGGTCTTAAGAGGATAATTTTTTCAATCGGAGTTATAAACTCAGGCAACAACTGCCGAGCCCCCACTTTTGATATCCCCCAACCTAGGACCTATCAAGAGGATCCTCGCTTATCCCCTTACGTTTAGCGCCTAACAGTGATTAGAGTAAGACGAAGCGAGTGTTGAATTGTGAAAGACCAGTGGCGCAGCAATTAAATACTGATGCGGCAGTCATATGACTACACGTGAGCCGTAAGAGCTCTATAACGAGATTTCCGATCCCACATCCTCCCTAACTGCCTCCAAAATCTCGCCCTCGAGATTATAAATAATTTTAAAGATCTACTTGTCAGGGTAGACACCTATTGACCAGGTGAAGAATAATGTTCCGCAAGGCAGCGATACGGTAGCAAAATGGTACCGAGATAGGCGTGATTCAGTAGAAACAAGGACATACTGATTCTTGCTAGAATAGCCTAAAACTATGGTTCGTTCGAACTTTCAAAACTAAAGCAGGGCAGGTACACGTAAGCAGCATATGACGACACGTGATACAAATCCTAAATAACCTCAAAGCCCCATCTATAACAAACGACATACCTAAAATCGCTGAGCCCTTGGTCAATCAGTACATGACGCTCTATTCAGGTTCTAGTTGTATACCCTCAACTCTTGTGCGACAAAAGAATCACGTGACGATAGCGATAACTTAACAACCACCAACAGCTGAGCTCCCACTCACTACTCTGACACTCCCCCATACCATCCTTGCTTATATATAACCCCCACCCCGCCACCCCCTCCAAAAATGGCAACAGAATCCCTCCCCATCTCCCCCTCCGCCTTCGCCTCAGCAATCCAAGAGCTCCCCCTCTCAGCCCTCTACGCCAAAGTCTCCGAGCTACGCAACTCCATCGCCCACCTGCACCGTTCCAACGCCGAGCTGCGCACCTTCCTAGCCGAGTCGCAGGACCCGGAGGACGAGAAAAAGGAACTGGAGGGATACGTCGCTGAGAATGAGGATGTGGTCGCTTCTATGAATGTAAGGATAGCGCTGCTCAAGGTGGAGGTGGAGAGGAGGGGTCAGTTGTGGATTGAGGCTGAGGAGAAGGAAGGGGAGGATGGTGATGGCGATGCGGAACAGCAGCGTTTGGCAGATGATACCCTGGTTACGAATGGGGATCATGGGCATGAGCAGGATCAGGAGGGGGAAATGGGGTGTATCTTTGATTGATTCGAAGTCAATACCCCGCGGCGAGAGTGCCGTCTACACAGTACTGCAGTACTACACCCGGATCCGAGAAGATGCATTCAATCAGACCCGAATGAGATTCCTCTAAGGTTAGTCTAATATTCCAGGGGAGTAAGACCAAGTTGAGTTAACAGATGATTCACAGACAAAGCCCAATCGACCGACCCGAAAGCAAAAAGGAAAAGCATGGCCTCCGCCGGACCGATACATGGACCGTGAGTACAAACAAAGTCGCGCCATATAGCACTGCGTCTGCACCCGAAGCCGTGGTACCCGGCTGGGAGAAAGGTATATGATATATGATTAGCCAGGATCCAGAAGCCCCCCAGCGTACACTCGGAGATACGGAGATACTAGGCTCGCCAGGAACATGGGTTCTTCCTCTACATGCTTGAGTCAAGGTGCATCCGCAATGGCACTTACATATAGACCAGGCCGTATTATACCTTTGTTTCAGAGAAAAGGACCGAAGACTTTGATTTTCATGTCTATCTTATTATTAGCTTTGTTGAGCGACAACTCCGTTCCTAGCTGGATAACACAACATGTACTCCATGATGTACACAATGAGCCTCCAGAAGAGGGATGTTAGCATCTGCCGCGCTGTGGTTCAACCAACAGAGATAGACTACATCCACCAGATAAAGTCTCAACCTATGCATTGAGATTCTCAAAATCATGCGGCATACATGCTGGCTGCACCCGCCAGAGGATGTAAAGGGAAAGACATGCAACCATTACCAACGAAGGCGCAAAAAATGCTAGGATTATCACGAGGGAAAAAAAGAAAGAAAATAGTCACACCGCATGCTAAATGCTCCAGGTCCCGGGTCTGTGGTCGTGTATTATCGGCAGATTCGTCCATTTTTTTAATTTCCTGACGGAAAAGAATGACAAGCAAGATCACGAACATAAGACCAACGCCAGGTGACTGAACATGTCATGATCATCAATGGTAATAAACGCTCCAGACCGGTGGAGCTTAGGTGGAGGAGGGTTGCTGAGCCCAGTGGCCGCCGTTGAGTGCCTCCGGGGGAATGCGCTGCTGCTTGATGAACAGGTCAATCAAGGGTTGCATCGGCTCCATCTCCTTGTCGGAGACAAGCTGGTAATACTTGGCGACGGTCACGAAGTGGACAAAGCACATGTTGAGGATGTCGTGCTTGTTGATGTGCCAGAAGGGGTTCAGCCAGTGCGCATGGTACAGATGCGCATAGCAGCGGAACATCTGTTTCATGATGCCCTGGCAGTCCTTGTAGAATGTCTGCGGGAAGCCGCTCGACTTGCCGATCCAGTCGTCCGGGTTGCCATTCGTTCCCGCCGGGTTGACATCTGCCGAGGGCGGCGGGGCACCCGCCACAGCGGCAACCTCCTTGACCGCAAAAGTATCGGGCGTGCCGGCTACGTTCTCGGTGGGGAACATGACCGGGTCGTGGATCTTGCTGACGATCCACTTCTCGACGCGATTGATGAATTTCGGGGCCGAGATCTTGGCCGCTCGGCCGTCCACCAGCCAGGTGTAGGTCAGCCTGTAAGACATTAGCTGTCTGTCTTGAAATATAGTTCAATTACATACCGCCCAGCAGACATCGTCGGACAAGTGGTTTCATTGCAGATGGGGACGCCAGTGACAGAATTGACCTCCTGGATGACCTGAAGCATGCCATGAAGCAGGCGGTATTGTTCGACAACTAGTTCGGGAGACCGTCAGCGAATATTGAGATGAAGGGGATTCCACGCTGCCTACTCTGGTGAGCCAGCCACTCGCCCAGCTCCACATTCTTCGGACAAGCACACAACGTCAAGAAGTTGCCCCGCACGTTGAGCGGGGCATACTTCTCCTGAAAGAAGTACTTGGGCCCATCAGGATCGTTGGCCCCAAGGTTATCGAAGGCTAGGCTGTTGGACAGCGATGGGGAGTTCGAGATGGAGCCACCCTGGGGAGTCTGGGTACCTGAAGAACCGGGCGAGGGGGACTTTGGGGGGTTCCTATTGTTTCCTCCTCTGCCAAACCCTTGGCGACTGTTAAGGGTAGGTTAGCACAGGAAAGAGAATAGAAGAGACCAAAAGATAGGAAAAAAGGGGCAAAAAGGGGAGAAAGAGGAGTGCAGTGCCCGAAGCAGGGCTGGTGGTTTGCTGGTGCGGGCGACCAGCATGGAATGAGGGGGAAACAGGACATAGGAGGGCGAGCCGGGAAATACAGCCGCATCACACTTACACGCTCTGCAGGAAGTTCGCCATTGTGAGCCAAGAAGGGTGGATGAAAAGAGAGGGCGGAAGGAGCAAGGAGGAAGGGGAAGAAGCACCGACGATGAACACCTCCTGATTGTGATTGTTTGCTGGTCTGGCCCAATCGGATAAGCTGTGTTGGCCCGGGGTGGATTATCCTGTTTTTCCGCACGGAATCTCAATTCACGGCTATGGATTCATTCACTCGTACATCGATTCACTATTATATTCACTCTCGACTCCATCCACGTCCATTCTTTCTCTCTCCTTTCCTTCCTCTTCCCTCCCCTCCTCCCGCCCTCAACCACGTCCTCACTCTCAACTCTCTCCACACATCATGTCATCCTCCGATGAGGATGCTGTTCGACGCCCTGGGCGTGGTGCGCCCAATGGCCGCCAAACTCCCCCAGACAGCGATGCCGAAAACAACCTCGTGGACCAGATGGATGAGGATGACGACGCCGATCTCTTCGGCTCCGACGGAGAGGACGGTGGACTTGACAATCTCGAGTATGGGAGCTCAACTTCTCTCGCCTGCATGCGCAAAATACTGACCGACCTCCTAGCAATGACCGCGCCTTAGACGATGAACAATTGGACTCGGGCGACGACGAGGGCCGTTTCGATCGCCGTAGTGACCGCATGGATGAGGCTGGGGACGAGGATTTCGGAACCGTCAACATTATGGACGTGGGACTGGCACGGCCGCCCGTGCCAGTGACCAACGATGGCCAGGTACGAAGCACTTTCTAAATTCACAATACAGCTTTAAACGTCTTGTCCAGGTCTACACGATGCGCATTCCCGAGTTCCTATCAATCGAGAACGAAGAGTTTAACCCAGAGACCTACGTCGCGCCGCCCTATTCGACCGCTGCGACATCTCTTTGCTGGCGAAAAGACCCCGACGACGAGACCCTGCTGCAATCGAATGCGCGCATGATCCGATGGGAGGATGGCTCCGTGACGCTTCAGCTTGCATCTTCGCCACTTGAGCAATACCGCATCGCTTCCAAACCCCTTGCCCCCCTCACCAAGTCTGGCGAGTATGACACCAAGCTGGATTCTCACGTTTACCTCGGAGCGGCGGTGGAAACCGCATCGGTTTTCCGACTGACCTCGCACGTCACGCATGGCCTGACTGTTCTTCCGACTGCCTTGGAGACAGATGATGCGGTCCAGAAGCTCCAGGAATCGCTGGCTATTGCCGCCCGTGGCAAGAAGCAGACTGCGGATGGCTCGGTACCTCTGATCGATGTCAAGGAGGATCCTGAACTGGCCCAGCGTCGCGCGGAACAGGCAGAGAGAGATGCGATGAAAGCGGAACGTCGCCGGCAGCAACTTGCGGATCGCGAGGCAGACCGTGGTCGTCGGGGCGGCGGGCGCTCTATGCCATCCGGCCTCAGCATCGGCCATCTCGAATCTGGCGACGGCATGCTTACCACTCGTCCTCGTGCCAAGAAGCCACGCCGCACCAACCGCCATGGTGAGATCTACTCAGACGACGACGATGACTACGGACGCGGCGGACGCACGAGGGAGGACGAGTACGACGAAGACGATGGTTTCCTGGTTGGAAGTGACGAGGACATCGAGGAGGAGGGCGATGATGACGAGGAAGAGGTGCTGGAGGACGAGGACATGGATGCCGAGGGCGAGGCAGACGACGAGGTTCCAGCTCCGGAAAAGGCAGCGCCTAAGCCATCTTCCGAAGCACCAAAGGAAGGGACACCTCCCGCGCGGAAGAAGCGCTACGTGGTGGACGATGATGAAGACGAGTGATCTCCACGCCTCTGATTTTCTCTTATTTCCCTCTGCAATTTGCATTCACGTTGCTCGGCGTCATATTTACAGGGATTGCTGGCATTTGACGGACGGTGGGCTTGCTTAGTTACTTTCCTCCGGACTTGAACATTGATGTACTCAAAATAGCGTGTCTTGCGGGTATCCACGTACAAAACTTTAATGCAAAAAGTCAATATGTGACATTTCTCGTCTATTCTGTATTCATCATATTCATGTTATATTTCTCCTTGACTTTCTCCCATATGCGAGACTAGTGCAGTTCTTATATTATTTATGAAGGATAAGAAGGTGGAGGCGCCACACCCTCAGGATACTCATGAGGCTCGAAGCCAAAGCTCGAGATGACACGCCTCGCATTTCCAACCACCCGCAAACACAAGAGATCTTTTTCATCACAGGAGTTCTCCGGGTCATTCGGATCGAGATGGGGCCTACCAAGCGGAGTTGGGTGCGGTGGCCAGTGCTGGTGTCCGGGGTGATGCCAGCGGCGTTGACGATCTTCAATCTCCTGAATGACAGACAGTAGATCTGGCTGATTGCAGCCCGAGGGCTGGGCGTCCGGGTCCATATGACCACCTATAACGGCGTGGCGAACGACCTGCCGGAGCCAGTTTTCCCAGCCCTTTGCGGGGTCTGCGCTCTGGAGCACGCGGGAGACGTATGATGGCGATGCGGCTTGCATGCCTATTTCCGCAGCATTGGCCTTGAAGACGCGCAGCCAGGCGTCCGCGACGACGGTCAGCAGGGTGCCGGTGAACATGATGTTCTGCACGCCTGTGGCGAAATTTTTGGGACAGCTCTCGCAGCGGATGACGTGCTGTGCGGTTCTGACGGCGATGTAGAGGGAGCAGATGTTGTGTGAGTTGACAGGGAAGGAGGCGAGCGAGGAAATGTGGCTAAGGCATAGGTACAGGTACGATAGACAGGTACACCCTGGGCCGGATGAGTCGGATGAAGAAGTAGGGGTTGGAGGAGAAAGAGACGGGGGAGATTGCATGTTCGGGAAGGTTGGCAGTGGCGAGAATGGCATGCCGGTGGCCTCGGTCACGGTCATGAAGTCCGGCCATGGGCTTGAAGACGGCGGGACAGGAAGATTGGCATTCAGTAAGCGATCTGGGTGCCATGTGTGATTCTGGTCTTCCTGACCAGAAAATGAATCCGACGTTGGCTGCGAGTGCTCGTTGTGATGATGCCAAAAGACCTGCGGACAGAGATGTGGTATATCCGTTGCGGCTGTCGGGTCTGGGACCATAGCCCACGGCGAGGACTGGGGGTCTTCTGGACTGGGCCATATTTCATTTGTAGGAATATTTCTGACGGGAGGCTCGACGTCTTCCTCGTCGCTTCGCGCCCGTTTCTTTGGGGGGCGACCCATTTGCTTCTGTATAGAGTAGTGGCACCCAAGTCCCTGCTTGATGCAGCGGGAGCATCCTGTTGCTTCTCCAGAGCATTTCAGCTTTCGTTTTCCTGTTTGTGCAGCTTGTCATTAGCTACTTTCCAGCCAGTATACACTACAAACCAGTACATACTGCACTCGTCACAAGCCGCATGTTTCTTGGGAATGGACTGGGATAATGAGAGGTTGCCCTCGACTGAAAGGGACATGGCTGTCGAGATTCACACAAGGTGTCTCCCTCATTAACGAATACATTCAAGTCAGTCTGACTCGAAGAACAAGGAGAATTTGACGCTGACAATCGCTGATAGACGATAAGGCGGGGCGGTGAGTCACGTGGGTGGTCGGACCAGAGAAAAAAAAAAATTACGGGAACAACAGAAACGCTCGACTCAGCTCAATCGGCACCATGAACGCTGCCAAGGCCTCCAAGAAGCGCAAGGCCGTCACGAGAGATGTGGAGGAGGAAGCTGGTGTGTTCTCGGGTGATGAGCTGAACCACGACAACCTGGACGGTGCCCTCTCCGACAATGCCAACGACTTGTCGGGTAGCGAGCAGGATGACAGCGAGTCTGAAATCGAGCTGATCTACGATTTCAGCGACGACGAGGAGGATGAAGATGCATTGGACAGCGACGAGATCCCCTCGGACGGTGAACAGGCCGACACGAAGCCTACCAAGGTCTCGCAGGACGACCGGGACCAGCCTAATGTTCGCGTGGTCAAGGATGCCAATGGTAACGACCGGTTTCTCTACGACGAAATCAATCCGGACGACAACTCGGACTACTCTGAGGCCGAGGAGAATGCCAACACCATTGGCGACATCCCGCTGTCTTTCTACGACATGTATCCTCACATTGGTTATGATATCAACGGCAAGAAGATTATGCGGCCCGCCAAGGGCGAGGCTTTGGACGCATTGCTGGACAGCATCGAAATCCCCAAGGGCTGGACCGGTCTTACTGATCCCGCAACTGGCAAGCCGCTGCAGCTGAGCCAGGACGAATTGGAGCTGTTGAAGAAGGTCCAAATGAACGAGATCCCTGGTGAAGGCTACGATCCGTATGAGCCCACCGTAGAATGGTTCACCAGCCAACAAGAGATCATGCCTCTCAGCGCAGCTCCGGAGCCGAAGCGTCGATTTGTGCCGTCCAAGCACGAGGCCAAGCGCGTGATGAAGATCGTCAAGGCCATCCGGGAGGGCCGTATCCTGCCTTACAGGCCGCCAGAGGAGAGGGAAGAGACGGATGAAGATGTGATCAATTACGACCTGTGGGCCGATGAAGCCGAACGCCCGGATCACATCATGCACGTCCCGGCTCCTAAACTCCCTCCGCCTGGCTACGAGGAGAGCTACCACCCGCCTGCCGAGTATCTGCCCGATAAGAAGGAGCGCAAGGAGTGGGAGCAAACTGACCCCGAGGACCGTGAGAAGGACTTCTTGCCCAACGACTATGGGTCGCTGCGGAGGGTTCCTGGATACGAGAACTTTATCAAGGAGAAGTTTGAGCGCTGTCTGGATCTTTATCTTGCGCCGAGAGTTCGCCGCAGCAAGCTGAACATCGACCCTGAGAGTCTTCTGCCCAAACTTCCCAGCCCTGAAGAGCTGAAGCCCTTCCCCACGACCTGTGCGACGGTATTCCGGGGCCACAAGGGCCGTGTGCGCTCTCTCGCTGTGGATCCATTGGGCATTTGGCTTGCTACCGGTGGTGACGACGGCACTGTGCGCGTGTGGGAACTTCTCACCGGCCGTCAGCTCTGGAGTGTAACCCTGAGCGATGAGGATGCGGTCAATGTGGTTCGTTGGCGCCCTGGTAAAGACGCGGTCATTCTTGCCGCAGCCGTGGGCGACGATATCTACCTCGCAGTTCCCCCGATTGCCGAACCAGAGATCGAAAAGGCCAGTCTGGAGATCCTTGACGCAGGCTGGGGCTACGCCGCATCGAACCCTGCCCCCAGCGCCGCAGAAGCAAACAAGAAGAGCACGCCACCGCAATGGATACGCCCATCGGCCGCCCTCGCGGACGCCGGAATCTGCGTGGTGATCCCTCTCCGATACGTCGTCAAGTCTCTCTCTTGGCACCGACGCGGCGACTACTTCGTCACCATCTGCCCGGGCTCGTCAACCCCCGCTTCTGTCGCAGTCGCCATCCACACCCTCTCCAAGCACATCACACAATTCCCCTTCCGCCGGCGCCTGAAGGGTGGCGGCGCCCCGCAAACCGCGCACTTCCACCCGTCAAAGCCCATTCTCTTTGTGGCCAACCAGCGCTCCATCCGTGCGTACGATCTTTCCCGCCAGCTGCTGGTCAAGATCCTGCAGCCCGGCGCGCGCTGGATTTCTTCGTTCGATATCCACCCGACCTCTGCCAGTGCCTCGGGCGGCGACAACATCATCGTCGGCTCCTACGACCGCCGTCTCCTCTGGCACGATCTCGACCTCTCGCCGCGCCCCTACAAGACCCTGCGTTATCACCGCAAGGCTATCCGCGCGGTCAAGTTCCATCCCGGTGGTCGGTACCCCTTGTTTGCTGATGCGAGTGACGATGGCTCGCTGCAGATCTTCCACGGTAGTGTCACGGGCGACATGCTCAGCAATGCCAGTATTGTGCCGCTCAAGGTTCTCAAGGGCCACAAGATCACTGGCGAGTTGGGTGTCCTGGATATCGACTGGCACCCGCGCGAGGCCTGGTGTGTCAGTGCCGGAGCGGACGGTACTTGTCGGTTGTGGATGTAGGGAGTTGGTTTTGTGTTGCATGATATCTTTCACGGCGTTTGTATCGTGATTTCTTTGTCCCTGTGCATAATATGATTCTTTGTATAGTCGTGTCAAAAATAAAAGTTGAATTTAACATTTCGCTATTGCTGCCTCTAGCTTCTACCAAACCTGAAAATCCAATCCCAAGGTATCATCTATTTATGTACGGTCATTAGAAACGTGGGTAGTATCAGCTTAAAAATATACCAACGTCGACATTTCAAACGACGCCGCCACTCCAATCCCTTCGTAGCCTCTCATACTTCTTCATATCCGTCACGCTCGGCCGGACAAAGGCCTTGGCAGCCTTGAAGTCCTCCAACTTGATCGTGTCCCGACGTTTGATAGCCGAGTACCCAGCACGTCGAAGCAGACTACCCAGGTCTGCACCACTGAAGCCCTCGCACTCTTCCGCAATATTCCTGAGGTCATCATTGAAGTCGATGGGCAGGTTGCGCACAAGGGTCTGAAGGATATCGGCGCGCTCGAGCGGGCTGGGGAGGTTCACGAATAATAGAGTCTCAAGACGGCCGGGCCGGAGCATGGCCGGGTCGATGATATCAGGCCGATTGGTGGCGGCGATCACATAGATACCTTGACGGCTGCTTCCTAGGCCATCGAGCTCTGTGAGGAGCGTGTTGACGACGCGGGCAGACGCTTCGGAGAGGGTGTCGTCTCGGCGCGGGACGAGAGCGTCCAGCTCGTCGAAGAAGATAACACAGGGGACTGAAGAGCGGGCGCGCACAAAGACCTGCCGCACGGCACGCTCGGATTCTCCGACGAACTTGTTCAGCAGCTCTGGTCCCTTGACGCTGATGAAGTTGGCGCGGGACTCGTTGGCGACGGCCTTGGCTAGTAGTGTTTTACCGCAACCTGGCGGACCCCAGAGGAGCACGCCGGTCGGAGCAGTGATACCGACGCTGGCATAGATATCGGGATTCATGATGGGTTCGACAATGGCGGTGGACAGCTCCTCGCGAACGCCGCCCAGGGCACCGATGTCGGCCCAGGTGGTATCCGGGATGGTGGCAAAGCCTTCACGCTTAGAGGATGGCTGGATCTTGGGAAGCGCAGTGAAGAAGTCGGCGTTGGAAACCAGGACAGTCTCTGTCTCCTCACCGATGGGGGTTTCCTTGGCGTGCGTGATGAGACGACGCAGCTCCCGAACTTTCAGGCTGAGTTCATCTGCGCCTTCAATCTCCATCTCCTCACCGCTGTTGGATTTGAGGATCTCCAGATACCTCTTAATGGCCGCCGAGCCTGCAGTTGACACCAGGTCGTTCAGATCGGCACCGACGAATCCCGGTGTTCGCTTAGCGAGAGTCTTGAAGTCCAGGTCATCCGCCATGCGCAGCTTGCGTGTAAGTGCTCGCAGGATTTGCTCTCGAACCGGCTCCGACGGCACGGTCATGTTGATCTCCTTGTCGAAGCGGCCACCGCGACGCAGCGCTGCATCGAGACTGTCTGGGCGGTTAGTGGCAGCGAGAACAATCACAGGCTTCCCGTCCGTTTTGTCCAGGGCGAGCTCATCCATGCAGGTCAGGAGTTGGGCCACAATTCTCTTCTCCATCTCTCTTTGCGCGCTCTCCCGCTTGGGCGTAATCGCGTCAATTTCGTCAATAAAGATAAGGCACGGTGCAATTCGCTTGGCCTCGTCGAAGTATTCGCGCAGAGCCTTCTCAGATTCACCCGACATCCCGGACACAATTGACGGCGCGGAAATCGAGATGAACGGCACACCCAGTTCAGCCGCAAATGCATTCGCGATCATGGTCTTTCCGCATCCTGGCGGGCCATGCAACAACACGCCGCGCGGGGGCTGCACATTGGATGACAGGTACACCTGCGGCCGGGTCATGGGCAAGATAACCATATCCCCCAATTCCTGAACCACATCGTCCAGTCCGCCCAGGTCCGCAAGACTGACGTGGGTGGGCGGTGACCGATCAATGGCGGCGTCGGCTTTCCGCCGTTTAGATGCCGATTCGCCTCCATGCTGTCTCCGCTTGGAAGAAGAGGACGGTTTCGGGGTCGGGGCATTGCCATTGACGTCTGTGGTTTTCTGTGACGGGTCCGTTTTCGAGGTTGTCGACCACATGCCGACGATGCTTCGGTTCAGGCCGTTGGTCTCTGTTGTCGCGGGAGGGTCCTCGAGCCCTTCGAAATCGCCTTCCATCGAGTCTTCCTCATCGTCCTCGAGACCATCGCTCTTGAGAAC